CCTCCCACACAGTTTCCTGATTATGGCCGGGCCAAGGAGCTGGATGTAACCTCTCACTGATCACTGCTAGGAATAAATGATAACACCACCTAAGGAAATATGCCTTGAGAAAATATGAAAAGCAGTGGTAGGCTTGAAAGCAAGGGCTTTGCTACTGAAGGACCGAAGTTGACCTGTGAGCTCTGAAAGAATGACAACTAGGATAATCGTAAAGGATACATCTATTTGATCTGCTCTGGAGAAAATTAATCTCCCGCAATCCTACAGTCAATTGGCGTTAACTCCGTATGGGTGGGGTGGGGGTGGGATGAAGTCCTCACTGTTCTAATGATGTCCTCAGGTTTAGGCTTTGGGATGAAGTCCTCACTGTTCTAACGATGTCCTCAGGTTTAGGTTAGCGCCATTGGAGTGTCCAAGGCAGACAATGCACCTGGACAGATCTACCAGACCTGGAGGCGACAGGCACTCAATACTACACGCTAGCTCCAACCTGAGAAGGTCTTGCAAGTCTTGGCTGATGGGTGCCAGGTCTGACAATCAGATGTCTTCTACCTGCCCTCAAAGGCAAGCAATAAATGTGCCCTGTGCAGAATACTACCTGGTTGCTGGCCAACGCCAGTATGGCAGGGTTTCAAGCGTTCTCCTTCTAGTAGCTGGGGTGGATTCGCATTGTCCAGCAGGCCCTCTATGCGCTCAGGTATTTCAACATGTACCTGGGTAACACTGGATCTCACCCATCACTTACTGAACAGCCTCTGTAAATGTTTGGGCATCTACAATGCAGTTGTGGCAGCAAGCTGTGGTCCACACAATACAAAGAACTCTTCAAACTTCACAATGAGAAACAGATCCACCTATTTCCAAAGATAGGGGGAAAAGTCTCAAGGGACACTCAGCATGAGAGATGAAGGAGTGAAAAATAAACATATGAAAAGATTCTCACTGTTGTGTGCCATTAGGGAATGGTTCACACAAGATGACACCTCCATATATCTGTTAGAATAACCAAGATCTAAAACCTCAACAACACACTGCCTGTGGCATTGTGGAACACCAGGAACTCTCCTGAGAATGCAGAATGGCTCTGGAAGGCATGCCCATGGCCTCTTATCAAACCACATGCACTTCCCCATGTAACCCAGCAATTTTACTGTTTAATATTACTCAAACGAGTTGTAACAGTATATCTACACAAGAGCCTACACACAGATGTCTATAGGAGATTGATTTATAATTTCCCAAACTTGGGAACAACCATACTGTCCTTCATTAGGTAAAGCACTCAAAATGAGCTACCTAGTGGTGAAAAGACATGGAGGAATCTTAAATGTATACTGCTGAGTGAAAGAAGCCAGTCTGAAAAGGCTACAAATGGGAAGAATGGGACTCTGTGTCATTATGGGAGAGGCAAACTATGGAGAGACTGAAAGATCAGTAGCTACTAGAGGGGAGGGAAGAGTGAGGGGTGAAGAGCATTGGTGGATGCCTGGTATAACATACACATGTCCAAATCCACATACTATCAAGAGTGAACTATAAGGTAAAGTATGGATGCTGGGTGGTAACAAGGGGTGTCCGTCATTTGTAACAAATACACACTGTAGCGTGGAGGCTGGTATCTGGGGAGGCTTATGGCTACATGGTGTCTAGAATATATGGAGAGTCTGTACCTTCATCTGCTGTGAACCTAAAACTACCCTAAAGAGAGACTATTTTAAAATAACAACACAAATGAAATAAAATAGCAAATATTAAAGGGCACTGCACTTGATCAGGCTAAATAATTTTTAACAAAGCTCTGTGTGTATGTGTGTGTGTGTGTGTGTGTATGCTTATACATACTGGATGTCAAAGAAATTGTGCTTCTTGCTGTGGGTCATGGTAAGGAAGGCTTGAAAGTCACTGGACTAGAGGACTCTGGACTCCAGAGGTCCCTAAGATTATTTCTTTAAACAAAAGCTGTGTGTGTGTTTGTGTGTGTGTGTCTGTGTGTGTGTGTGTGTGTGTGTCTGTGTGTCTGTGTCTTAACTTGTGTCTTACGAGATTGCAAAACCAACTGAGATGGGAGATGTTAAAAGGGCCCCAAAAAAGTTCATCTCACTCTGCAAGGACGCTATTTCTTTCCAGCCTGACACCCACTCTCTTCAGGATTGGCACCAATTAATAGAACACAAGAAACAGATCTCTATTCTTACTTGAAAAAATTGCATTAACCACTCTGGAAGGTGGTTTGTCCTCAAAACAAAAACAAACAAAAACTAAACGCCTCCATACATCATTTTTATAATAACAATAAAAAAACCCTAAACATAGAACTACAGTGTGATCCAGCCATTCTTGGGTATCTGTCCAGAGCATCACAAGTCAGGATATTATAAAGGCACTTGTACACCCATGTTCACTGCCTCACTAGTCACAATAGCCAAGTTATAGAAACAGCCCAGCTGCCCTACAGTGCACGGAAGGATCAAGAAAATGTGGTACGTATGCACAATGGAATGTTACTCATCCACTAAAAAGAATAATATTAGGTCATTTGCAGGGAAATGGATGGACCTAGGAAAAAAGCGAAGTCAGTCAGGCTCAGAGACACAAATGGCAGGCACGTGTTTTCTGCAAACAGGAAAACTAAAATACAACTATGCCCAATAATATATGCAGATTCAACGCATTTACACATAACAAATCAACTAAAGGATAATATACTTTGGGGGAGGAATCCAAAGGCGTAACTCCTCTGAACAACCAATGCACTGCTTATCAAAACAAACAACAGGAAGCGGACCTATGTTTTGGAGGCTTGGCAAAGGTGGGAACGCAGGAATGGAGAGAGGAAGGATGACCAAATGCAGTCCTTGTAGTCAACACCGATCGTATAAAACAAGAATTATGGAACTTGAGAATAGGGACAGGAAGGGGAAATGGGGGCAAACAATGGGGAGAGGAAGTGGGAGAGAACTCATCCCCAAAAGGGTGACATTGTCCAAAACGCATTGTACTCAGAGCCTGACATGAAATCATAACTACTTGATAATATTTTTAAAAATCATAACTACTTGATAATATTTTTAAAAAATCCTATCACATTGATGCTTCTCTACTCACAAAGCCTTCAACCTTCTCTGAAAAGTCTTATACATCTGGTCCTTAAATAGATGCAGAGCAAAGAAATGGGCTTGCAAAGCAGACTCTGTGTAATCCCAGAAGTGTCGATCACTTGGGCCAAATGAATGGTTAGGTGAATCCATCAGTCTGGCAGGCATTGGCCAGCCAGCAGCAGAACAAGGCAGAAAAGTATTTCCAGCCGGCCGTGGTAATCAACTTCCTTACTGGTGCATTTTTCACAGCATAAGACCGACTACAGCTGACCTCCTGCCTCGGGGGACCTTGGCCCCTGTGGTCCCACAGAACCAGGCACACCTGCAGGGCCTCGTCCACTGTGCAGAGCAGAGTGGCTCCGGCGGGAGGCACCACCACCACACCCCAGCACCAGCCTGCACACAAGCACTCACTCGTGTATTCATTCCCGTTCACTGAACACATGGATATGGTACTGTGGTTCCCAGAAAGAGAAGGACTCTTTCAGGAGTTTGAGGGGTGCTGGTGAGCACTGAGGATGAGGAGAAATGAATCTTCAAGAGACTGTCAGGAGGAAACTCATGTTTATTGAGCTCCAGTTTATGCCAGCAGTGTGTCACACATACACATAGACACACACACACATACACACACATTCCAAAGCAACAGTTATACAGCCAGAACCCAAGAGATGGATTCTCCAGCTCCGGTCAGTTCCCCAGCCAAGGCCCCCCATGATGGATCGACAAGTGAGTGTCCAACAGGAAGAACTTGAGGGGTTCTCACCCAGAGGGCAGAAGCAGATTCATACCCCACACTCGCTCTTCAACTCTGGCCTTCCCAGCTTTCGCCCAGACACAAATTTATATTCCCTCAAAGTTGTTGCCAACTTGACTGTTTGGCTGATGAGAGTCTGAAGCACCAGCAAGCTTGAGGGCACTCCATAAGTAATTTTCATGGATAATACTTCCTCTTCCTGCTTCAGGTCATCCTCCTTGGAAGTGGTGACTGTAGGATTCTTTCCCCTGGGCACGCTCTGGGTGGAGCTGAGAACAAGCTCAGTGAATAGCTCCAATCTTGAAAGTTTCCTTCCATGGTATAAGTGAATTCAAGTGTCTGGTCAGGCTGCACAGCACCAAGTTTCCAGAGAATCAGCAGCCTTACTGCCCATCACGCTGTCAGAGGAGCTGAGACCCACCTCCTACCCACAATCCAGCTGTCCTGGCCTCAGAGGAGAGTAGAAACTCGCAAGTATTAGCATATGCAATAATAATAATAATAAACAATAATATTAATGATTATCTGACCGGCTGGCAGCATCTGTTGGTTTTAATTATTTTTGAGGTCTCCCAAGAAAGTAAAAGAAGGAGGAAGAACAGGAAGGGAAGAAGGGAGGAAGGGAGGAAGGGAGGGAGGGAGGGAGGGAAGGAGGGAGGGAGGAAGGAAGGAAGGAAGGAAGGAGGGAAGGAAGGAAGGAAGGAAGGAAGGAGGGAGGGAGGGAAGGAAGGAAGGAAGGAAGGAAGGAAGGAAGGAAGGAAGGAAGGAAGGAAGGAAGGAAGGAAGGAAGGAAGGAAGGAAGGAGGGAAGGAAGGAAGGAAGGAAGGAAGGAAGTAGGTAAATTCAGCAAGTGTCAGCCTCTATGCTCTCGTCCTCAGAAACATTTGGTGATATTCCAACATCCAACTTGCTTGAAATCTGTCACCATTTCTCAAGTAAAATGGAAGGGGTGGCAAAAGAGAAGGAAAAGAAAGTGAAGGAAAGAAGAAGGAAGGGAAGAGGGTAGAGGGAAGAGGGAAGGGAAGGGGAGGAAAGGAAGAACAGGAAAAAAGAGGGGGAAGGAGGGTAGAGGAAGGAAACAAAGATAAGGAGGGAGGAAAAGGACAGGAAAAAGAGGAAGGAAGGAAGGAAGGAAGGAAGGAAGGAAGGAAGGAAGGAAGGAAGGAAGGAAGGAAGGAAGGAAGGAAGGAAGGGATGTTTTAAGGCCTCTAGCTTCCCTTTGAGTTCAAGTTTTGGAAATCCACCACATTCTTCTTTCCAGAATCTTCTAGTGCCCCTTCACATTTCCCGGCCGGGCAGCAAAACTGGCAAAGTAGGCACACTGGGAGGGGTCACACTGGCCAGGGGGCCCAGGCGGGCCCGGGGGCCCAGGATGCCCAGCTGGTCCCGTCTCTCCTTGAGGGCCAGGACTCCCTGGGAGTCCGTCCTTAGCATACCCAGGTTCTCCTGGTTGACCTGGCCAAGGGAGCAAAAGAAACAGAACATGGTTCACGTCTTTGATGAGCAGATGAGCCCTGAACTCACTGCTCCTTCTCAACCTGAACTCAGATCTTCTTGGAAAGAACATTGCCCCTGTTGGGTGCTGAGTGATGAGCACCAGCTGCCAGTGGCACCCCGACATGTGGAGGTGGGGGTGGCCTTCTCTGTCTGAACTAGCCCCGTGATATAGGCAGCCCTGGAGGCCCCTGTCCCCAGAGATACCTGGTGACATTACATCATCCAACTTGTCCCAGATCTGCCACCTTTATTCAGCTTTATCGGTATATTAAATTTCAGCCACAGGCTTGGACTTTATTCATCTATTCTTTCAAATCCTGATCAATGATGATATTCAGGATATAAAATAACTGGCAGTTTATCTAGACCAAAGTTCAGACTTAGCAAACATTATCTATAGAAAAAAAAATCTATTCCTCCACTTGTCAAGAATTATAATATCACACATAATCAATTTATTTTCCTTTTAACTTTGGCAACTGGAAAGCTTCACATTAGGTATAGTGGCTAATTGTGGTAGTGATACTTTAGTCTGAGTAAGCATCTTGTCAGAATACTCCCTGTCGAATAAATGGAGTCGAAGTTCTGTGCAATGTGTCTATAGACAGCCCATGAATTCTGTCAATGCTTGGTAATAGTTTTTCCAACTACAGTCTGGCTTAGACCAAATTTTCAGGCCAGCAGTATTACTCATTCTTGGACTGAGAATCACTGAAATGTGCCATTCATCCAACCTCACATGGGTGCAACTTGCTATAAACTGCTGAGTTTCTCTACTTAAATACTTTCTGGTCTGCCTTTTTATCTCTATTGAAAATTTCCCTTTTAGGAACATATTCTTTATGTCATAACTTATTAGAAAGTAGGAAAGCTAAGAATTACATAATAGTTCTAATTATCTTCTCTAATAAAAGTAACAATATATCTAGCAAGTTGGGAAAATCATAAAGGAATAAATGATAAAATTAAAATTACCCATAGGTCCTAATAGTTCAAATGAGCTCAGGTCAATATGGAAAGTAGAATTCAGCTCCCATATATGAACCCACAACGAGGTCCAGTTTGGCAACAGAACAGTCAAGGCTGACTCCTGTTAGGTCACGAATGTCTTCCAATACAGACACCGCGCTGCATGGCTAACTTGTCCCCATTTTCCCAGTCATATCTGTTTCACAACTGCAAGTTCTAACTCCAGCACAGCTGACCACATACCACATGCACAGCATTTCCCAGACATTTGCTGAGACCTATGAATGCGGCATGAACAAGTGCATGGCGAGAGGAAAAGCGTTCAATATTCAAGTGAGTCTGAAAACATGAGGTCAAGTGAAATAAATATCGCTTTCCCTGAAATGCTCTCTAGTTTCTATAAGTTAACCTGCCTGATGAATGACCCAGAGGGAAATAGCACCGGTATGCCTGCACTTATTTAGTCCTATGACATCTCTTCCCCTCCAGGACCATTTCTCAGTACTTCTTGTCATTTAATATTATTCTGTACGCATTTTCAGGTGCCATGCATTCTTTCAGGACAGGTACACAATGTCAAATGATCAACCCAGAGCAACTAGCAGATGCACTTCTCAGTGGGTGACCATCAAAATCTGTTCTTCTGTTACGTGTTGGGAGTTCTGATTCATGAGATACCCCTTAAGAAATTTAGAACTAGGTACTGACAAATGGCCCGTGTGAGGTGTGCATTCCTCGTCTCTGAGTAGATGTCCACCGCCCCCCATACACACAGCAGACACTTCCTACCTGGGACACCAGGGGGCCCCATCTCGCCTCGGAGGCCAACTCCAGGGACACCGGGGTCACCTTTGGCTCCTCGCTCCCCTGGTGAGGAAAGCACACATGGTTAGTGAGGAAGACCCGCAGCTAGTGAGGACAGACAAGGCGTCTCAGCCTGCACACGGGCAAGAACAACCTGGAGTCATCAGAGCATCGACTCAAAACTTCCTTGGCTCACCCTTCCCCAGTGCCCAGGTCCACATCCATCTCCTCCCACAGTGCACACGCACATGTGAACACATAGTCAAATACACACAGTTATACATAAACACACAATCATGAGCCATCCACATACCCATATCCATATGCATTAGCAAATTTACTCACACTCATAGACATACAGACTCACTCAAAACAGGCCACCCAACACCCCCTCCATGCTCCCCCCTCCCCACACAGGTCCACATGAATGCCTTTGTTCATGTCTACATATGTCCATGTCTTCTAGTATTTCATCTGAACCTTCAGAAGGAGGACCTGAGTGATCACTAAACAAATTCAATGTACTAAGTAATACGGACACACAGTAATAAGTGAAACCAGCTCACACTCAGGAAGCTTGAACTCTAATAAGGTAGATGGAAGGGGGAAATCATGGCTTGAGAGTACAATAAGCTTTCTACTAGGAATTTTTAAAAAATGACAAGCTATCCTCTGAGAGAATATGTGGATCGTATGTGAGCTCAGAGCACACAGATTCAATTAAACTATATCTGCCAACTCTTTAAAAGAAATTCACAGTGTTGTCATGTTTCCAAAATAGGTCCTGTATGCCTCATCTGTCCTGTGCAATCCCAAATCAAAATTGTGCTAGTTCATGGCGTCCTAGGACCACTGCTTTTTTATTGTTTTATTTTAATTTTATTTTTATTTTTTATTGTGAAAATACCATATAGAGGGGTTACAATTACATGGGCAAGGTAATGAGTGCATTTCTTATCAAGCATTGTGGCCTCCTCCTTTGTTTTAATTGTTTTATTTTTGCAGGATTTTCCCACAGTGCAATGCTGTCTATGCTTTATGTTTTGAATATAGGTAGGACTAGGACACACAGAAGTCTTTCAGAGTAAAGGCAAGTATATTGGGAATGAGGAAAATGAAAGATCTTCCATTTCTCTAATTCCAGCTCCTTCCGGGAGTGGCTGAAAAGATGCCCAGGCATCTTCTGCATGGGAAGGAAGTGGGTTTTCGGGCTGGGGTTCTTCTTCTATTGGGTGCTTGCCTCTGCTTTTCACACCTACCCTCCTTGGATCTTCTGGACATGAGGAGGTGGGTTCAGGGGCACATGCTCTTCCCCTCAAAGGACAGACCTCCTGCTGCCCAGACTTCCAGCTGCCCAGACCTCCTGCTGCCCAGAGCTCCAGTGGCCAGTTGTGCACTCTTCTTGAGGTCTCAACTGTCAGTGGACATTTTTTGTTCTTGCTGCTCATGGGTCTTGAACTCAGGGCCTGGACACTATCATTGAGCTTTTCTGCTCACAGCTAGCACTTGATCACATTGAGCTACAGCTCCACTTGTTTTTTTTTTTCTTTTTGGAGATAAGAGTCTCATGGACTTTCCTGTCCAGGCTTGCTGGCCTCTGAGATCCTTACATCACCGTGTCCTGCCTAGCTAGGATTGCAAGCTTGAGACACCAGTGTCTGGCGTAGGGGGACATTTTAAACCATAGCTGAAAGCCACCATGGGCTGGAGACTGAATATCCTAGCCTGCAGTCATTTCTAAACTGGGTGGAAATGAAAAGAGCGCTAATATTACTCATTGCAACTCATGTGGGGGGCAGGGGCGGTGGACAGAGAACAAGAAAGTAGGAGGGAACAGATTCAGTCTTCCACGTGGAAGCATAATTCTGCAAAAATGTCAAGTATGAAAACCTCTTAACCGGGATGCCAAAATTCAGGGTGTGATCAAAGACGCAGGAAATGAGAGTGGAATGAATGAATACTGCAAGTTCCCATGACACCGAGTTTCTCCTCCACCCTCCCACAGTTCACATGACCTCCACGTGTCCACTCACCTTTGGGACCTATTGGTCCCGAGGGTCCTTCCAGGCCGCCCTGGCCTGGCCGGCCTGGCTCCCCCATGGGCCCGGCCCGGCCAGGAAGCCCATCTTTTCCAGGAGGTCCGGGAGGCCCGGGTCTGCCCTGAGAGGTCTTCCCCTGTTGGGGAGGTATCTGGGCCAGGAGGTAGGCAAGTCTGGCTGTGGAGTCAGAAGAACAACGGAGACATTTCATGAGGAATAGACAGAGGACGAAGGGCAGGATGGTGGCTGCTGCGCAGTGAGGAGCCCAGGGGACAAGAGTCAACTGCAAAACAAAATGCAGACCACACACCACCACCAAGGAGGAAACGTGCAGTCTCCACACACACCTCTGAGACCAGCGACGCGATCAGCAGGGGCTCAGCCTCGTGCCAGGGCACCAGGGTCAACCCGAGACCCCAGGAAGCCGCTGCCAGCCCAGCGGCAGGGACCCACCCCCTTGACCTCGCCTAGCCTTGGTTTCCTTCTCTGGTAAAAGAGAGACAGTGCTATGACACTAAACAGTGTGAGGAGTAAGGGAGATAATTCCAGCCACACTGGCTAGCAGGACTCACTATGGTAGTAGTGGCAGTATATGCAAGTGTAGCCAAAGTACTGGAAGAGCCATAGTAATATCAGAAGCTGTAGTAGTGGTGTCATGGGTGATGATCATACTCAGCATGGCTGAGGGCAGCAGGGGTAACAGAAGCAGTCTGTTGGCGGTGCTAGGAGCAGTAATCATAGTAACACAGAGCTCCTGGCAATAGCAAGCTCTGGCAACGGGAGCAGCAGCAGAAGCAGTGGCAATGCAGAGCTTAGGGGCTTTGGCATCATCATGGTATTAGCATGGGCGTTAGCAGTAATGGCCATTGTCCTAATTGCCGCTTGGGGAGACTGAGACAGAGGGGATTTCAGTGGCTGACACACAGCTGTTTGGTGACTTTTCCCTTCTGAGTGTCAAAACCAGAAGAAAGGTTGAAGGTGCTGGTTATTAAAGATGCTTGCAAATGTGCAGCATGAATGAAGATCACAGAATCAATTCAAAACCCAAGTTCCAACTGCCGGTCTGGCTGGCTTTCTGCTAGGGCAGGGATACCGTGCCTGTCTGGCAGACGCCAAGCCACCATGCTCGTACAGTCACAGAAAGCCAGAGCCCCAAGCCCACCCTGCAGGTGTGGATGTGACTTCAGGGGATGAGGCTCACACCGGGTCAAGTCTCCTCCTTGCCTCACTAATTCCCTCCTCCTGCTGCTCACTCACAAGGCCCCAAGCCAAGGTGCAGTCTACTTCTGCGACCCAGCTCTGCCAGCCTTGATTTTCGCATATTCAACCAGGAGACTGTTTAACCTCATCCAAGGAGAGTCAGGAAGAAAGGACTGGGCTCCGCAGTTGCTTCATCCAGATCTTGGTTAGAAACTCCACAAGGACAGAGACAGGGAGTTGTTTTTTTGTTGTTTGTTTTGTTTTTGTCACTGAGAAATCAAACACCTAGGAGGCAGAACTCAGATGTCTCCATACACGTGTCCAGCAGCCCTGCCCAGCCCAGGGGGTAGCCTTGTCTCCTTCCTTTCCTCCTCTCCAACACCTACCTGATGGAAAAAATGACTTAAACTGGAAATACTCATCGCCTGCTCCTTGACATCCATATCTGGAAAATACCAGAACTGTCCTTGCTGCAGACCCATTGAATCACCTTCAGCCAACCCTGTGAACTGAGGGTCATGCCCTTTGGAGAAAAGAAGCTGCAAAACCCCGTGAAATGCAAGGTAAGATTCCACCTCTGCACAGAGCCCCTTCCCCTGTCCCCATCCTGCCCCAGACGCCTGCTCCTGACTTGACCTCTCTCTCTCTCTCTCTCTCTCTCTCTCTCTCTCTCTCTCTCTCTCTGCCTCAGAAAATGAGTTCTTAGCTGGAAGGGAATTGCACCTTTTCTTCTTCAGCTGGGCTGAAGAACAGCAGCTGCCCTTCTCAGGTTGAGTCTGATAAACCTGTTGGTTGTGGGTTTACCTCTGTGCCAATTTCATTTTTCATACTCCCAGTACTCAAACTAGTTTCTTAATATGTCCTCACATTTGGTGCCGGAACCCGGGACTTGAAGCCTGGAAACTCAAGAGTATTTCCTTACTCTTTCCCTCCTCTGGTTGTCTGCTCTGGGGAATTCTGCCTTGCTCTCCTGTTGGTGGACACAACCATGTTTGCTGACTCCAACGGGTCAAGGAGGAGAGTCACTTCGCTTACGCTTGTGTCCTCATACCCCGTGTACAAGGCAGGGGCAAAATGCATGAGAAACGGCCGTGTGAATAAAGGCATCCTCCCCTTCATCCGTTTCTGCCTGGAAAATGGAGATTCCTCCTCTTTCCCACAATGTTATCCTCTATGGCCTTCTTCTCCCACACTTCCATTATAGAATAATTGGGGGGAAATGGTTATTAAAGAAGGCCTTGGGGGAGCATGGATTCTGCGGCAGCCAGGGTGTGAGCCCAGAGTTGCTCCACATGTGTGCGCTTTGCCATCCTTTCAACACTCAGGCATGTCTTGGGACCTTCTCCTGGCTCTGGAAAGCCCACATGTGGATGTCAGCTCTTCTGATGGTCTGCCTCTGGTACCTAGCCCCCAGAACACCTGCGGTGCACCAGGCTTAGGCTGCCTGGGGGGGGGGGGGGCGGCGGTGTGTGACGGAGTTAATATTCCCGCTGCTCCTGAGGTCTTCTCTTGGGCTTTTCCAAAGGTCAAGGTCTTTGCCCATCTTTCAACTCGAAACTCACAACGCTTTTCCTCCAGGGATCCTCACTATGTTAGGCATGATCATCTGCCCTGGTTCCCTGGCCTCTATGCCAGAGTAAATTACAGAGCTAGAAACCACTAGTCTTGTGGTTTCTTGATCTATTACCACCTCTGGGTGCTGTGCTCTATGAGGTCTGCGTCAGGTCTCCCCAGATCACTGATTAAGATAGACTGCACACGGTGTGATCTAACTGCAGACAGTGAACCTGCGTTCACCAGAGGTAATCAAATAGGCCCATCACAGAGGCTCTGTGGCGGGTGGAAGCCTGTGTGCCTGGTAAGGGCTGGACCACAGCCTCCTAGCTCATCCAACCCTGACATTCCACATCGGTCCGCTCCTGGGTTGCTTTCCAAACTAGTCATGTAAATAGGAAGGATCCACACAAGGACCGGTCCAGGAGAACCTTTCCCAAGGCTGCAATGAACGCCTGCTACTTACTTTCCAGCTGCTTCCCAAGCTCTTCCTGAATGAGCCGTCGAAGCGTTTCCATGGATGGAGACTCACCCTGGGAGGGAGGGAAGGTTGAGTTATTCTTCCTCTTGCTTCCCACCATCCCTGACCCCTCACAGAACCGAGAAGCTCAGAGGCAGCAGAGACACAGGAAGCCCTGTGCCAAGGTGAAACGGTCGCATCAAGTCTCCATGCTCTCGCCCAGAATAGCTGAAGGGAGGCAGGGTGCATCCTGCCCAGGTTCAGATGGTCTTTCTCCTCCACAGAGCTCTGCACGTCCTCTCTGAACCCGTGGGGAGGTGTCCGTCCCACCCGGGCTCCTCTCTGTCTGCCCAGCACTGGCATGGCCTTGTTCTTGTCTGGCTGTTCTAGATGTTTCATCCCTCGTCACAGCGGCGGGATGTAGATTCGGAAGCCAGCTCCCACAGGGGTTGGCTGTGGATGTCCGGCCTCCTCAGAGAGGTGAAAACTCAAGACTGACCACAGCAACTGGATCGCCGTGTCAGAGCCGCAGGCACAGGCAGGCACCCCCACTGCTGCTCGGTGGGCCTGAGCCGCCACGGGGAAGCAGGTGGGAGAGCCTGGGGCCCGGCAGACAGCCCCAGCAACATGCCCGTGGGGAACGCTCCGCCGTTACCATGTGATACCTCACGGGCCATGTTACAGTCTGTGCAAACAGTTCTGCCAGCAGCATAAAATGCGTTACAAGGAAGAAAAAATACTACTACTTTATGAAAGGGGGAGTGTGACTATTACGGAAGGACTCATACACGTGTGTGAAAAGAATAAAATGGACTAAATTGATTAATTTTTATTCTATCATTTTGATGATACCAGGGCCTGACATTAGGGCCTTGTGCTTGCTAGGCAGGCGCTCTGCCCCATGAGCCGTTAGCCCCAATAGGGTCTTATTTATGCATGGGTTAGCCTGGAATGTGACCCGCCAATTTATACTTTTTGTATGACTATGATGACAGGTTTGCATCAACCATGGCTAGCTTCCCTCCCCGCAACCCCCATCCTGGGGCTTAAACTCAGGGCCCAGGTGCTGTTTCTGAGCTCCTTTTACTCAAAGCTAGTACTCTAGCTCTTGAGACACAGCTCCGCTTCTGGCTTTTGGAGGAATTTATTGGAGGTAAGTGTCTCATAGACTTTCCTGCTTGGTCTGGCTTTGGTCTGCAATCCTCAGATGTCAGCCTCTGGAATGGCTAGGATTATAGGTGTGAGCCACCAGTGCCTGGCTCATAGCCAGATTTTTTATTGTTTGAGATGGAGGTGTCACAAACAGTTGCCTGATCTGGCCTCAAACTGAAATCCTCCCAATCTCAGCTTTCTAATCACCTTGGCTTACAAGTCTAAGTCTCCAAATGCCCCTTTTTAAAACTGTCAGCATAGTGAGGAAAGAAAGGGAAAGAGTAAGAAGGGATGAATATTATTTTTTTTTCTTTTGTTGGTCGTGGAGCCTGAGCTCTGGGCCTGGGCGCTGTCCCTCAGCTCTTCAGCTCAAGGTGAGCACTCTATCACTTGAGACACAGCGCCACTTCTGGCTTTTTCTGCTTATGTGGTGCTGAGGAGTCAAACCCAGGGCCTCAGGCATGCAAGGCAAGCGCTCTACCACTGAGCCACCTTCCCAGCCCTTTTTTTTTTTTAAAGATTTTTTTTTCTCAGTCATAGGGCTTAAACTCCAGGCCTAGGCACTGTCCCTCAGCTCTTCAGCTCAAGGCAAGTGCTCTACCACTTGAGGGGATGAATTTGATCCATGTACATTATATGCATGTACAGAAAATCACAATGAATTCCCTTTGTGCAATTAATATGCTCTAACAAAAAGAAGACATAAAATATAACTACGCTAAACAAATGTCTCTTTCTACATCAGGAAAAATGTGACCCAGAGGGAAGAATGAACACTCAGGAAGCAGCGAGAAGAGCAAGGCGGAGCCACAAGCACATGGCTGGCCTCCCAGGGTGAAACGTGGATCATAAAAGCTATCTACTAAGCCGCCACGTTTGTGGGAGGGGGGGAGGGGAAGCAGGAACAGAAGAGACGAAAGCCTTGAGGCTCACTACCAGAGAAGCAGAGCACGGGATGGCAAGGGCAGGGGGTTGCGGCGGCTGAGCAGCTCCTGGTAAAAACTCTAACAAAGCAAAAAACAACCATTTTTCTTCCCTCTTAGCAGAAAAGAAGGGCAGGCCCAGAGGAGAGAGGGAACTTGTCTCTGTCCTCATGGACAGCTGCTGGAGGCCTGGGATCTGCACCTACTCCTCCCCAAGTCTCCAGACTTCCTGCCTTCCCCTCAGGCGCCCCATGCAACATCAGCCTCCTTACCCTCAGTCCAGGAAATCCGGGCTGGCCTGCGGGTCCGGGAGGCCCAGCCGGCCCACTCTCCCCCGGTGGCCCTTGGGGACCCATCAGTCCCGTGTGGCCTTTGTGGCCTGGGATTCCCGGGTCTCCAGGCTGTCCCTTCCCACCAGGGGCTCCTTTGTCTCCTTTGGTACCGGGATCTCCCTAGGGAGGAGAGAAGTGTGTTAGTAGTGAGTCCCGGCTGGAAGGGAACGCATGCTGTGGCCAGAGGTCCCTTCCTCTGATGCCCTGCCTCCAGGGGCGGCTCAGTGCTCGGTGACCTTCACGTGACTCCATGACTTGATCACGTGACTTGATCAGACCCACCTCATCTACCATCCTGACTGTACAGAAAAAGATCACTACCAAATCCCAACCAGACTATAAAGCACCCTTAGAGCTGTCATGTGGGGAGGGGGAGAAGGAAGGGGCTTGTGTATGCAACAAAGAATACTGTAGTTACAACATAAGGATTTCCATCAAGAACCACGTGGACAGCCTTCCCGGTTTCAATATCAACAGAAAAACTCAGGTATACAACAATGTCCAAAGTATATTAGAAGTGGGGAGGGGTAAGATACTTACCATATTTCCTTGGTAAACATAAAATATTTGGAAGACTACATAAGTATTTAATAAGGGCAAGGTAGCTAGAAACTCAGCCTGACCACCAAAGTGACCAGAGACTCTGAGAAAGAAGACTGCCCGGTTCTGGAATCATCCTCAGCATGGATGATTAAGTGGAGATCACCAGGACTGAAAGGGCAGAGGGAGAGGGAGACACGCACTGGGAGGGAGGCAGAGAGAGGCGTGTGCAGCAGGTGAACAGCTCCCACGTCTGTGTACAATGCTCCAAAAAGATAAAAAGATTGGTGTACAGGGCTGGCCCAGGGCAGAGGACAGGCTCCAGGGCAGGATGGAAGGGGCTAATGACTTCCATTGTTTTTACTCTAGCAGTTCAAATTATTCAGTTACGTCCCTCTACTTGTTTTGAAATTTCACCAATAAAGGGCAACATGTACACATATGGAAATAGCACATATAAAACCCCTTTGTCTAATTAATAGACGTTAGTAAAAATTCAACAACGATCAGAAAAGCCATGTATCAAAACTTAATTTATTCAGACCCAAGGGAAGTCTCTTCAGTTTTGCACATTGGATGCATTTCATGAGATCACTGCCATCTATCTTTAGTGATCTTGAATTCAGAGGTCAATAAAAGCCTGGGTTCCTAATCTATCTGTAAGGCAGACTCCATGGTACATACACTATGGCATTTCCTATCCATTAAACATCTGCATATCACTTAGCGGTAAGAGGACTTGGCCCCTACTTCAAATGTTCCCAAGATTACCAAGGAATGGGGAGTCAAAGGCCCCCTGGCAGGATTCCAAGAAACCACTTAACCGGGGAAGACAGCACGCCAGTTATTGATTAAGTGTTAGAGAAGAGGTTCCTGAACTCCCTGGTTGACAACTAGAATTCGGGTCTGTCCCTTGTTCTGTGGTCCCCAGGAGCCCCTGAGGGGCGGTCTTAGGGGTCACTCAACATCCCCTTCATTCAGGAACCAACTGCCATGCTCCATGGAATCAAAGTCACTGGAAGGAGACAGGGAGGGAGATCAGAAGGGAGGGAAACACTGCGACTACTTCCACGTCTCCTCCGTCTTCTGTCTGCAAAGGATCACAGCGCCCACCCATACAACGGGCAAAGCATGCTGATACGATGTCTTAGAGGGACCCTACAAAGTAAACGGCAGGGGCACCCCACTTGTTCTGGGGTGACACCCACATGCAAGTGTGTCCAAAGACAGGACTGTGGGCAAAGAAGACATGCAAACCACCAAAGGAAGCAGCAGTTGTGTGTCTGTGTCTGTGTGTGGGGGTGTGCGTGCCATGCACGCGCGCACAGGCACACACACACAAGTGCACCCTTCCCCCACCGGCTTTTCTGCAAGGAAAATGATTTCTTCTCGTTGTTTCTTTGGAGAAATGAAATGTAAAGAAAGCTTTTCCGAGTGTGGCGCCAAGGCAGCTCATTATGGGAAAATCTGTTCCCTTGTCACCTCCGGTGACAAATCTGGCTCTGGGCGAGCTGGCACTACGGGAGCCAGGCCCGTCAAGCACACACATTCGCACATGGCGAGAGGGAACCTGTCAGAGCCTCCCGGCACTTGCCTTCGCATGCGTAATTACCATCATTTTATCCCAAAAAGAAAAGGAAAAAAAATCACATTGACTACAACAATACTGGGGGGGGGGGGGGGGGAGAAGCCCCTCAGTGGTGCTCGAGATTTTACAAAGAACAGAAAGGCCGACAGGAAGCAGCTGTCCGCTCCGCAAACACCACCTGCAAAGTTCCCTCGACACTGAGAGAGGCCACAGGGAGGCTGTTCAAGGGGACGACCCCCCCCCCACACACACACATACACACACTTACCCTTTCTCCTTTGGCTCCTGGCTCTCCTGGCTTCCCAGGGGCCCCCTGCAAGGAGTTAAGTAGATGGTTGTCATTTCATCCCGGCCAGCTGAGCTGGCATCTTTGCCTTTTGCATTTCTTCCACACCATGGTATGCATAGGACAAGGCATCCTGGAATACATACAACTGTTCCCTTCAGAGCTCCAGCTTTGTCCATTACAGGATTGGTCCACTTTCCGCTTCACTCTTTTCCTCCTGTCCCTGGAGACCCTGAGCGGAGGAGGCACCAGCCTGCAGTGAAGCCTCTCCAGCTTCCTCCTCTGCCTCTCTCAGGGTAAACCCCGTCCCGCTTGGCATACACCAGGGGCCTGGCAAGAACTGGCCTTTGATAGGGTCCCATCACTGCTGGCTGGGGGGGCAGGGGGACAGGGCTAGCTCTTGCCAAACCCCACGACTGGGTCCCCAACAGCAGGAACGTGCTGATTGGCCATCTCCTGGCTTTCTACACATCATTTTCTCTGTTCTTGTGACACACTCCCAACCTCTGCTCAGATAAGTAACTTGCCAGGCCTCAGATCTCCTTGCAGAAGAACTTTCTACCTCTTCACAGTCCTAGGAGGACAGAGGGACACAGCCTTACACACTTTTCACTGCTGGGACATGTGTTCAAAACATGCCAAACTCCAGGCTGGCTATAATGGGGAAACAAATTTAACCCACTGGTGTGTGTCTTAACTTCAGGTAGACCAAGCTTACATTGATTTCAGAAAGCAAATATAAACTTGAGAGCTTCCGAGCCTGGCCAAGTCTGCCACCCTGAAACCCCCATCCCACAGCTCCGGACCTCTGCAGAGATACAGGGAGGCGTGGCCCTTCTCAGCAGGAGCTGAGCTCCCCGCCTGGCCAAGAAGAACAAATGGGCATGGGTGATTCTTCTACATGGAAGATGGGTTTCATGTCTATAATAACAGCTCAAGAAGATGCTGTGCTAGTCCCGAAAAAGAAAAGAGCACAATGTCAGAAAGAACCCGAAAGGAAAAGCAGGAAAGAAAAGATGTTCCCACCCCAGTGGGTGGATGAGTTGAGACCAAGACTCAGACATGAGGAAGGCAGGGGTGGGTATCCCATGTATAATCCAGGAAAGTGCAGGAGCTTGAATTTGACAGAATAGGGTCTAACCATAGAGGCCCTGGAGGCCGGCTCAAGATGGACTTTATTCTACTGGAGCCTCAGCCCAATGAGTAGCACATGGGGTGGACGGACTCACCTTCGATCTGGTGAGCAGGAGGGAGCAAGGACAATGAATGGTCAATGTGTAAGTGGAAAAGGGACATGGCCTGGGAGCAGGAACCCAAGCTGGACCCCATACTTCTCAGACATGAAGTCTTTGGGTTCAGCTTCCAGGAAGATACCCGGTGAAGGAAGTAGTCCACAGAGTCTGCCTCTTTCAAGAGGGAGGATGCGGGCTTTGAAACACATGAGCTGATGTCTTTAGGCCTCTTTTTCTGAATCCATTCATTCATCTCCCCATCCCTCATCAAACATTGTTGGTGCCCCCCTAGTGCTGAGGAAGAAGACAGCAGGTGTTCAGACCACACAGAAGGGCCTCTCCTTAGTATCTGGTGGTCAGCGGAAGTCAACAAGGAAAGAGGAGGGAGAGAGAGAGTTGAGACTTTCTGAAAAGAGGGACCTGGAAAAGAATTTGATGTTTCAGGAACTATAAGGTCGGAGTGACTGGAGCTCAGGGGCAGTGACGGCTCAGAGTGTCTTGGAATCCATTGAAGGGGAAGAAAGGGCTGAGAAACGAAGCAGAAAGTGGCATTAAGTGCTTCTGTCACACGGACCCTTGGCACAGGGCAGCGAGGGCCAGGACAGACAAACCCCAGTAGGATGCAGCCGTGATGGTCCAGGAGAAGCACAAAGACAGTTGGGTTAAGGTCCACGTGGAAGCAATGGGGAGATCTGACTAGCACTGAGAGGCGCCATGAAGCCAGCATCGGTGTGCTGATGAAGAGATGGTCAAGGATGGTTAAGAAAAGAGATGTGTCCAGACCAGATGGTGCCCTGGTGGCTGTGTCATTGGTGAGCATTTGTGCAAATCAGAGCATGTGCCCCTGGTTCAAAAGGCACCAATGACAACAACACAATGGCAGGCTCCTGAGCCTGTCCAAACTGCCCAACCCTGGCTTTCAGTTCCCGAGGGAAGAGCAGTCCAGGGGGACAGGGTGGGCACACTTACCTCTTTGCCTGGAACTCCTTTGTCTCCTGCTTCTCCCTGCAAAACAGAACACAGGACCAGTTCACTCTGTGATATTGGCACTGTGTACCTTATGTGGCTGTCTCTGCCACACATTTCCATTCAGGTCCTGTTCTACCAATGACGGTAACTGTTTGATCCCAAACAAGGCTCTCAGCTCAGCCTGTGCAGAGGGAGGCAAAGAACTATCCCAGAGAAGGAGCAGAGCCTCCATGACTCAACCTAGCCGGTAGCCACAGGATGACAATTTTGACAATGGTCTGATCGTGTGAGAGAGGCCATTCTGAGGAGGAGGTTCATAGCATGTGATATAAAACACCACAAAGTCACCGAGGAAGATCACAGCCGGAAAGTCAGACAAGGCCGGAGGAGGTTTGCTCTGTCCCTGATGGTTAAGGAAGCTGTTATGGGCTCTTAAGGACAAATCTTGACTCCTCTACTGATTGGCTGGCTCTATGATGTTGAACAACCCCCTTAAGTTGGATCTGATATACATACACACACACACACACACACACACACACACACACACACACACACACACTCCCCGTGTGTGTGTGTGTGTGTGTGTGTGTGTGTGTGTGTGTGTGTGTATTCAGACAGTGGCTGGCCCATAGGAAGGGTTGGACACATCGTCGGCTATTTTCACTCTTACAGAATAAACATGGTAACACTTGCGAACCTATCTGCTCAGCAGCAGACGGATCATTAACTTGAGAATGAAGAAGAAGACAACCGAGTGAAGATATTTAAGTATCAGTCAGAGCTTGGGAAGCAGCTCTGAGAGAGGAACGCCTGTGGGAAGAGCTGGTCAGGGCCGGCCATGGGAGTAACCAGACAGGGAAGAACTCAGTCGGAGGGGCTGGAGGAGAAGATGGAGAAGCATACCCTGGTATGTTTCACAGAACCCTCATCCTATCTGTTGGAATGCCAAGCTGCGGGCCAGAGACCACAGTGGAAACCCATGGCCCCGGTGCTGATGCTTGAGTCTTCTGCATCCCTGTCCCCAGAGAGGTGGCCAGGTTCTCTCTGCATCCAGGTGTCAGGTGCAGACTCAAGTGCAGCTAGCTGGTGCAGATGCACCCTGTGGCTTCGAGGAAACCACCAGAGTCCGCAGCCCTCCCTGTCCATCTTGACAATGCTCACCATCAAGATCATCACCATGGTTTTTGCTAAGATCATTCTAGCACCACTGCCCTCACCAGAAACACTATGGAGATCCTGTGTTCCTCTTGAGCCTTGCACCAGGCCAGGCACCTCTAGAATAGTTCACCTGGATCTTCTCATTTGGCCCTCAGAGTGGGCAAGCTGTCAGACTGATGGAGTAAGGTCAGACCAGGGAAGACCTTGTAGACCCGCTTAGGTCAGATTTTATTTGAGGGGACCCAGAGGGGCACCTCATTCCAGGAAGAAAGAGGGAGCAGCGGTAGGTCACTACGCATAATGAGGTATCACAGGCCTTCGTGAAGCTTTCACAGTCAGGGAGTGGAAGGGCTGAGAGTCAGGCAGGGTGACCTCTGGGCTCTCCACGTCTGCCTCAGTCACGAGGTCTGTTGACACCGTATGGTCATGACCCGAGGACACGGTACATGGTAGAGACAGTACTGAACATGAACTTCACACAGCCATGCACACATCTGGCCTGGTTGGGGTTCTCTGCTTACCGGTGGCCCCCGGGGACCCTGGAAGCCAGGAAGTCCTGGGCTCCCATTCTCTCCTTTGGTTCCTTTTTGGCCCTGTGAAGGAAAAATAGGAAATTAATTGCTCAAGGTCAAGGGTTCACCCAACCTTTGGACCCCTCTAAACTCAGAAGTCCCAAGACATCCGCCAAAAGAGAAGTCAGAGCCCCTTCCCTGCGATAGAGAGGGATCGGGAGGAGACGCGGGCCGCTGCGGATCTCCACAGCACTGCTCTGAGGCAGAGGAAGAAGAGAAGTTCCTCCACACACAGCTCTCGACCTTTGGGTTCAATGCAGCCAACACAACAGGGGGAGGAGAATCCACACAAATCACCGAAAGCCTGTGATCCACCAGGATGTCCTCTCCTGAGGACACGGACCAGCACTCAAGGCATTGTGGGACTTTGTCTTTGGAAGATTCAGCTTTAGCATTTGTGGAAGCCATCAAGTGTGGGGTCAGCTCTTCGGGGACTAGATTTGACCTTGATGGAGCCATCCTTGTGGCCCCATCCTACCCCATGGGCCTGTCTTACCAGCAGGGACACCAGTGCTCCTGGTGGAGGTCATAGAGATTGCCGTGAAGCCAGAGAAGCCTTTTGCCCTGGCCCAGCAGGACAAGGGTGGTCACCAGGGTGAGCCGGTGCCCGGTAGGCCGGGTTTCTGGTCATTCTGCTTCCACAGTGCCCACACTTGTTTTCCCAGCAGAGGTCAGCCCAGGGCCCGGGGCCCGTTGCCTTCGGAGTGTAATGCCTGATTCCCCACACTTGCACACGCTCTCCCGAGTACAGAGGCCAATTCCAGCAAAACACAAATAGAAGCAGATTGGGCTAGGAAGAAACTAGTTGCCAGACTTGGACTTCTCCAACCACAGAATCCACCGAGGTACCATTCTCTCTACGGTGTCTCCCAATAATCCGGGCCTGAACTCTCAGTCGGGAGCCCTCAGTCCAGTGATCAGAACTGTGTTGGTCAGGCGTGCAGCCTTCCTTCCTCCACGACCTTCAGACGACCCTTCTCACTCCCCACCCACTTCTGCCTCTATTTCCACCCAGCACACTCCCTCTGTCACCTACAATGGGCAACTGCTCAGCCCGATCTTTCCTCTTCTTCTGTACACCTACCCAAACACCTTACTTCACATTGTGTTTCACTTTTAATAGTGGTTGAGGCCTGTGGCTGCAGACAGCAGAGACGTGGGTATATGATCACATGTATTTTAAATTTTGAAAGGGTTTTCCCCAGACCCTCTAGTTTCCTTCCACCCTCATTCTCCCAGTCCAACTCCAACTTCTCTACCAATGCTCCCAGAATGGAGACCAGACAATGTAAGTAATGTTATGCCCTCACAGAGATCGCCCACACCACCACGTAGCCGTGGAAGGATACTCACTGGAGTTCCTGGACGGCCAGGGTCACCTGGGGAACCTGGTGATCCACTGTTACCCTGGTGGAAGAAACAGAAATGATCATCCTGCCAGGACTGCGTGCCAGGGTGTCACAGATCGGGGCATGGCCGGGACAGGGCGTCACAGAGCCGGAGCGTGGCGTAGACATTGCTGGAGGGGAAGGACCTGATTTCACACACTCTCTTCTCACTGGGACCAGTGCGGTTTGCAGGAAATCACTCTGTTCCTCAGGATTTCTCCACTTGTCAGAAAGAGTTCATAATATTTAATTCATACGGCGATGGTGGAGCTAACTGAGTCTGTGGGCATGCAAAGGCCCAGCCCAGTGGCTTGTGCCTACAGCGCAGGCACGATAAAGAATCATGACCACATTCACTCCATCCATTCATCCTTCAACTCAAGATGCTGTGTTTGGAAGGAAACCAACTCAAAGGACCTGACGTAGAGATGACGGCTTGCCTCACGGAATGCTGCTCCCCACTGAGGATGTCCATGTGCTCGCCTCTTTCCACTACCCGGCCATGTAATAGACGAGGACAGGGAACGGAGGGGGAGATGCACAGCCCTGCCCTGGCAGGTCCAGGTTCGTGGGTGTGTTCACAGTGACTGCCTCAATTCAAATATTTTCCAAGGGTGTTTTCTGCCCATTTGTCATCGGATGAATATATTTAACAAAAGAAGATTCCTGATAGAGTATTAAAAAAAATCAGGAGGGTGAAGAATGTTCCTCGATACCTCCTTTCACGCAACGATGCCTCAAATTCTTCCAACAGAATTGGCCTCACCCTCTGCCCACCATGTTTTGGCTTGTGTACCTCTCCTCCCTGCTACCAGGAGCCCAAGAGTCTGTGCCCATGACCCCCACGCCCGCAGTGTCCAGCACAGGTCAGGCACAGGAGTCTCTCTCCTTCAAGGGATGGGCCAAGGGCATCCCTGAGGCTCTTGTGAATGCTGAAATGCATAAAGCAGATCTTCACAAAGGTTTCCAGGAGACACATTAGTGTGGGGGGCAGTGATCCCTGCCTGGGCACTTCGTACACAGCACACCTTCAAAGGGGCTTCACACACGTGCAAACATCATCACCATTTTTTACAAGTGGAGAAACAAGCCCAGAAAGGTTAAACTGGCCAGAGGCGGAGGGTCTGAACTCTGAGCTCAGGCAGCACAGATCATATCCCATACTGCTTTGCATCTCAGAAAGGACCAAACTTGTGGGTTCATGATACAACTGTAGCCTCCTCCCGTGCCTACAACATACACAGATGACCACGGTGGGACTCATCTTACCCAATCCTCCCGAAGATGTCTTCAGTGTCTTTAGTGAGGACACGGAGGTACAGAGAAAGCCCAGGCCCAGCGAGGCCAGAGCTGCGGAAGGCTGAAACCCGAGCAGCAAGCAGGATCTGCACCAGGGCCCCGCCCTCGGTCCCTCCCAGGAGTGCTGCCAGCCACCTCTCCCTGTGCTCCCCCGCCCACCATCCCATCTGTGTCCCTCTAAAAATATGCGCTTCGCCAAATCCCCGCAGAAACTACATCTCCGCCCTCCTCCCTCTGGGCCCCTCTACAGCAGGAGGAGGAAAACAGGACACATCAGCACACAGCAACCAAAGCATGGGGTTGCCTGTCCACTGGGCACGGGAGACATCCTAGGGTCATGGAGGCCCTCCAAGTGTCTCCCCCTTTCTCAAGAATCCCCCTGGGAAAGTCCCCGGGTGGCTCCAGCATGGAGGGCACGGGAGGCTTTCCCCAGATATTGTGAGGCACACTCTGTGGCCTCGAGCTCCCTCCTTCCAGGATGACCTCTTTGACAAGGAAATCTGGCCCACACAGGCCCGCGCTTGGATGTGTCAGGGGGATTAAGCTGCAGACTCTGTGCCAGATGGCTCGGGTCTAAATCCTGCCATAGCTGCTGACTCAGCTGTGTGATCTTGGGTGAATTACCTGGCATCTCTGTGCCTCCATTTCTCCTCTATACATGAGTAACCACCACACTTGCCTCAGAGGTTTTGAGGAAAACTCAGTGAACAAATGAGGTTAGTGCTTCACAAAGTCCACAGCACTAAACCCTCCTGGTAGCTCCTAAAAGCCAGTGGCTAGAAGTGGTCATCATGCGATCTATTCCCACCTCTGTGCAGATGCAGATTTTAAAGAAATAAAATGAAGGGTTGGTTTTTTTTTTATGGCCACACACATACTTTCTATACATGAGAGCAACTCATAAATACTGCCAGCCACCAATGTAATGATGTTTTGGGGCACAATGGACTGCATACACAACCGTGGTCCTATAAGATTACAGTGGGCCTGAGAAGTTCCCAATGCCTAGTGGCGTCATAACCATCCTGATGTCACCATGTTACATAGGACCCGGACATGGGGGGAGGGGGCGGTACTGGTGTAACAAACCCACAAGAAGGCCAGGCACGGAAAAGAGAGCATGTGCTCGTGTTCCATATGTGGCCCTTGATGATCCTAATAGATGGATATTCCACAGGCTTATACACCACCATGATATGCTTTCCAACTTAGTTTCAGACAATATTTCTACTTATGAACAAAGCAAGCTATAGCCCGACATGGTGGACACCTGTCAGCTACTCAGGAGGCTGAGGAAGGTGGACCTCAAAATAGAGGCCAAGTTAAGGATACCTTGTCTCAAAAACAAAAACAAAAGGACTGCAGGCATCACGCGAGCGGTAGAGTGCTTTCTCAGAGAGCGCAATCCCCGGAGTTCAATGTCTAGCATCACAAAAAATAGCAGGTAAGTAAAAACTTCCATAAAAGACTACCCACATACTCAGACAACCACTCATTCATCTTGTGTGCATCAGGTGAGTTGATCACATCCTTTTGTTTTTTTCTTGCATAGCACTCTGCCTGTACAAATCTCTTTTCTGCTTCTCCATCCTCGCTGGCTGTTCTTAGGTAAGCATTTACTTAGGTGTGCAAATGGGCAGAAACAATACTGAAAATATTGACTAAATCTGGGAGGTGAGGAGGTTAAACTGTGTCTCCTCAAAAATCGTAGTTGGAGTCCTAGTGATCTTGGTACTCTCAGAATGGGACCTTAGTTAGAAACCAGGTCATTGTAGACTAATGAGTTCCATGAGTTCAAGGTGTGGTAGGGTGGGATCCTCATCCAATATGGCCCCAGACACACACAGGAAGAAGTTCCTGCAGATGGAGGCAGAGACGGGGTGATGCATTCACCATCCAAGGAAGGCCAAGCGGGCCGGAGCCCCCTAGAAGGTGCAGATGTATGGAGCGCCATCCTTTGGAAAGGCCCATCCTGCCCATGCATGTCCCCCTCTCCGGCTTCTGGCCTCCAGATCCCTGGACAATCAGGGGCCAAGGGCAGTGGCGCGAACCTAAAGCCTTGATTTTTTTTCCCCCACATCATATATGACTGCACCAGGGTGCACTAGTCAAACATCACCAGGATAAGTCCTTGCCAACGCATGCAGCAAATCCTCAAGGCAAAACTTACCGGGGGTCCCCTGGGACCTCGGGGACCCTGTAGCCCTGCAGGTCCGGCATCACCCTGGAACAGACAGACATGAGCCACATCATCACAGAGACACACATCAAAGAGGCTGATGGCCAGCTTCCAATGTGGGCTAGACGGCACCAAGAGACCCAGCCGTTCCCTTATGAATCACTGGTAATTGCACATTTGCGCAAAGCTGCTTCTCACAAATGAGGAAACTTCGTGTAAGTTCTCATTGAGGCCTGAGGGTACATGCCCACTTGCTCAGGAATCTCACCCCATTTCCATCGTCTCCTGACTGAATCCTCCCAGAAGAAAAAAAAATCTGCCCACCAGGTGCACAGGGCCTTTGGCACTAAGCAGCCATGTTTCACAAAGCACAACCATTTTTGTGAGGCCCAGGCAGCCTCCTTATTTGCTGTAATCCTACTGTGTTAGGGGAGAAGACTCAAGAGTTTTGACATGTTACCACACACAGTGGACTAGAAAACAGTCTAAAAGCCCAGTTTTTAAACTAAAAAGAGCCAGAGAGCTCAGATGGAGAAAGAAAGCATTTGCCCACCAGCTGGTGTCCCAGGTTCCTGCTCAACTCCATCTTGAGTGTGGTCTGGGCTGAGACCAGCTCCAATGCAACCTGGGGAGGCCTTTTCCCTCCAGTGAACACTGAAGTAGAGAAGTGGCTAAGCCAGGATTGCCCAGCTGCCACCTAGCATCTGAGAGGCCCCCACGAGGCAGGGTTGGGGTGTGCATGCGTTCAGCTACACACAGGGGGCTTCTTCACACACCGCATCGCTAGGGTAGGTACTAAGGAAAAACATGGGACCTAGATCAGCTTTCTCCTTTGATCCCATCTAGCTCCATCAACTCAGGTCAGCCAAAGGGCCGGTGTGCTTCACGGCATCGAGAACACTGAGAGGTGTCCATCTCACCAGTTCTCAGCCCGGTCCAAAGAGGGCAAAGGGCAGATGGGGAGCTCAAAACACCATGTTCATACTTTCCCCCAAAGAGCCATTCTCAGGAAACCAAGCTACTTCCTCCAGGGTCAGGAGGCCTGCAAGGTGCCAAATACAAAAGCTGGCCAGCCACTGGGGACATGACCGCCTGGCAATACTGGCTGCAGTCTGGCTGCACCTTCCTCTGGCTCTCCATAAGGAAAGTAAGTCCTTAACCTGTCCAGATCTCAGTGTTTTAATGATATCACCCGAGTAAGAAATACACCTGCACTGTCCTGATTCATGACCACTTAACCCAAGAGTCATCTCAGACATCTGAAATGACATGTAGCTGGGCTGTAACCCTAGCTCCTTAGGAGGCTGAGATCTGAGGATCATGGTTCAAAGCCAGCCTGGACAGGAAATCCTATGAGACTCTTATCTCCAATTAACCACAAAAAGCCAAAAGTAGAGCTATGGTTCAAGAGATAGAGTGGTAGCCTTGAGCAAAACAAATAAAAATAAAAATAAAATGCTCAGGGAGACTACCCAGGCCCTGAGTTCAAGCCCCCAGACTGGCACTAAGTTAATTAATAAATTATGAAATGCAGCATCTCATGGGAGAGGTGGAGATGAGGGCCCTATGATTACTAAGGAAGCAGGAGATGGAGGAAGATGCTAGGAGGAGAGGAGGCTGTCTTTCTAGGGCACAGAGTGTACAACCAGTGGTCCTGCCATGGGTACCAACAGGCAAAGCACAGTTAATCCACAAGGCACAGGCCCCCACCATGGGCAGGAAGCCCTGGCCAGCGTGTGGAGTTCACTGTGTGGCACTTTACAGCAGGGTCACCAGTCATGCAGAGAGCAGCTCCTGCTGTCAATCCCTGGTCTTCCCAACTCCCGCAGGCCACAGCACACTCAGGGTCCCCCACAACAACCCCATCAAGGCTGAGAATGCGGCTCAGTGGTAGAGTGCTTGCCTAGCGTGCCTGAAGCCCTGGGTTCAACCCCTCAGTACCACATACACAGGAAAAGCCAGAAGTAGTGCTATGGCTACAGTGGTAGAGCGCTAACCTTGAGCAAAAGAAGCTCAGGGACAGCGTCCAGGCCCTGCGTTGGAGCCTCAGAACTGGCAAAACAAAACAAACAAACCCCCAGTGAAAACACACTTACATCTTTTCCTGGTGTCCCTTCCTGGCCAGGGGGGCCCATGGCCCCAGGCTCTCCCTAGAAACAAGAAGAGGCTGTTAGGGATGGAGCTGCCTTGACTTCTGGTTGCCTCCAGCCGGGGGCCTCAGGGGAAGTGGAAGAGAGACAGCAGTGCCATGTGAGAAGCACCTCCCACAGGGCAGAGCCTGCCGCACAGGGCGGGATCTTCATCACCCACGACCAGAAAGATTGCGGGGCAGGGGGGGGGGGGGGAGCAGAAAGATTGCAGGGGGCCTCGCCTGCTTCCCCCGGCAGTGCAGCAAGCCAAGGATCAGCAGGGCCTGCTCGGGTCCTCTCTTTATTTGGTGGCCATGCCCCCCCACACTCTCTATTGTGGCTTTGTACTGGTTATTAGCATAGCCACAGACCCCAAGGTCCTTTTCATCTGGGCACTGGAGTTAAAGGAGAAGGAAATAGACTATGGGAGAAGGTGGACCTTGGGGAAACGGCCACCCATATCTTCAGGGCTTCAGGTTCTCCCTCTGCAAAATAAACCCACTGCTGAGATTTGTTTCATAGGCTCCCGGGCAACACGCACATCCCAGATGCTGGAAACCACCGCAGAGGTCGGGTGGCTCTGGTCAAACTCGCCGTGCATCTGCCTGCCCTCGAGCAGGACCAGCAAGAGAAATCGGGCTAAAAGAGGGCGTGAGAGTGGAGCCCGAGGGTTAGGTAACATGGTATGTCCCTGCTGCGCACCTCAGCAGCCCTCCCTCTAAATGTGCTCACTCTGACTCACCCGGGAGGCCTTCCAAAGCCAGTCACTCACTTACCCGGGGACCAGGGGGACCAGAATCGCCCGTATGTCCCTTGAAGCCCTGGAAGAAATATGATGGAGTTACTTCAACAAACAGCAGGCTCAAGGGGCAAAGGAAGGGCGTAGGCTTAGCGTGATGGCCCAGAGCAGGTACATCTTCTCCTGTGGCTTTGGCTCCACCCAACTATGCTCATTGTCAACTGCCAGACAGACGTTGGGCCCTGCTGTGTGCTCAGAATGGGGAGGAAGGCAGGAAAGGAGAAGTGGGAGGGGCGCAGTGATGGAGGGGGAGGAAGGGGAGGGGCGCAGTGATGGAGGGGGAGGGTGGGGAGGGGCGCAGTGATGGAGGGGGAGGATGGGGGAGGGGCGCAGTGATGGAGGGGGAGGATGGGGGAGGGGCGCAGTGATGGAGGGGGAGGATGGGGGAGGGGCGCAGTGATGGAGGGGGAGGAAGGGGAGGGGCACAGTGATGGAGGGGGGAGGGGAGGGGCGCAGTGATGGAGGGGGAGGATGGGGGAGGGTGCAGTGATGATGGAGGGGGAGGATGGGGAGGGGCGCAGTGATGGAGGGGGGAGGGGAGGGGCACAGTGATGGAGGGGGAGGATGGGGAGGGGCACAGTGATGGAGGGGGAGGATGGGGGAGGGTGCAGTGATGGAGGGGGGAGGGGAGGGGCGCAGTGATGGAGGGGGAGGAAGGGGAGGGGCACAGTGATGGAGGGGGGAGGGGAGGGGCGCAGTGATGGAGGGGGAGGATGGGGGAGGGTGCAGTGATGATGGAGGGGGAGGAAGGGGAGGGGCGCAGTGATGGAGGGGGAGGATGGGGGAGGGGCGCAGTGATGGAGGGGGAGGAAGGGGAGGGGTGCAGTGATGGAGGGGGGAGGGGAGGGGCGCAGTGATGGAGGGGGAGGATGGGGAGGGGCACAGTGATGGAGGGGGGAGGGGAGGGGCGCAGTGATGGAGGGGGAGGATGGGGGAGGGTGCAGTGATGATGGAGGGGGAGGAAGGGGAGGGGCGCAGTGATGGAGGGGGAGGATGGGGGAGGGGCGCAGTGATGGAGGGGAAGGAAGGGGAAGGGGAGGGGCGCAGTGATGGAGGGGGAGGATGGGGGAGGGCGCAGTGATGGAGGGGGAGGAAGGGGAGGGGCGCAGTGATGGAGGGGGAGGTAGGGGAGGGGCGCAGTGATGGAGGGGGAGGAAGGGGAGGGGCGCAGTGATGGAGGGGGAGGGGAGGGGCGCAGCGATGGAGGGGGAGGAAGGGGAGGGGTGCAGTGATGGAGGGGGAGGAAGGGGAGGGTGCAGTGATGGAGGGAGAGGATGGGGGAGGGGTGCAGTGATGGAGGGGGAGGGGAGGGGTGCAGTGATGGAGGGGGAGGAGGGGGAGGGGTGCAGTGATGGAGGGGGAGGATGGGGGAGGGGTGCAGTGATGGAGGGGGAGGATGGGGAGGGGTGCAGTGATGGAGGGGGAGGAAGGGGAGGGCGCAGTGATGGAGGGGGAGGAAGGGGAGGGTGCAGTGATGGAGGGGGAGGATGGGGGAGGGGTGCAGTGATGGAGGGGGAGGGGAGGGGTGCAGTGATGGAGGGGGAGGAGGGGGAGGGGTGCAGTGATGGAGGGGGAGGATGGGGGAGGGGTGCAGTGATGGAGGGGGAGGATGGGGAGGGGTGCAGTGATGGAGGGGGAGGATGGGGGAGGGGTGCAGTGATGGAGGGGGAGGGGAGGGGTGCAGTGATGGAGGGGGAGGAGGGGGAGGGGTGCAGTGATGGAGGGGGAGGATGGGGGAGGGGTGCAGTGATGGAGGGGGAGGAAGGGGAGGGGTGCAGTGATGGAGGGGGAGGAAGGGGAGGGCGCAGTGATGGAGGGGGAGGAAGGGGAGGGTGCAGTGATGGAGGGGGAGGATGGAAGGCCAGGTCAGGGTTCCTCCCTATGGGGCCTGCGATGCGGTGCTGGCCCTCACAGTACTCTCATGTCACAGTCCTCAAGTCATGAAAGGCGAATTCTGTGTGCCCGGCTTATCGATGAGGAAAGTGGAGGCAGTGGTGCTGTGGTTCACACACACCCCGACTGACACAGGGCCTCTCCCTGCCCCTCAAGTCAAGCAGCAGCTTGCGGCCCCACAGAGCCCTCAGAGCAAGGACCCTCATAGCCCCCTCCACACCCCGCTCTGGCCTGGTCTCCTGAGAAGAACAGAACCTCTGGCAGGACCTACGGGGTACCCTCTCTTGCCAGTCTCTTAAGGCCCTTGTACTCTCAACTCAAAAAGTGTGCTGCTAGGGCTGGGAAGGTGGCTCAGTGGTAGAGTGCTTGCCTTGCATGCATGAGGCCCTGGGTTCGATTCCTCAGCACCACATAAGCAAAAAGGAAAAAAAGCCGGAAGTGGCGCTGTGGCTCAAGTGGTAGAGCACTAGCCTTGAGCTGAAGAGCTGAGGGACAGCGTCCAGGCTCAGAGTTCAGGCCCCACGACTGGACCAAAAATAAATAAATAAATAAAAATTTAAAAATGTGCTGCTATAGCTAACATAATGCTACCTGCATGAACATCTGAAATCATTTCCTCTCAAGTCAGGTCTGAGTCAAAAGTGTTCACTCTCTTCTATCATATTCAATAGACTGCTAGAAATTACTGCAGAGTAATAAGGTAAGAGAAAGAAAAGGAATTCAAATAGGAAAGGAAGAAGGAACATTATTCTTACTTGTACATGATATAATCCTTGACTTAAAAGAGGCAAAAGATTCTACCAAAGCATCCCTAGGCTTTTGGAATAGCACGATATAAAAGTAACATATAAAAAAATCAGTAGGTTTTTCTATACAACAATGAACATGCTGAGAACAAGTTCAGTAAAAACAATTCCACTTGTAATAGCATCAAAAAACTACAAAAACACCTAGAAGTAAATTATTATCTAAGAAGATAAAAGACCTATACAATAAAAACTATAAAATGTTGAAGAAAGAAATGTTTAAAAAAACAGAACATGGACAGAGCTGCCATATCTTTGGATTTGGTCTAGCAGAATCCCTGCTGTGAAAATGACTACACCATCTACAGATTCAGTGAAAACAGTTCATCAAAAAGCTCATCAAAACCCCAATGTTGTTCCTCACAGGAACAGAAAAATCAATCCTAAAATTCATATTCATATAAAATTCATATTCATATAAAATTCATAAAAAGACCCAATACACCAAAAGAGCAATGCTGGAGGTATCACAACACCGGCCTTCAAATCACATTGCAGTAACAACAACAACAAAAATCAGCATGGTAGTGGAATGCAAATAGATACAAGGACGCATGGAACACTGGGTACTAGCCTACAATCGCAGCTACTCAGGAGGCTGAGATCTGTGGATTGCAGTTCCAAGCCAGTCATCTTGGGAAGAAAAGAATCCATGGGAGTCTTATCTCCATTTAACCACCAAAAAGCTAGAAGTAGAGCTGTGGCTACTGCAGTAGAGTGCTAGCCTTGAGCCAAAAAGCTCAGGAACAGCACCCTGACCCTGAGTTCAAGCTTGAATAAAGGCATACACAAACAAAGACAAAGAGAACAGCATCAAAGACACAGAAATAAACTCCCACAGCCATCTGACATTTTACAAAGGAGCCAAAGACATACTCCTATAGTCCTAGCTACTCAGGAGGCTGTGATCTAAGGATCACAGTTTGAAGCCAACCTAGGCAGGAAAAGCCGGTGAGACTATACTCTCCAATTAACAACCAAAAAGCCAAAGCAGAGGTTTGGTTCAAGTGGTAGAGCGAGAAAGCTAAAGGATGGCTCTGAGTTCAAGCCCCAGGACACACCCCTTCCTCCACTCCTCCCCTCCCCTCCCTCCCTCCCCCCCCTTCCTCCACTCCTCCCCTCCCCTCCCTCCCTCCTCCCCTCCCTCCCCCCCACCACACCTACACAGACTGTGAGATAATCGGCTATCTACACACACACACAAAAACAGAAATAGGACCCCTTTCTTTTATCCTGTACAAAAATCATTTAAAAATGGATAAAAGGCTTTCAAGTAAGACCTAAAGCTCCGAACCTACTAAAGGAAAACAGAGGGAAAATAGAAAATTTAGTTATAAACCTTTTTCTGAATAAGACTTTTAGTTGCCCTGGAGATAAAAGCAAGAAATCACAAAATAGCGTTTGCTCATCAAAGGAAGCAATGATCAGACTCCAAAGACAACCCACAAAATGGGAGAAAGTCTTCAAGGAGATAACCAGTTTTCCCAGCATCATTTATTATATTACATTCTATAATTCTACAAGCAATCATCAATTACGCTTAAGTCAATATGGAATTTCTTCAAAAAAAAAAAAAAAGAGTAGAAGCTGGGTGTTGGTGGCTCACATCTGTAAGCCTAGCAGTTTAAAGCCAGGCCCCGCAGGAAAGCCCATGACACTCTTATTTCCAATTAACCACCAAAAGAAGGAAAAAAAGGCAGAAGTGGCATGTGCACATGTGTGCACTCACACACACACAAACACACATATACACATACACATACACAACAAAGTAGAGCTACTTTATGACCCATCTATACCACTCCTAGGCATATATCCAAAGGGTGTAAATCAACATACAAGAGAAATACATGCACACCCATGTTTACTAAGCACTGGTCACAATAGGCAAGATAAAGAACCAGGCTAGAGTCCCCACAAATGATGACTAGAGAAACTGATACAGATGGGTGAGAGATAGAAATTCGTCATCCACAAAGAAGAATGAAATCATGTCATTTGCAAGAATACAATGGAACTTGAGAACATGTTGACTGAGATCATAAAAACTCAAAAAGCCAAGTATCAAGGTTTTACACATATGTGGTACCTAGAATAATAATAGTAGTAATAATAATACTATTAGTATAAAAGAGAAGCTGAGGTAGTCAGTGAGGAGGGGATGAAGAGGATCAAAGTAGAAAATATATTACATGTATATGTGTACATAGACATACATGTATACTATACATATATCCATATACATCTATGCATCTATACATACATATATGCCTATGTGCGTATATATATACATTTATATATGAAGATAGCATAGTGAAACCAACTCAACACTGTTTGAAAAGCAGTGGAGAAGAGGTAGTAGATGCACAGTATACATCTACGGAATTATCACAATGACACTCGCTTGTACTACTCATGTATACTAATATTAACTAGTTTATTTGATTTGAGAACACAGAGCCTGGGGCTGTAGCTCAATAGTACAGTTATAGTCTGGTCATATGTGGAAGTCCCTGGGTTCAATCCCCACCCACGCTACGAGAAAAAAAATAAAACAGACAAATGAACTAACCATTATTCACCACGATACCATACTTTTATGAGATTATATTATGTTCCATAGTAAGCAGTCATCTAATAAATTTTAAAAATGCCTTTAGAAAAAATATAATGAGATCATCAATTTCAAGTATGCTTGGAAAAAAAATCAATTGCTTATTCTGTATTTCAACATCCACAGGCAAAAACGGTCCTGGTCCTCAGGCTCCTTCTGGTGTGGTTAGGTGAAAAGCAAGGAGATTTGGGTGAGAGGAATATTGATTTTTGTGTTTTATTTCCTCCTATTGAAAAGACTAGGTTGGTGATTTATTGATTTTTTTAAAGAAAAACAACATTAAGGAAACAGAAGTCACAATTTTGGGCTGCTACTTCTTGGCAGATAATTGGATTTTAAGATTTTTATTAAACAACATATTTTTTCCAGAAACAATTTAAATAATTGTGTAAATAACTTTGAAATTATGGAAAAATAAAGCATTAGAAAATCCTAAAATAGAGTTTATTTTTAAGACAAAAAGAACTTTATTTGTATACTAGCTAGATAGCTATTGATTTAAGTGTAGAGTTGTTGAAATACATCTATGGGAAAGGATCTAAAGAGTATACTATCATGTTGGCAGTGCTTTATGCTGTAGAATCATAAATAATTGTTTTCTTCTCTATACATTATTTTTATACTGGTTTTCTTATTACGATTATTAGGCTGTGCCATTAAGACAGGTTACTTTAATCACTAGAAAAATCTTAGTTATGGAGAAATTTGCAGATGAAAATTAAGACTCACTTTTAGTCTTGGACATTTATCCAAAAGACTATAAGTCAGGATATAATAAAGACACATGCACAATCATGTTCATTGTTGCACAATTCACCATAGCCAAGTTACAGAAACAGCCTAGATGCCCTATAATGGACCAGTGGATCAAGAAAATGTGATTTAGATATGTCCGCACACACATACACAATGGAAATTCATTCAGCCATCAGGAAGAATAATGCTATGTCACTTGCAGGAAAATGGATGGACCTAGAAAAATACGTTAAGTGAAGCAAGTCAGGCTCAGAGAGACAAGGGATGCATGTTTTTTTCTCATTTTGATCTAAATTATAAACATATCTGATAACACATACAGGGTCATACGCACGCATATATTTACACAATTGAACTGAACAAAGTATAATATACGCAGGAGTAAATTTCAATAATGCAACTCCTTGTTAGCTGACGGTTTAACAAAATAAATACCAGAAAGCTGAAGTATGCTTTGTCTTAGGGTGCTGTAGCTTAAGGGGAGATGGGAAGACAAATGGACAGAAAAAGGATGGGAAAATACAGTCGTAATATTCATGGTAGATAGACAAGAATGGAACTAGATAGCTTGAGGCCATGGGTGGAGTTTGGAGCGATGAAGACAGTGATGGAAGGGGTCTGAGATGTTGGTCAAGATGCATGGTAATCATAAGTTAACACATGGAACTGAAACCCCTTCGTACAACTCCTCAAAGATATTCTTTAGAACACTCATGTCTAGGTCCTACTATTCAGAGAGAACCCACTAAAAGTATAATCAAGAAGAAACCAATGCAGAAAAGTGAAAATGGTCCTGTGAAGGCGGGGAGGGTGCTGTGATTTTCCACATGTAACATGTAGAAACAGCAGAAATGTTCTTGGAAGAACCCCTGTTCTTGGAGGATGGGGAGATGGGTGTGTAACCTCACATTCAGGTCTCAGCTATCCCTACCCAAGGTGGGCAGAGCCTCGTGGCTGAGGGGCTTCACGCTACCATGCCCAACACTGGTCCTGAACTTACAGGTGGTCCTCGGGCACCGTCCGCTCCTGGCAGACCCGGCTCTCCTGCTTTGCCCTGAAAGAAGAAGAGAGCAGTTGGAAGATCGTATTTTCAGGATTTCCCTGTGGCCGTCTGCCAGTACTTTGTATCGCTCTATGTCCACAAGCCACAGTCTTTATGACTGTCAGCCTGCTCTCCCCGTTTTCTGGTCCATTTCATCTAGGCCTACACCCACAATACGTCCACACCCAGGGCCTTCTAGGTTTCCTTGGGAGTGCTGGCTGCACAGCGCTTCCTGACTCCTCGTGCCCTGCACTGTCAGAAGTGCTCCAGCCTGAGGAGAGATGACGGCAACGTCTCAATGCCCATGATGTCTTCACCCAAAAGCTATTAAGGATTGTGCCTTCCGGGAGGTGACACAGAGAAGCAGGGAGGCACATTTCCACTGAGCAACGAAATGGAGAAGCCAGACTTCCTAGACTTGATCCACACCCAGATGGCTGTTCTCGCCTGTGATGTAGGTCTCTGAGAGTCAGGCAGTACAGGCCTATCCTGGCTCTGCTCCAAAGGAAAGTATGATGGTGGCCACGGGATCCAGATTACCCTCAGAAAAATGGGACAAAAACCAGCAGGCCTTAATGGTGTCCATGAATCCACCCTGAAATCCAGCGAAACTCTTCTTAACCCTCCAGCCGAGCACTGGGATACAGAGAAGTAGGGTCATCCACCCAAGGAATGCAACTCAAGTTCTAGTGAAGACATTTACCAGCCACATCCTTGGGCTCATTGGGAGTAAATCTGCCTACAACTCCTTCAGAGGCTAGCTGTTACGTGGGGGGGTGGGGAGGGGAAGGTGGACAAGGACATGCTGGCTCCAATGGGCTCTTGAAGGTGTGAAGAAGGTGTGAGGGAAGGCCTCCAGGCAGTGATCATCCACAAAAGGCTGGAGCGTGATGCGTAGCTATCCCAGACCCTGGTCCTGCCTCAGAGATGGGGAAGGGCTGACCTTCTAGTGGTGTTCCTCAGGGATCCCCACAGAGCTGCCTCTGTGCTCCCTGGAGGAGCGACACGCTAGCTGGCCTTTTCCTCGCCCCCTTGTCCAGTCCCCCGGAGGTTTACTTTGTAGGATTCCCTCCTGAATACCCGCTTCCAACCTCTGCCTAAGATCTCAGGGGATCCTAGGTTCTACCCGTCCCGTGCTGCTGGTTCCTCCCCTATAATTCAGGGTGATGAACAGGAGGGCAGCGCCGTGAAGTTTCCCAATGAATCAATAGGAGAATCCAGGCATGTAAATCTTAGGCCAGGGCACGTGCAGGAGTACTGCTGTTCCTGGTCAGGGCATGGGGTTCTGGATGGGGCTCTCTGCTGCTGCTGGTGAGTCATGTGCAGTCCAGGAGACACAGCTTTGTGTCCAACATGCACCCCATGCACCCAGGACAGACTTAGTTTTGCATCAGTAATGTCTAATGCCTGGCACAGCCATAGGCTAGAGCTGACCAAAGAAAAGATCAAAGTCCCCAGTTACCCTAGTGGAGGGAAACTTCTCAGGCTAACGCAGAAAGCTGGGTCCCTGTTCTGAGCTCTGTGCTCCAGGTTAACCCCTGGATACTTCATTGATGAACTGATGATCTTGACTGATCTGTCTACCTCTCTGTGACAAGTTCCCCAGCTGGAATGATGATGGTCCTCCCCCCTGGGGCTTTACAGACAGAATGGAAAAGGAGGTGAAGTACTATGCCCGGGCCTCAGGTGCTTGCAGGAGTTCCAGCCAAGGGACACAGTTTCTGATGCCATCCACCTGCTGACTGCCCTTGGTCTCTTTCCCGGGGCAGCTCACCTGGGAGTCAGCCCTGCTTTAAGCATCTCTGCTAGACTGCTTCAGAATTCTAGAGCCTTTGTAGTGATGAGCTGTTTTCCCCTCCCATTCCCCCCAGTGATAAATTTTGGCTTTGACATCTGGCAAACAGTGTAAACTGACAAAGAGGTGCCTCTGGCAAAACTGTGAGATTCAGAGGCAGTCATAATAGTTTATGACCAAACAAATTAAACGGAACATGAACTTCCCCGTCGAAACTTTTATGTAATTCTACTTAAGGGCTCCAACGGCTCTACAGTTTCAACCTCACCAGGAATTAAAAGTAGGGCAGCTGCAAAAAGAAACTCACTAAAATAATTAACAGTCAGACAAGCCGGAGTAGGACATGCAGTGTTCACCTCGTTTGCTCCTCCAGTTACTCTGGTGGTCAGCTCCTTCTTTTCATTCCACAGAAAAGGACACGAGTGCTCACAGACGCTATCTGACTCACTCTGGATCACCAAGGAGTGGAGCCAGCACCACTACCCAGTGGTGATTGTTGCTGTAACTGTGGCCTAACACATTTTTACTTCACCATTATCATTTAATTTTGTCAGTGAGAAATGCCTATCTATCGCTCCAAAACTTTTAAAATACAAACATTATGGTGAGGAAGAATAGATATATAGGGATAGAAAATGGCGGACCTATGACAAAAAAATGGAAACAACCAACACTTTGGGGTGACTCAGACAGTAGAGTGTCCACCAATGAGGAAGACAACAGATATGGGGTTCAAGGCCTGGTGTTGGATGAAAAAGCCAAAAAGGTGGACATAACATGTGGCTCATCAGGATGTTCTTCTTCCCACAATGCCCTGGATTCCCACTCAAATACTTCTTCCCATAATGCCCTGCACTCCTACTCAAATGCTTCTTCCCATAGTGCCCTTGTTTCTAATCAAATGCTTCTTCCTCCCACAATGCCCTGGGTGCCCGCTTACGCCCTGAAAAGAGCCAGGGTGACAGATATATGAGCCTTCACGCGATCAGTGCCCAACTCAGTGGAGAAGATGTGGATGTTGCCCCGGTACTGCAATAATCCCCCCGAGAGAGGACTCCGCTGGACTTCCAGCGCTGGCCCTTTTCCACAGTCTTTTCATTTTTAACTAAACTTGCTCTACCTGCTTTAAACAAGTTCCTGCCCTTTAATTCTTTAACGGGTGAAGAAATGAACCCAGGCCCTTACACTGCATGGCAGGTGCATGAAGTTGTTTTCTCATTCCTGTGGCCCCTTGGCTCAGAGCCCTCACCAGTGAATGCAAACTACTCTCTTCTGTGGCGTCTCACAGAGTTCCTTGACGTCAAAAGCTAGGAAAATACAGACATCTATTTTTGTTGGGTATGTGAGAAAAAACTATCTTTTCTATGAAAAATGCCTGCTTAAAAGAGTCTGCTTTGGCCTGGTGGCTTGTCTCCTGTGAAGGAGAAGAGGAACTGCTTTGGGATAAGGAAGGATTTTTGAAATGTAAGGTTTTGTTTTAAAATGGTTTCTTCTCAAGATGAAATTATGACACACAACAGATTGTTCAAAAAACAGCCAAGGGTGTACTTGTATACAGTTAATGTCATTTCAAAGTCACTTTATGTAAAAAAAAGTTTTACCCTTTCCAAACTGGCTGATCATGGGCAGATTGTAAACCTGAGCTCAATCCAACTGAGCAGCGGGGCAGGGCCTGCTGTGTCGGGATAAAAACAGGGAGCAGCCTGGGCTCCGAGTGCTTGCCAGCCAGGGGATTGTTGGCTGATGGAACACTCTCTCCTCCACAGAAGCCAATTTTGCCTTACTGAGACAATTCTTCATTCTCGTGTCTATCCTTGTGACTCTGATGTTGTTCTTGGAGAGCATATTTACAACAAAAGTAAGGCAGACTGTGCACTGCTCAGCACCTCTGTCTTTCCCTGTGACATGGTACTCGGAACGGTCCCACATCTACTCCCACAGAAAGCCTCCATTTGTTCTGACAGCCGCCACGTGTGGCTGTTTCCAGATGCACGCACGCCCTGCATGCAGCCAGCTTCTTAGGGTGGGCCTTTGGAGAGCCCAGGCTTCGTGCCCACCCATTCATCTCCCCCTAAACCTGTGGGGTTCCTTTTGTTTTGATGTGGTCCTCTTGTTGTCAATTCATGGTGCTGGGATGGCCGTGAGGGCCTTCTTGCTCATGCTCCGCCCCTGAGCCACACCCTGGCCCTGGGTTGATGACAACAAAGTTGCTGAGGACCCTGCAGGGTCATCCTCCTCCAGGAGCCTTGATTTGCTAAAGCTCAGGGAGACAAGCTTGCAGACACCATGATGGGACCTTAGAATCCCAGCATGCTCCTGTGGGTACCTCCAGCACCTCAGGAGCACTGTGTCCGTCTCGCTGGACACCCTTAGAGCCAGTGGATGACTGCCATGAGAGAAGAACCGCAAACCCCTCACTGACAGTTATAAAAGAGGTGGTAACGCTGCCCAGCTTGCTGTCTTATGGACGTCAGGTTTCGATGGCAGGTCCAGCTCACCTGCCCCAGCGAATGCAGCCCCACGGGCAGGACTGAGGCCCCACGGGCAGTACACAGAGGTGGAGGAGGCACAGGACCCCGCGCCTAGGCTTCCCGGCAGGGAGGTGTTGGACTGGCCCTTTCACCTTCCTGAGACTTACTCTGCTCAAAAATAAAAGGCAGGTGGCCTTTCAGGGGGAAATAAAGAGACTTCCTGGTTCACAGAAGCCCCTCAGCACAGAGGAGCCGTGGCTGAGAAATGGTGACTTTGGCATATGAAATGAGGAGTGTGGATGTGCCTTACCGGCTCTCCAGGGGGACCCGGCTTTCCATCTCGGCCCTGTTTGCCTTCTTCTCCCTACAAGAGAAACACAATTTAGTTATGAGGTCCATGAACAGCAGAGTGGAGCATAGATGCCACCACAGCCCATCTTTGTTTTCTGCCAAGTTCCCCTCACCAGCTATAGAGGCCATCTCCATGCACGTGCGCGCGCACACACACACGCACACACACGCACGCACACACACACACTCACGCATACACACACACATGCACACACACGCACACACATGCACACGCACACACGCACACACACACACACGCACACATGCACACACACGCACGCATGCACACACATACACACGCACGTGCGCGCGCACACACACGCACACACACAAGTGGGTCTAGTTTCCCCCATTTCTTCCCCAGCATCAAGATTTTGACAATGGATGTCTGACAGACTCGTGTGACCCATCCCAGGAAAGCAACGCATCTCGAATAGCAACGGTATTCTTGCCATGGACCTGGAGGATCACCATCCTCACTGGAGAATGGTGTGCCCCTGGCTCATCGCTGGGCCTCCTGGGTGAACATGGTGACAGGGAGGTCAGTAGTGATAAAGAAGAGGACATTGCGTGGGGAACAGCAGAGCATTCGCAATATTCTTGGGGCACCCGCATGACTCAGAGAACGATGTACAGGGGTAGTTCATTTTGGTTCTAGGAAGGCTATGAGCATTCTCAATTTCTCTCTATGCAGCCAGCCATGAGCCCCTCCCCATCTGCCCCATCCAGCCTCAGCTCTACATGTGCACTAACATCTTCCTGATCATCTGAGAGACAAGCATTTCCTCAGGTCTCTGGAATGGGAAAGGGACTCTGTGATGGTAATGATGACAGAAGACATAGAGATCAAGATTGGATCCAGGGCTCACAGACGGTGAGGACAGTGCACATGGAGGTGTCATGGTTCTAATAGGCCAGGCAGAAGGAAGAGGGAAGATCTGGGTGGGCAGGAATCCTTTGGTGTAGAGAGAAAATTAGCTTGTGGAGGCTGCCGTGAAGGGTGCAATGGGGTTGGAGTTAATAGAGAGAGATGAAAGTGAGAGAGAAAAGAAAACAGCTCATGAAGAACCAGGAGGCCACAGTGCCCAGTCTAGACATGGACACTAGTCAATGGATACTGGTCAATAGACATTAGTCTTAGCAGTGACGCTAGGCAAAAAGAGACGGTGACTGATTGAATCTACCTTAGAAGGAAAGAAGGGAGAGACGGAGGGAGGGGGCAGGATGGAAGGGAAGATCAGATGTTTAGGGAAACAACATAATCATGTTGAAGGCTGTCTTCCTCTAATCGAGTCCCTGAGAGGAATGTATGTAATGGAGATGGAACGCAGGGCCTCTGGTTGGCCTCTGACCGGAGCTCTTCACTACTTGAGCGGCAGCCTCGTCACATGGTGGAATATTAATGATAAAGCGTTGATGCAAATTCCTCGTTCCAAAGTGGAGATTTTCTCTCCTAGCTTTACCATTGCTAGAATTTAGCCTACAGTGATTTCCTAGGTTTCGATGACATACCAGTCTCTAGGACTGCTGTTTACATTGACAGTGGCTCCATCCCAGCCTGTCACTTGAGATCCATAAACCTAGATAGTCAGAGGACTGCATTCAGGGCTACCCAGGAGAGACATCACCTCCACTCATCCGTGGGAGTATCTGTCAGGCATTCTATGAAGAAGGGCCCTATGAGAGCAATTTGCCCATCTATAGATGCCTTTAATTAATGCTGTATGTTCCCTATCTGTGAGGACGGAGGGAGAACCAGAGCAGATGTAATTCTTAACTCTCCTTGAAACTGCTCCCTCATAATGTAGTATTACTAACTGCTCTTCTCTGTTATATCCACAGATCTAGAAAACAGAGGGTGTCTAATCTGAGTCTGTTTGCGTGAGCAACCGGAATCACATCAAGGAATAGCAGCATCCACTACACCAGTACAAATGTGACCAGCAGCTGGGACAGGAGAGGTGAGACTGAGAGGCTGATTTGGTCTGTCAGGACAGAGAAGGAAGCAGGCCGCAAGGACTGGGCCGACATGGGAAGGATCAAAGTCCTCGGGGTCCGGGGATCTAGACCGTGCTTGAGGTTCTGGGTTCAACTTCCTAGAAGTACAAAATAAACCACCAGGGTGATCAACTCAAGGAAGAAAGATAGCAAGTTGAACTGGGACTGGAAATGTAGCTTAGTGGTGAATGCTGCCTTGTGTGTGGGGGGTGGAGGCCAGGGTTCCAGTTCCCAGCAATGTACACAACAGCAGCATCAGTCAAAGAGGAAACCAGAGCATGTGCTTGACAGATGAAAATGCTCATAAGCCCGAGAGAAGGTGCCCAAGTGTGGTAAGAAAGTGTAGCATGTCCTAGAAATCACAAACGGTAAAAGAATACATGGCTGGAGCCAGTGATGGCAGCAGGCAAGGCCAGACCTCCAAACACACAAGAATTAGTTCTCCATTCAGAGGCCTTTCTGGACAGAGCCAATTACAAGCACATGGCCCATCTCACCTCTACTGAGATGCATAGTCAATGGAAAAGTTCAGAACAATGCTGATGGAAAGCCATTTTGTATTGTGTATATATATACACATATACATATATATGTATATGTATATATATACAATACATATGTATATGTATATATACATATATATATACACATATACATACTTACATACAAAGAGAGAAAATACAATTTAAATCAATAATACATCAACAATATAAATATATATACATATATATGTGTATATACATATGTGTGTGTGTGTGTATATATAGATAGATAGATAGATAGATATGGAAGACTGGCTGCCCCAAAGTTTGGTTGATTCAGCTGAAGAATCAGTTAGTAACTATATATCTTCTAATTTTTACAATCATGAATCCACTAATCATCATGCCTTTACATATATATATATATATATATATATATATTCCTTTACATATTATATATTTGTGTTTGCTTATGTTTATAAAGGGAAACTCGATATTTTTTTTAAGAATCACTTACTGGGATTCCAGGAATTCCCGAAGGGCCTTGGGGTCCAGGAGGACCTTCTTTCCCCTAAAAAAGAAAATCCAAGACACAAACAGTGAGACCCTTGGCTTCACTAGACACAAACCAGCTGGGCTCCTCCATGGTAATCTCCCCATGGGGAGGGGGCTGTGGGTAGAAGCCAGTGCCACCCCCCCTTCTTTGCTCCTTGGGCTGCACATCTCCCAGGACAGTGGGCTCCAGGCTGTAAATGTAGTGAACATTGAACAGCAGTGGGAAAACGCTCACCCCAATGCTGCCCGCATTCTGGTGACTGCAGAACTCCACCGTTATAATGGAGGTGGGAAGAATATGTTAAGGCCTTGAAGTTCATCAGGCTGAGTTCAGGTCCAACTTGACATTGGTCCGCAAATATCCTGAACCTTGGGTTCTCCAACCACAAAGCACAGAAACCTCCAGCTACTGTCCCCACCAAAACCCAGCACAAATGAAGGCTGGCCATGTGGTTATGTATAAGGGATGATTTTCTTGTTTTCGCTGTTTTGGTTCAAAGATGATTAAATTATGAAGATTTACTAGGCCAGCAAGTCCTGTGAGTATCTGTTTGAAAGACTGTTTTGGTGAACGGCGTTAATTAGCACTTCATCACCCATTTCATTCCTCAAAGACACAGCACTGACACTGTTGTCTCGAGTTTTTGTGTCAGCACGAGGCAGTCAGTGCCACTCTCCACCACAATGCCTTTTCTACCTCCTCCCATCTCTGTGCTAAGAGAATGCAGAGGTCCTGGCACTATGGTAATCCACTACCAATGCTCTGTGAGATAAGTACTAAGTGCCAGCCTTTAGTTCTGACCATACAAATGAAGGTTTTTCTTAAAGGTTATACATTTAGCCTCTTAAAAAGCATTTCAATCTCATTCCTTGTTATGGGTCTATTTAATTGGTTTAAATCTTCTTGGTTCAGGGTGGGTAGACTTTGCTTGCTTCTGTTGTGATATCCCCTTTTGTAATCTCTAATTTTAATTTATTTAGGTAAGTTGCTTAGATTTTCTAAGGGTGTCAATTGTTTAATTTTTTTCAAAGAACCAACTCTGTTTTGTTGTTACTTGTATGGCTTTTTTGTGCCTCTAAACTATTTCTTTCTGGTCTAATTTTTATTATTTCTTTCTAGCTACTGTTTGGGGGCTGGCTTGTTCCTGTTTTTCAAGAAACTTGAGGTATATCATTAGAGTGTTGATTTGAGATATCTCTAATTTGTTTATGTAGACACTCAAAGTTATAAATTTTCCTCTGAGTATTGCTTTTGCTGCATCCCAGAGGAGCTGGTATGTTGTGTGTTTATTGACATTGAATTCCATAGACATTTGAATTTCCCTTATCTCTTCATTGCAGCGTTATCATAGGCAAAATATGGAATCATCCTAGATGTCCCATATTGGATGAATGGACCAAGAAATGTAGTATAGATACACAATGGAATTCTACTCATCAATCAAAAAGAAAGATATTGTACCATTCCTAAGGAAATAGGAAGACACTGAAAAATTATATTAAGTGAAGTAAGACGAATGCAAAATGATCAACACAATAAATCAAAATACTCATTTCTTCCCTATGCCACAACATCCACAAACACGTAAGCAAATAAAAGCAATGCACTTTGTCAGCACAAAACAAGTATTCCATCATCATTACAGAATTTTAAGCACTGATTATAGCCTTCTGAGTTCCTTCCTAGAGAAGTTAGAATAGAAACAACCAAAACAACAAACAGAATCTAAGAGAGAGGCCAGCAAACTCTGGCCCTCTACCTGCTTTCATAAATAAAGTTTTATCAGCACACCATCACACCACTATGTGTGAAACGTGCCTTATTGTTTGCTTTACCCCAGCTGAGGTGAGTTGATGTAGCAGAGCATATGGCCCACACAGCCTGAAACATTTGCTATTTGTTTCATTTTATGGAGAAAGTTAGCTAAGTAGCAAGATTCTCTTGGTTCCTGGGTGAAGAAGGTATGATTACATAATAAAGTGACAAGCCTAGGAGAGGACTAACTCCTGACTCCCTGCCCAGTGCTCTTAGCACCACAATGGCAATGAATCAGGATCTGGACAGCTCCAAGCATGGGTATAATTTGCCAAGAGGGTTCTATGATGGACTCTGTCTTATTTATTATAATTTTGTTCCTAGGAATGTAGTTCTTTTAAAAACAAACCAAAACCCACATGGGCTGTACAGCGTACACTCCTTGCAACAACTTTCATCAGGGAAATCTCTTACAGTCTGAAAATCATTGCAAAGCAATCTGCAGTGTTTTATTCTGCCTGTGGACATTGCTTCTAAAGACCTGACCACAGAATGATCTTTAAAAAGGCCACATGAAGCTGGTGCTGGTGGCTAGACCTGTAATTCTAGCTACTCAGGAGTCTGAGATCTGAGGATCAAAGTTTGAAGTTAGCCCAAGAAGGAAAGTCCATGAGACTTTTATCTCACTACTAACCACTACCATCACTAAGAACCACCAAAAAAAAAAAAAAAAGCCAGAAGCAGAGGTGTATCTCGAGTGGCAGAGCCCTAGTCTTGAGCATAAAAAGCTCAAGGAAAGCACTCAGGTCCTGAATTCAAGCCCAAACACACACAGGTCCACACAGCTTTCAAGTACATAATCTCATCATTCTCTGGTGTGTTGGTATGCAATAACAGGAAGAACTGTGAACTAGAGTTCCCAGATGGACATAGGTTTTAGGTACTGACTTAATATTATTTTCCTGTATGCATTTGGAAAACTGACTTGGCCACTCTGGTTGTCACCAGAGCCCAAAGATCCCAGGGAAAGGTTGACCTCCTTGCCAGCTACTCTAGGACTACAATGCTGAGATTCCTGTAAATCAAGCTGCGTGCTATTATGTGACCCTGAACTGGTCACTTCAATTCTCCAAATTCAACCTTCCTTATTTATACAATGGATATAATAATTTGGGGGCTGTTATAAAGGAGGTTCATCCAGATGAGACAGGGATATGAATGGATTTCTGCATATCCCTTTACATGCTAGGCATGCCAGGCTCCTAGCTAAACACCCTCTCTGAAGTACATTTCACCTTTTGCTTTATGGTACTAAAGTGAATATGTGCTTCTAGCAGCTTTGTGCAATGAAAATAACTCTGGCTTTTGAGCAAGAGGCATTGGGTTGAAATGCTAACTGTGCCTGTTGTAATTTGGAGACCTTGGCTATTGACTTCGCGCTTATTTTCATTCCCCTCTGGAATACGTGAATCATGATACTGCCTCTTACCTGATATGCATCAGGGCACAGAGTAGCTCTGGAAGAGCTAGCCTGAAACTGTTCCACTCACCTGGGCTTGCTCAGAGTAAAAGCTATGAAAGTGAGGTATACCTTAAGAACCTGCTTGTGCTGGGGAAGTAACCAGGCTCATCAGAAAGCAACTGACTCTCTGTTTTTACTGCAGAGCTTCTAGAAAAGATCTCTGGGAACATGTAGGCCCAGGAGGTAGAGAGCACTGTGACAGGGCAGGAAACACCTGGACTTCTGCCAAGGCCCAAGCCAGATTTGGGATAGCTTCCATCCCATAAAGAACTCACCTGCAACCCTGGAACACCTGGAGGCCCAGCAGCTCCCGCCAGTCCATCCGCTCCCTAGAAAGAGAGGTAGAAAATTAGTTCCTCGGGCAACTAGTCCATTGTTAGTACTCTCCTCTGCATGGATTTTTTTAAATTATGTTTTTATTATCTTTAAGTAGCAGCACACAGGGGTTAACATTTCACATATGTGGTTGTGATCAGTGTCACCCATTTTGTAATTCTCCCCATCCCTCCCAGCCCAACCCCCCCGTCCAGTTTCCTAGTTTCATAGGAGATGCGTTGAATATAATGTCTGCACCTGCCCCCCAATTCCTCTCACCGTGTGCCCTTCCCTAGCTCCACTAGCCAAGGTGTTCCTCGTGAGCTCAGGCTGTCCTGAGAAGCCACCACCAGACTTCGGGAAGCACCAAGACATTAACCAGCCTGTCAATCCCAAGACAACGGCACACGGTCTTACTTTATAATGGACATTCTCAGCCAGGGTCAGGAAACATTTCAGGCTGAAAGCAATAAATGAACACCTGGATCTCTCTTCTGAGAGATGAGGAAGACAATCATTTATGTCAACCCAGGGAAGAAGCAATACACAGGAGGAGGAGATGGAAGGAGAGTCCTGCACAGGTATACAGAATGCACCCTGGACACACCGAGGGCCCCAGACACACAGAGGGGCCCCAAGCATACAGAGGGGCCCCAGCATACAGAGGGCCCAGGCACACAGAGGGGCCTAGGCATGTGTGTGCACCAGGGCCCTTGCACCTAATGTTCACTCTGCCTACAGCCCGGTCCTCTGTGTGTCCACAGGGTGCAGCTCCATCCCATGAGAGGCCTCCTGTCCCCCAGACCCTGCCCCTCATGACTCTGGTACCATTTGTTCATTTTCAATCTACTTTTTTCTAGAGTATTTATAACACTGGCCATGGAGGTGTTTATTAGCTTGCCTTGCCATTTGTTTATTGTCTGTCACCATGACCTCAGATCTCAGCCTCCTGAGTAGCCAAGATTACAGGTGTGAGCCACTGGCGCCCAGCTCTTTATTATTGACAGTCCTGAAGAATGTGAACTCATGGCCTCATACTTGCTGGGCAAGCACTCTACCACTTAAGCCATGTATTTTTTTTTTTTTGCTTTAGTTTATTTTTCAGATGAGATCCCACACTTTTGCTCAGGGCCAGCCTCAGTCATCCTACCTACCCTTCAGCTATCACTGGGATTGCAGGTACCACTACCATGCCCAGCCAAAGCAGGAGTTCTTTAGGCTAATTCGCACGACCTCTTACTAGCTCTCATAGACATACTAGATTTCTAAGCTTCAGGAACCTTCTTAGACCAAGAATTCTGGGTCCATAGCCTACTCCTCCAGTTGAGCTGTTTTGCCCTCAGCAAGTGTCCTTATATCCTTTGTATCACAGTTCCTTTACAAAATACAGAAAGAAATGGCAGCAACGATTGCACATGGAGTGAGGAGATAATACACATAGAGAAGTAGCCAGCACCCAGATCACCTTGAGGCTCTCTCTGCAAAGGGCCATCCATTATCATAAGCATCCATTGTCCTCAGAGGACCAAAGACGCTGCATTCATTACATAGGAAGTTACCGACAAGCAAGTGCTCATTGTCTGCGTATCTATCAATCCAGCTTTGTCTAACTGGTGTGAGTGAGTGCTTAATGTGACCAGGTATCAGCCACATTGTAGGAAGGCAGAAGTTTCTGCACCACAGACTTGGACCTCAACAAAATTGATATAGTCACAGAAAATGTGTTGATTTTCCATGGATGGCAAATCCTACAATCAGACAGATTTGCCCACCTCTGCCACCAGACAAGAATTCAGCAAGTGTTCATGAACAAAAGGGACAATGACACTCCTTAACTGTATAGTCTAAGATTTCTTGTTAGATTACACATGTGGTACAAAGCTAACAGAACTAGAAGACAAATGTGAAAGATACTTGTCTGCTTGGTACCCAGATCACAGAGTGCCCAGGACCGTGACTTGCACAGGACCTGACAAATAAGCATTCAAAAAAATAATGCATAGAAGACCAGGGGAGGGGGGGGGTTCCGGTCATGGGGCCTGAGCTCTGGGCCTGGGCGCTGTCCCTTAGCTCTTCAGCTCAAGGCAAGCGCTCTACTACTGAGCCACCTTCCCAACCCAAGAGGGTTAATTTCTTGCTCCCAAGTCGTTGCTTCTACATGACCTGCTACTGGCCCTGAAAGGAAGCAGACTCGATGACACCCACGTTCAAAGGCAATTAACAAGGCACGGCACAAAGCAGAAACTCGATAGACACTTGCTGAGTGAGCCCAAAGCACTTGCAAGCAAGAGACAGCCACGCTGTGACACTGGCTTCCTCCATCCTTGCCAACACCTTCCGACTCCAGGAGTGCTCTAAGCCCCCATCCATCCGCAACTCCCGGTCCCTCTACATTCACCTCAGAAGCCGTGGGATCTGTTCTGTCAATTCAACTCTGGTCGCTTTAGAGAGTGCCATCCTCCTCCCCAGATAAGTTGCATCCAGTACAATCCCATCCCCAGCAAGTGAGGACATGCTCAAATGTGAAGGCCAGAAGAGAAGGGCATGCAACGTTCTACTTACTGGTGGCCCAGGATTCCCAGGGGGCCCCATGAAGCCTGGAACTCCAGGATGACCCTGAGGAGACACAAACAGCGATTCTGGAAACTTCCTCATGAAAAGCTTTCACCATTTACAAACATAAGATTTCAGGCGGAATCCAGCATCCACCTCTAACCCTATTAACCATTTCTGTTAAAGACACTGACAGCAAAAAGGATGACTTTTTCTTTTTTTCATGCATCACTGGACAATCAAAAGGTGGATAAAATGACCAAGAATACTTATTGAAAGTGTGCCCTGAAAGTGGATTTGCTTCCAGATACTGTGTGTGGAAACAGTGCAGGGTTCTGGGTTCATTTCATTATACTCTCAACCTTGCGGATGTGTTTGACGTGTTCCATGGTAAAATCTAAGAACAAATTCACACACATTCACCAACGCATCCTGATGTCCCTCAGTGTCCATGGGGCGTCCCAGGACCCTCCCCCCCACTTCTACACATGAGGATCTGAAGATGCTCATGGCCCTTATACAAAACAGCATCTAACGTAACACATCCTCCCATAGTCTTTAAATTATCTCTGGTTATTACAACTGTACTGGAAATGCTATATTTTACCAGGCACACCATACCTATGTAAGGGGTAATATTAGGAAAAAGTCTACACATCTTCAATTCAGATGTAATATTTAAAACATTCTTAACCTACAGTTAAGTTGTCTGAATGGATTCAGAAACCATGGGAATAGAGGATGGATTGTGTGTCTATATCTCTCTGTGACATACAAACACACACACACACACACACACACACAATAGTCATTCATTCTATGACAGTGCAGTGTATAGTCATAAAACAAAAGAAGAAGTTACATCCTTCTCCTCCACCTGCATGCCCTGACACTGGCAAACATGGGCAATCATACCTGGGGTAGAGTACATTTTACCTGTGACATGTCATTGCTGTAAGGATAATACAGATACTCTTTGTTTTTCCTACTGCAGAAGGGCTTTTAGCTGATCGCAAGCCAGGCTTGCCTCTCACTGCTTTTGGATCACCTGCTCACATACGTCATCCTTTATCCAGCCACCCCAAGTGCCATGAGGTCAGGATCCGCCCCTTGCTCATGCTGGGTCTCAGACTGAGCTAGTGGAGCTGGATCCTGCCATGGTACTGCTTTACTGTGATGCATGCTGGGCTGAGCTCTACAGAGGTGCATGGAAATCCCAAAGAGAGGGTTGGTGGGAGACAGAGAGGGAAAGATGGAGAAGGAAGGAAAGAAAAAGAGAGGAAAGAGGGAAAATGGAGGAAGAGGGGGAAAGAGAGAGACAGAGAGACAAACAGAGAGGCACAGAGACAGACAGAGAGGGAAAGAATGGGTCTGTGTAGAGAAAGCCCCTATCACAACAGTACCATGCCAGCTATATATTATTAAGGATTTTTTTTTTACCTGATCACCTTTCTGTCCAACTTCACCATCTGCACCACGCTCTCCTTGGCTTCCCTTGGAAGGAACAAAAAGAGTCACTGGAAATCTCACTAGAGCTGCATCACAAAAGAAAACAAAATGTAATCATGCATTCGTTCATCTATCCATTCTTCAACAACCCCCTATCACGGCGCTGCTGTGCGCCAAGCACAGGGGCAGTGGGCATGGTGGCGATACGGCTTAGCTGGGCTTTGGGGACCGAAGAAGGGGCCTCAGGAAATGTCACTGGGAGACAGCAGGCCTGCCTGGGATCCCGGTGTATCACGTCTGGGTGTCGTTGCAGGAGGTTGGAGGATGAGCTTAAATTTTAGCTGTGGCTGGGGTGTGAGGTGAGCTAGACCATCCAGGCTGAGGAGCAGAGAGTGGCTCAGGGGAGAACATTAGGATATCATGAAAAAGAGTTGGATCGGAGACAGACCAGCGTGGTGCCTGCGGGTTCTGGAACGCAGGTGTGCAGATGAGGAAGGGGACACCGCGGAGAGGGTGGCGCTGGGAGCAGAGTTGCGCACGGGGCTTGGTGGGAAGCCCCTCCTGACGTGCGGCCCTAACTCCCTCCCCAACTGGAACCCTGAGGAGCCAGCGAACACCGGGAGAGAGTTTTTCTTGCCTTTTTGTTTGCTTATTTTGTGCTGGTCCAAAGGTTTGAACGGGGGGCCTCGTGCTGTCACGCACAGCTGGTGAGCTACACCTCCCCTTCCGCCTCTTTGCTGGCTAACTAGAGATGGTGCCTTGAAGATTTTTCCTGCCCTGACTGGCTTTGAACCACATCCTCAGATCTGAGCTTCCCGAGTCCTTAGGAGGATAGGTGGCTATACTAATTGTTATGATGTGTGAGAGAATAAAATCAGATAATAAAACATGGCACTACTTCACACTCTACCCGGAACACAGTGCCGGCTTGTAAAGATGAAGTGTTAGTATTGTGCTGGTTATTTCACGACTTAATCCTAGCCTTCTCACTGTGTGTCTCTGGACCAGGTGATTTCACTCTCTATATCCGATGAGTATTCTAATGGGAGCATTATTGTAGGGCTATTAGGAGACTTACCTGCCCCAAGATCTATAAGGTGCTTTGACTAGTGACAGGGTCAGTGTTCAACCTTAATAACCCTGGCGATCACCACCAGCGCCACCACCTGGCCATGATGGCTCTCATCATTAGCACTGCAACATTCCCCTGATCATCATGGTCCATATTACCATTGTCATCATTGCCATCAGCATCACAACCACCACCCCCTCCTCCTCCATCATCACCCATCATCACTGTCACATCCACCACCATCACCATCCACCACCACCACCAATATCTTCTTCTCTTCATCACCACCAGCACAGGCTCCAGCTCCACCACCGCCATGGTCAACACCATCATCACCATCACCACCACCACCATCACCACCATAGTAGCATGATAGTCAGAACCTATCTGCAATATTTTTAGAGACTAACCTTAAAAATACCATTCAGCAGGTGCCGGTGGCTCACACCTGTAATCCTAGCTACTCAGGAGGCTGAGATCTGAGGATAATGGTTCAAAGCCAGCCTAGACAGGAAAGTCCATGAGACTCTTACCTCCAATAAACCATCAGGAAACCAGAAGTGGTACTCAAAGTGGTAGAGTCTTGAGCTGAAAAGCTCAGGGACAGTGCCCAGGACCCAGAGTTCAAGCCCCAGGACCGATAAAAAAAAAATACCCTTCAGCCAGGCACTGGTGCCTCATGCCTGTAATCCTAGCTGCTCTGGAGGCTAAGATCTGAGGATCTAGGTGTGTAGCCAGCTCTGGAGGAAAACCTCTTGACTCTTATCTCTACATAACCACTAAAAAAAAAGCCAGGAATGGAGCAATGGTTCAAATGGTAGAATGCTAGTCTTGAACAAACAAGCACACATACAACACCCAAGCCCTGAGTTCAAGCCCCATGACTGACACGAAAACCAACAAACAAAAACATTGAGTTTCTGCTCTTAACTATCCGCCCACCCTGGTTCTGAACCTATTGTGTTAACAAATTGTTAACAAATGCATGAATGTGAAACTGTTATTAAACAAAACCCCTTCTGTCCTATCATTTAAGATGATGCAATATCTAGAAAAACAGGTCTTTAGCAGTAAGTCCATCTTAGCTCTGGCTCCATTCCCACAGCGCCCCAGCTCTGTACTCCTGAGCAGATCACGCTCCCTTGTGGGTTGCAGTGCACCCTTCCAGGAGACGAAGCGGGAGAGCAGGCCCGTCTCTGAGGGTCCTTCCAGTCCCAAGATGCTCTTGTTTGAATGTCACACCCAGTCCTTCTTCTGACCTGCAGCAGCAGCATTGCTGTGACTACATACTGCCACTCCTGCTCTCTCCTCGGGGGTGGGTGTGGAGGAGTCTGTGAGCTAATACTGGACAGGTGCTAAGAGGCATCCCTTAGAGGAAGAAAACATGGTGTCACAGGGGAGGGCCTTGGGTCCAGCACTCTTTTGCATGTAATTATGACCACAGTTTCTGAGCCCAGGAAGCTGCCCAGCATCCGCAGGCTGCTTTGTGATCCGCAGGAAGAAGGCTGCACCCTCGCACACTGCTGCCGGAAGATCAGGACAACCACTTCACAGTTAAGCGCTTTCCTCCCAACGGCCTCAGCCAGCCGTTTCAACACTAGGCTGGGAACAAGGAAAACGTCCGCAGGTCAGGCTCTCCACGGCTGCCCTGTCTCTGTGCCCACCAAGACAAGGACCAGGGCAAAGGCAGCCACCCCGCCCCGACTCACTTTCTTCCAGAAAGGGGCAGGCATTTCCGGAACCCCTTCTTTTCCAGGCACTCCGCCAGGGCTGTCCACACAAGATCACATTACATGGAGTTCTTTGTTTATAACCTAAGTTAATGCCAAAAAATATGAAATATCGTTCTGATATCTACTCTAACCAGTAAGATCGCTGCTTGTGATACACTGGCTAGTAACAGAGTACTGGATATGAATTACGACTAACCAGACAGGTTAAGTACTTCACCTGAGGCTACGCAGCTAATAAAGTTCTGGAATAATAATAAAGGTCTGGAAAGGTCTGCTAATCAATCAGACTGGTACTCTACACGCCATTCTGATTGATTATCAGATATTCAAGCTGGCTCTCCTCGCCCCAGGAACTACCCTGGCTTTTTGGTGTCATGACACCAGGTCCCGTAGGACTTAGCACGTTAAGAGCACTGGATTGAGAGCTGGGAAGCCTGAGGGCCTGTGCTCAGTGCAGGCAGTCTTGTTGATGTACGGCGGACACACAACAATCAAGAAGACAAATAAAAGTCCTTTCCCATCCCTAGGAGGTATAGGTTCATTTCTTCACCAGCTCAATTGTCTTCAGAAGTTGTTTATGGCAGAATTTTATAAAGGCTTAGTTTTCCCTACCAACAGCAGGGGATATTAAACTGTAATCATATTTTTATTATATTTTGGTCATCTAGAGGCTGTCTTTGGGCTGGGAATTGCTGTAGGGATGCCAGCCTTTGTAAACAGAATCTGCTGGACAGCAGGTGCTGGTGGCTCACACCTGTAACCCTAGCTGCTCGAGAGCCTGCGTAGGCTGAAAGGATGAAGGATCAAGGTTCAAAACCAGCCTGGGCAGACGATTTCTCCAGATTCTTATCTCCAATTAATAAGCCAATTGCCAGACTTGGAGGTGTGGCTCAAGTAGTAGAGCACTAACCATGAGCAGAAAACCTGAATGAGAGCTCAAGGCCTTGAGTATAATCCCCAGTACCAACACACACACACACACACACACACAAATCTGCTGCTCTCCAAAGTCCTGCTCTCAATTTTTGCCTGCTGCTTACAAGCCAGGAAAATCTTCTCTAACGCTTCAAGACACCTAAAATTCCACCTCCTCCAGGTGGCTCTGCCCCAAGATGCTGCTGTTCTTAAGAGTCCTTAACTCCTCTCCTGACATCTCTTCTGTCTGCTATTGTCTCAAACTGAGCAAGATCCCTGCCAGTCACAAGAATTGTTACGGGAGACCCTTCTCATACCCATCTAAGGAACTTTTGTTGTTTTTTAAATTGCTATTTTTACCTTAGCTTTTTAAATTATATTTTTTTATCATCTTCAGATGGTTGTGCAAGGGAATTGCCATTCAACAAATCAGTTTATAAGTACAATGCACCTCCACCCATGGCCCGCCTTTCATAGTACTCCCCATCCTCAGCGCCCAGCCCCTCCCCCTCCCTTCCCACAAGCTGCTTTGTAAACTGTCTTTTGTTTAGTGCTTACGTTTCTTTTGAGTTAAGCTATATGTCTCTAGAGCAGGGAGCCAAGATTCAGAGAAGCTAAGTGAATGCCCAAGTCCCATAACCATCAGCCTGGGAACCATCAGCCTCCAAAGCCCGGGTTTCTGTGCACAGATCCAGGGCCTGCAGCCTTGGGGTGACTCTTCTCAGTGTCCCCCTCCAGTGAGTGGTTCTTTGTCCCCCCTCACCATTCCAGGCAATGTCTGACCTCTGTCTGTGCCTCTGGCCTGAAAAGAAATGGTCATTCAGGACTGAGCAGATGCAAGAAGAGATGCTTGCCCTAAAAGGAGCATGCTCAAGTGATCTGGGGACTTTCTGGCCAGGACAGGATTCCTGGGACCCGTCTGGCAGTGTATTATCTCTGCCTTTGTAGAATCTTCCAGAATCTCTTAGAGAGGACTTCTGCTCACCAACGTATATCCAGGTTCACTATGGACTCCTTCCAAACCCCATTACCTGGTTCTCAGATGCGTAGTAAAAACACAAATGCTTTTAGTGGAGCACAAGTGATTATCACCTCTAACTGGACAGATGCTTTTACATCGGACACACCTGACATCAAGAATACATGTTCCTAGGGTCATCTTTCTTCATGTGACAGTACTGGAGTTTGAGCCCAGGACCTAGGCACTCTCTGTTAGCTTTATGGCTCAAGACTGACACTCTACCACCTGAGCCACACCCCACACCCCCACTTCAGGCTCTGTGCTGGTCAACTGGAGATAAGAGTCACAGGCTGGCTTCGAACTATAATCCTCAGATCGAAGCCTTTGAGTAGCTGGGACTACAGGTATGAGCCTCTGGCACCTGGATCCATCTTTTTTCTTAATTTTTTAAAATACGACTTTATTGCTATGATCAAGGTGTTCTACGAGGGTTATTGTTTCATAAGTCACGTAATGAGGACATTTCTTCTTGGACAGTCTCACCCCTTCCTTCGCTTTCCTCCACTTCCCCCTCCCATCTCTGCCCACCAGCTGCACCGTTCATTTTCCACATAGTGTCTGCTAGAACCCTGCCTGCAGTTACCCATCCTTTCTCCCTCCATTTCTGTACCCCATTTGCTCCTCCATGAAGACAGAAAAAAAGAACAAATAAACAAAAAACCCAAAAAGCAAAAACCACCACCAGCAGCAATGAAACAAAATCCCATGTGTCCATATCCTGGAATTCCTTTCGATAAAAGTATTTTAAATGTTCAGAAGTGTTCCTCCCTGAGAATATCCTTTAGTCCCACTGCTTGTGTGTGAATGCCTGGAGTTCTGCCAGCTGACTGCAGGTATGGGATGTACCAGGCCCTGACAGAGCAGTCCACCTTATTCTAGGATAAGCTGGAAAGGGCAGCTGCTCTTAGATGCTCCTACTTTACTAAAAGAGAAGGGCAGCCAGGTACCTGGAATCCCAGCTACTCAGGAGGCTGAGATCTGAGGATTGCATTGCAAAGCCAGACCAGGCAGGAAAGTCTGTGAGACTCTTATTTCCAATAAACCACTCAGAAAACCGGAAGTAGCACTGTGGCTGAAAGTCGTAGAACACTAGCCTTGAACTAGTGCTTAAAGACAGGGCCTCGGCCCTGAGTTCAAGCCCCATGACGGACCAAAAGAGAAGAGCAGAAAGCTTAAGAACCTCTCTGAAGGACACAGGGCTGAGGTGTGATTCCACCCAGGCCGTGGTCCCTGGTCACTCTTTCCCAGAGACAACTTCACGCTGAGGCTCCCTGCAGATGTGGCTCATTGTGTCTAGCCAGGCCCTTGAGTGCTAGAGGCAGGGTACCTGCCACAGCACCGAGGCCCCAGACCATCAGGGCACATCCTCGAAGAGCACCATTGATGGGAAGGCAGCCAAGGAGGGAAGCTGTGCCTCCCTTTCCTCCCCATCCCAGCTCTCACACAGTCCCATCTCGGAGATTAATACTGTCACCAATGCCAGCATGGCAGACGCTGCCACCAAACACTCGTCCTCACAGCAGTGGACTGCTTCCCTGCCTGTTCTGGAGAGGGTTGGAGCTCACACCTCCCTCCCCCTGGGGTAGGGGAGGACGGGGAAGCCGCAGAGCTTGGGGCTGACCTGAAATCGTGCACATGAGGATAATAACACTCGCTTGCCTTTGTAAAGCAGTTGCCGGCTTTTCATCAAGTGCCAAGTTCTTATTGTGTGCCACTACTCAGTTCCAACATGTCTCTGCAGCTGATTGTGTTATCATCCGTGTGGAGTGAAGAGAGCCGACCCTAGATTCATGCCTGGACTACTAAGGCCCACACACTGCAGGACCTGCCTGCATCTCAGACCTTGCAGCTCTCAGGTGTTTGTAAATGGTCCACACTGGTTCTGGATACAAGTTGAGCTGGCCTGCCCTGGGTCTTGAGGACAGTGAGTGCCAAGATCAGACTTAGAACCCAGATTTTCTGAGCCTAAGGCCACTCACTTCCTTTATACAATGATCCCTCTTCCCAGAGCTTGATGAGCCGGGTGGTAAGAAGACTGCACACCTGCAGGTGTGGACGGAGTCTCACTCACCTGGGGCCCAGCTACCCCCGGGGGCCCTGGGATGCCTTGGGGTCCAGCGTCTCCCTGTAGCAGGAACAAAGGAGGGGGAAAAAGAGAATAATGTGAATGTCTGGATCCTACATCCAGAGCCATTACAGATCTGTCAGCCCTGCCCCTCTGCTCACTGACTTCCCAGCAAACAGCCCTGCCGTCGGCCACTGCCAGCAGTGTACCTGGCGAAGGATCTGAGCTGGCCCTAATACCACAGTGGGTATGCTTTCATGCATGTGGCAAGTGGGTGTGGCAGTGTCACCAACCTCACCTAACATTTGCGTTCTCACATTTGCACCCTGAGCAGCTCCTATTTGCCTCATGTGAGTTCTGTGTGGCCAATAGAAAATGGCACCCATGATGGTATACAAGTCAGAGATCAGGTGCACAATGCCTGTCCCTCACCGCAGCCTGCCTCTCCCTAGCCCTGCTCTCTGTCTATCCAACCTCACACTCTGGGAAAAAACCAACTTCCGCTGTCTCCATGCAGCTACATAGCTCCCTGAAGAAGACAGCACCTCCTGCTGGCAGCCAGGAAGGCATTATTCAACCAGCAGCCCCAGGAGGACTCTGCTGGGAGAGGACTCTGTCAGACAGGACTTGAGATGACTGCTACTCAAGCCAGCCCAAGAAAGTCCCGAGTCAGAACCCAGCTAGGCCATTCTTGCTTCTTAGAAATTCTGAGGTCATGAAATGTTTGGTGGCTGGAGTAAACTTTTAATGAAGTAATGACAGACAACAAACACACTGTGAAAGGAGGGGGTATCCGCTACGGTGAGAGGGAATGACGTGACATCTCACTTCACACGTGCGTGCCTTACACGTTGAACTTTACACCTGTGCGCTTTACATGTGCTCATGTTTGTGAGTCCAATGCATTTCCATCAATGCATTTCCCTTTCCTCCTTCCCCAGCTCTCCCAGCCCCTCAAGGGACCTGCTCCATTTCCACATATGTACATTGAGTATGACTGAACATTCTCTTTAGAGACCTTGTCATTGTGAATTCTATCTTGTTTGCTGCGTGTGTTTAGGTCATATGGCTTCAGCTCAGGGACTGGGCACTTTCCCTGAGTTTTTGTGCTCCATACTAGCAGTCTACACCGCTTCACTTATGGGATTTTTGGTGATGAATTGGAGATAAGAGTCTCATGGAATTTGCTCCTGGGATCAATTTGAACCATCTCGATCTCAGCGTCCTGAATAGCTAGGCTGAGAGGCTTGAGCCTGGCTATTCTATCATTAAATATGTAAGAAAACTTTTAAAAATGAAATAATGGGCTGGGTGTAGCTCAGTGGAAAAGTGCTTGCCTAGCAAGTGCGGGTGTCATGGGTTCGACCCCCAGTACCAAAAATGAAAGAGAAGAAAAAAAGCTAAAGGTTTTTGCCAGTTTTATAACCAGCAATCTCTCAAGGCCCAGGATCCACCTCTTTGCAATGTACCAAGCATGAGAAACAATGGTTCCATTGCCCAATTTCTGTAGTAGGGTAGCTATAAAACTACTTCCCATTATGTAATGGGGAGATGCTCTCCTTCAATTGGATAAGCTGCCGTGGGGAGACACAAGACACCAGACAGACCAAGAGTGAGGGGCGCTGCTGCTCACGCTCTTACTCAAGGCTTCCTTGCTTGTTTTGAGATGAAATATGCAATTAGAGGCTGCATCCTCGCGGTTATATGAAAGAATGACTTTTTTCCCCTGATTTTGCAGTCTCTTAGCAGATTGCCAGGAACATGCAGCACGTTCCGGTTCAATGCTTATTCAGTATTGTAATTGTGTTTTTTTTCCTCTCGTCTACTTTTGTGGAGATGTTTTCAGAGTTGAGAGCAAATTTTTTGCTTTGACCCACACACACATACAAAACCGTCTAACTTCTATTCTGCTCTCAATAGCTCATGAACTCCACAAGAACAAGGAATCAGTTTTTCTTCTAGGTTTCCTCAGTGTCTACATGCTGGAACAGTGTCTACACCTGGAACACACTCCAAAACCAGGGATGACATAGGAGTGACTGTGTGGATGGATGAACAGATGGTGGATAGGAATGGCGGGTGGACAGATGGAAGGACAGAGGGATGGACAGATGAATGCACAGAGGGATGGATCCATGTGCTCTAAAGACCTGCTTTGGTACTTGGACATACCAGATGGTCCAAAGTTGGATGGATGGAAGGGACAAGAGGAAGTCGGAAATGTCAGTCAACCCAATATGAATTTCTAAATATGCACATGTAGTATGGAGTTTTACAGTCAACATACTCTGAAAGTGACAAAAAAAAACCCAAAGTTAGCCACTTCCCACATTTCCATACCACTGTCCCTTCAGCCCTGGCTAGAGAGAGACGATGATTGCAATGACAAAGATCAGGTTTCCCCCTTTGTCCTTACCTTTTTCCCTTCTACGCCTTCTCTCCCTGGCTTTCCCGGGAGACCTTTATCCCCTTTAAAGCCTGGCAGACCAGGAAGGCCTGGAGGACCAGGAGGGCAGTCATTGCAAATGTCCTAGGAGAGGACAGAGAGAGAACATGGATAGACAACTCAATGACTTGCAAAGCAGTTCTGATTCCTAACTGTCTGGATGGAAATTTTCTTCACGATGCCAGCAAAGATGGAAAAGCAAGCGAGAAGATTGAGGCGTTACTCAGATAACTTTAAACTTTACATTCAGCACTGACGTGTCTGGATTTTTCACTCCATTCTCCTTAATGGGGCCAGTCAGACTGAGAGAAGTGCAGCCTGAGAAAATGGCAAAATCTGCCCGTAAAATACTCGTCAGCATCAAAGAAAAATTAACAGCGCATATTTAAGACAAATGCTCAGTGTTATTAAAAGCAGCATGCTGTGTCCTTGAGGCTAGAGACCAACAAAGATGAGAGCGAAAGTCTCCACCAGGTGGAAAGGTAAAGTGGTTCCTGAAAAGGAGGGGAACAAAGGTGGCAGCAGACACACCACAGGACACACTCTCCTGCCAGGACGTACAGCTGAGCCTTAGCATTGTTCCCTGCCCAAAGGAGGCATTTCACAAATGTTCTCTGGAATTTGTGCTACTCTTCAAGGTAGGTAAAAATGCCGCCCCTGGGGCAAATTTATAAGTCTGTCAATTCAGAAGTGACTCTTTCTGATTTTCTGTGTCAAGTTAGATCTGACAGTTGAGAGTTTAGCAGGGACTACGTGAAGCTAGCCCCACTGCACTCCCGACACACCCTGCATTCTTTCTTTGGACTACTTCTTCCACAGTCTTTCCTTTAATCCTCCCTCTCTCCTGCTCCTCCTCTCTTGCTACTAAGAAATTAAATGAGATCATACAAATGCAGCCTGTGTCAGTACAGATAATGCCCAGAACATCTGTTATTAACCTATTATTCTCCTAGGAAAAAAATACTTGCAAGTCATCTGCAAGGCACATTGAACACTGTGCTGAGCTTTGAGGCTGCAGTGTGTGTGCATCTTGAACAGCACCAAGAGCTTCTCGGTGCTCTGTCAAGAGGCCTACAAAGGCATGTGGAAGCTACTCACGTTCATATTCTAACATATATGTGTTCTCAGGTGATTTTAGCATTCATCTTGTTGGTCTCAAATTCATGAACTTGAAGTAAGTCTGAATGGCCAATCTTCCTTTTACTTGCCTCATTCTTACTAAATCTTTGAGATTCTGTAGCCATCTCCTCCTCTAAGAAGCCTTCCTGAAGGCCTCTGGGTGGGGATAGGTCCACTGTTCTCCCAAAGACTTTAGGAATGACGATTGAAGGATTTGTTTTGTAGATGGGTAGATCACGGGTGGATGGATAGATGCATGATTGGATACAAGGAGGGAGGGAGGTAAGGAGGAGCAGAAGAAAAAAGGATGTATGAACAGGTAGATGGCTGAATGGACGGTTGGGTAGATGGATGGATGGATGCATGCATGGATAAGAATAAAGCTGGCCTGTAGCAGCAAGAATTCAGGCTATAAAGTTTTTACTTGGACTCTGTACTGCTCATTAGGAACCATTCTTATCAGTGACATCATAGTATCAAGAGGTTACCTCTGAGTATTAAAAATCATATTGCTTTCCTATTTGTTTCCAATTCCTAGTCCATATGTCAGCCTGGGTCTGTCATATCTGCCAAATATGCGAGGCTGTTCCTTGAAGATGAGACTGTGAGTAGACCCAGATGTACCCACCCGTAACGGGGCACTGGAGTCAACACACTGGCCCAGTCTAGGAGTTCTGTGAGCACAGAGTGAGATTCGTACCATTCACAGTCCTAGTACAGCCATAAAAGTAAATCAATGCTCAATGAAATCCTGCTGTTGCATCACAAAAGCCGTCAGCTCATCTAACCTTCTGTAGATATCTGAATCTCAGTTCAGTATTCCCATCAAAGCATTGTGTGACCTTCACCTCTCAGGGCGGAGGAGGTGGGGTGGCAGGGAGCTCACTAGCTGCCTCTATTTTGCCCACTGGCAGGAAGTGTGGGCAAGGTGCTTCACTGCAAAGGCTCTGGAGTTGTTCATGCTGGGTTTAAGTCTTGGTCTTGCCACTACCAGCTCTGTGGCCTTAAAACAAGAAACTTACCTAGTAATGCCTAACCACCTCTCTGCAAACGCAAACAGAAACAGAACGCACTGCAGAGATCCTCATGCTGATCAGAGGGAATTACATATGCTGGGCGGCTGTCTAATGGAGATATCCTGTCATTGGCCTCAGACCCAATGATGGGATTCCATGTAGGAAGGACTCACAGAAATGAGCCAGTGTGCCAATGGTCAGAATGAGCTACAGACTGCCCCTCTCAGGGGCAGAGGTAAATATGCTGTAATAAAAACACCTCCTCGGCAACTGGGACACCTGCCCCCACTCACTTGGACTAAACAAGGCTTTAACCTGCAACGTCAATCAAGCCCACAACAATCGACTCTAAATCCTGGGAAGTAAAGGTGGTCAGTGCTGCACCCTGGCCAAGCCCGGGCTGCTTTGAACACATTTCCAGATTCGGTCCATCCCCCGGGGCCCAGGTCATCTCTGCGAACCACCCCGACTGCAGGTTTTCACATTCCCTGTCAGATTCTAGCTGCTCAGATGAACTGAACATCCATTAACTGTTAAGAGAGATTAACTCAGTTAAATACCTGTCTATGTGTTGACTGCATGGTGTGCATTCATGCCAGTTATTATTGGCATAAAGCCTGGGATGTGTGAAGATTGGAGTCCCCTGGGGCAGGGGGGGGGCTGATGGAAACCCAGCATTTCCACAGCCACAGAATTATGGAGAGTGGTTGAGGTTAATAAAAGCCCATAATAAAAAAGGCATTGAATCACTAGATAATGATTTATTGTCATGTCCTTGATGGTAGGGAGGGAAAAAATCCTCATCAATAAAATCTTGAAAGATTGCTCTACTACTCGTTTTTAATAAAATGTATAGTATTCCATTGAGCCATCTCCATGTGCAGGGAGTTCCAGGCTTATGAGAAGATTCTCATAACGTTTCATTTTCCTCTTGTGGTTTCATGCATGAAATAGGGCCTTTCTGGCATTGGCCATTTTTTTTTTTAAACAATCCAAGTAACCCTCATCGAAATGCATGTTCTCTATGAAACAAAAATCTTACCCTGCCTCTTGTGCTTGGCCTTTCTCAGCTCATTTAAGACCTGAGGCCTTCAGCCAGGCACCTGGACACCTTCACAGTTGAGCCTGCAGGTGCAGCTATGTCCTGCCTTGTCCAAGTGGAGTTAGGCCCAAATCCTCAGGCTACTAGCTTCTCATGGAGAAAGCACATGTAGTTTGAGAAACCAGGAAAATCTGCACCAATCTGGGGCTGCGCTGGCTACAAGCCCAGCAACCAGCTTCACCTCTTCATTTGCTTATGGCCCTTTAACCAGCAGTATGTGAGGGGTTGAAGTTAAGGCCAACATTTGACCTTGGAGCTAGATTCTATCCCCAGAATATTCTCTTCTCCACTGGCCTTTCCACTCTCTTGTATTTCTTGTATACACAGCAAGAATATGAACGGTACCTACCTCATGGAGTATGAAAGCTGAGACATGCACAGATGAAAAGTAGCACAACACTGTCTAGAACTTTCTGTTCCATAGCTGCGATGGCCCAGTAGGGAGCCACCAGCTCATCTAGTAGTACTAAGTCCTTGCAAAGTGTGACCAAGGAGCTGAATTTTAATTGCATCCATTCCAGCTTTAACTGAGACAGAGTCATGTGGCTAGTGAGTGCCTATTAGAAAACAGGGCTTTAGTGCTCAGGCGGGCGTATAGGGTGAATTCTCCACAAATGCTGCTGCTGCTGCTGCTGTTAGTACCATCATAGATTTATTCACAGAAAAAAAAATACTGAACTCTAATATTCCGCCACCATTTGCCATGCACATGCACTTTTACCTTAACCAAGAGATTTATGTCCTCTGGAGACAGCACTGAAGAAGGACCCTGGCAAGGTAAGAATAAATAAGTACATATGCCCATATAGTCAGCCCACACGCCTTCAGAAAACAAGAGGCCTCACAGTGCAAGCTGTAACTCATAATGGATGTCTGTCTGCACAGTACACAGGAGTCTAGGTGATGTCCCAGGCCTGGGGGCCATGAAGAAATGCCTCTCCTGCAGCAGTGGCACAGGCTGCCAGCCCTAACCATGCCTCACGGTCTCCAGACCTTTCAGGTCTCTTTCCCCTCATCCCTCTCTTCACCGGATGGTCCTCCTCAACCATGCCCATTAAATGCTGGTAGGTCCCACAGCCCCCCCCGGGGAGGCCCAGATAGACTGGCTTCAGCCCAAAATTGTCACAGATTCCTCATATTAGTAATGGTGGTGGCTACCACGGGAGGGAGCATAGCGCTGAGCTGCCTTCCCTTCCAGAGCTCCCTGTGGGGTGAGGACAAAGCTGGACCTGAGCTGAACTCACATCTCTGATGGGCTTCTTCCCATCCCATGCTGCCTGCTTCTCTCCATCCTTGCAGATGTCCTCCGGGAACCCTCCCCCTCCCTCAACCCGCCACTGGGATGAGAATCCCCGCTGTGGACTCTGCTTCCGGAAAGCCAACCAGAGATGAGGACTCCTGGCACAGGATGGACAACTGCAGCAAAGGGTTAACTGTGCAGGACCGGATCGTTCTCATCTTGCACGTTCCTGGCTGGGGATGCACAGCCTCGAAAGGATGTGTCTGCTGACCTGGGGCCTTGGGCTAAGACAGCTGACACTAACCATGGGACACCCAGCGGGGACTTCGGGCCACGCAGCACCGAGTGACCTCTGGGGAAGCAGGAGGCTGCGTAGTAAATGGGAGCCATATGGCTATGCGATGCCTACGTGACAGCCCCCTGGCTGCCACACTTGAGCCAGTTTCCTGTGGCAGCACCTTGTACATGGTGCCAGGCAGCGTAGCTGGGAGAGTTAAGCACCAGCCAGATGAGTCCATGGAAGGAGGTGGTAGCTGGACACTGCTCCCTACTTACTTACTCCCTCCTTCCCCCTGGCCAAGACTCCTAAATACTTCTGCTGGATTGAATATGTACCTCCTTGCTGCAATCAGACATAGGCATGAGTAGAACAGGATTTCTGTGTTTGCAGCTCCTTTAGCAAATCATTGAAACTGAGAGGGCTCTCGGGAGCCCCTGATACAATGATTCTCCATAGTGAGATAACAAAGACCCTGAAGTCATGATCAGGGTTACTTAAGTACATTCCGAGAGTTTAAAGAGTCCAAAGTCTCTACCTAATCTATCTATCTATCTACACATCCTTCAACATCTACCAACATCTATCAATATCTATCCATCCATCCATCTATCAGCTGTCTATCTTGTCTGTCTCTATTTCTTATCTCTCTCTAGTCTTTCTCTCTCCCTCTCCCTCTCCCCATTCCTCCCTCTCTTCCCATCTCCCTGTCTCCAGCATTCATTTTTTGTGGTGACAAGGGAATCACAGTAGCACATTGTCAGTTGGCCTCTTTTGCTGGGCAACGTCAGGGTCTTGGTGTGCCGTAGTGATTTACACTTTCATTTCCTCTTCTCACACTTTCATTGAGGCCTAGCCCTTGAAGGATGATGTGCTTCTGTGAGGCACATCCTTGGCTGGTGTGAAGCTGACTCCGTGCAGGAGAGGTGAGTCAATGACTTCTCACTCCAAACAAGGATTTATGCACATCCCCCGGGAAATCTTCAGCGAAACGTTCCAGATCCACACAGACAAGCCAGGATTCCCGTCTTGGCATCTGCTGGGTCCACCAACTCATCTAAGAGAGCGATGGTGGCCTTGAGCTCAGAGGGGCTCTGTGCCTGGGTCCTTATTTGAAACCCATTGCCCGCCAGGCTTGCAAAGGAGACAAAACCCTTCACAGCCTCTCTAGGGGAGTATTCTGCCCAGGTGAGCATTTGGTTCTGAAACCAGGCTGTGGGCTTGCTCTTGAAGCCCACAATTCTCCAGTTTCACAGCCACTCTCCTATGGTAGGCACAAGCACCTTAAGTGGACGAACTGGCCCTGCATCTACACAGCTGCCAGGACCTGCTTATCCCTAGAGAAGCCACCAAGACCTGTTACCTGCCTCAGCCATTGCCCCTCCTCTGGCTACTCAGTCAGAGCATGGAGGTGCTATGCTGCGGAGCCTGCAAGAGCCATACCGGGCTATGGCCACACCGCCAAGAACTGGGTTTCCAGAGCAGCCACATTGTGGCAAGCTTCTACAGCTTTCCACTCTCCTTATATGACACAAAAATGGATGTTTCTCACCATCTAAATAATGCTAAAAGGGCAATCCTGCCAAAGGGGCCAAAGGGGCCAAAGGGGCGAGCTGGGACATTGCAATAGAGTTGCTCGAGTCCACCCTCGCTATCAGCTTCTGTCCTCCTCGGCCTGTTCCACGCCAAGGGAAGCTGCGCTCTAGGCGCGTCCCGCTGGCTGTGGCTGGGTCGGACCAGAGGGACAGGACTTCAAGGGACCAGGGTGGAAGGTGCTTCCTCTCTGCCTCGGGCCAATCCTTCTGGCCATGGCTTTGAATCTACAGCTACAGTTCCGCTTTATCTTACCGCTCTAGCTCTCATCTGGCTTTGAACACACGCACAGCGGTGGGAACAACTCTCGATTCTGGCTTTTTACTAAGCCTTATGCAGTCCATATCGTTTCCCTCCGCCCACAGAGCTGAGAAAGACCCCTTGCTTGTCTCTTCAACTGTCTGAATTGCACTTTATTTTGTCACCAGAGCCCTGTCTGATAGTCAACGTTCATCCAGTACTGAAAGATGACATACTGGTTTTCCCGGAGGCCCTCTTTCTCCCGGATTTCCTGGTGCACCCTGAGAAAAGAAAGAAAGAAAATGATAACTGAGGTAGATATATAATCTTGATCCACTTGACCCCTCCTGCTCATCTCCTCTGTCAACCTCTCAATCTACCAAGTGTAATTTGGTGGGGGGGTGTGGGGGGGAACATGGAACTCAATAAACTCTGAAGATGAACACTGATCAACAATTGGGAGAGTAGCAGGTGTTTTTTCCAGGGCTTCCTGAAAATCCTTGACTGGACTATACCACTGTCTACATAGTCAAGTGAGTCCAGGAGTTAGTAGGCAGTTGGGTGACTCTAAGGCCATGAATCGGGAGGCTGAATGATGCCACTCCTGTCTACTTACGTCCTGTCCAGCTGGTCCCTGGGGGCCGGGGAATCCAGGTAAGCCTCGGGATCCCTGATGGAAAAGAAGAGAAGACACCCCCCCACATGTGAGCAAACAAAGGCTCCCCATTCTTGGCAAGAGCTGGCTGTCATTGTACAAATGGTTATGGCGAGGAGGAGGCCAACTTAATTCAAGTACCAAAAGCACCCTGCTTCTGAGTTTGCTGTGCTGTGTGCAGCACAGCACACAGAGTACTCAGGAAACCTTTACCCAAGGGAGCCAGCGGTGCCTGAGCTAAAATCCTTTAGGCACTGCTGCATAACATCAGGGCTGCCACTGGCCAAAGTAAGCCTCGTGCAACAAGACTTCGGCACAACGCTCAGCGCATAGATGGCATCCGAAAGTATACGAGGAATTCATTCCCCTTCTATTAAACATTTCTGGACCAAATCAGGGAACTGAACACATTCTTTGTTTCCTTTTAGATTTTTTTCCCCCTTAAATAGAACAACAAATGGAAATCAGCTCTTCTTCAGGGCATTTTTATGCTCCTTGCTATGTGTGAGCTGACCGTCTGTTCTAGAATGTTCACAGAGGTCCCCTCTTCTTATCTTCCTCACCTCTACATTGTATAACTTTCTCTGGGCTCTACTATTAACTGCTGCGTCTCAATTTCTTTATCAAAATGGCTATGAAAGCCCCTTCTCTCCTTATTCAGAAACCATACAAATATATTTCAAATATGTGCTCACAACAAGGGTATCATATCTCTTCCAGCTGTTAAGATGATGTCTTTTCTATTAAGGTGTGTTCATAAGCATTAACATTTTCATGGTAAATGTATGGTCTCCTATCACTGGACTTTGCCTCTCCTGGGACAAATGCTTATGATGATCTCTCCCCTGTTGTCCATTAGGTCTTGCTTAATGGCTTATGGGTCTTGTTGTGCCTATGTGATGCACAAAAAGAATTCACCTTTTTGTTCATGGGGTGGGAGGGACCACAAAGCTACAATTTTAAAAAAATCAGCCCTTCTGAAAATTTGATTCATTAAACTGTGTCTCTCCTTATTGGATAAAGAGCTGCCCCAAAGTAAAGCCCTAACTCTAAAATGGACACACGGAGTCAAGATGGCCTTCAATCCCTCTTCCTGAAGTCCATTTGTAGGTCATATATCCTATCCCATAGGTCAGGGCTCGTATTTACAGTGTCACATCATTTAACATTAGGGACTTTCGGAAATTATTTTAGTTTTTGGTTCCTGCATCTTCAAATGGCTTTGATTTGAGCAGAATTAATTCTTCCCATAGGGACCCACTTAAAGCATACTGTACCGGGGGGCCTTTGTCTCCTGGTGGTCCTGATGGGCCCTAAGAAACAAAGGAGCAAGTCAGCAAGCAGAGCAGTGCTGGAAGGGTCATTCAAGACATACTGTGCTGTTCATGTCTAAGCCAAGACTTCGACCGTCTGGGAAAACGTCACTAAATTCCTCTCCTCTCGAAGCCGCATTGCCACTCAGTGCTTACCCACAAATGCTGTTCCAGAGAGCTTCTGCATTTATTCCCTGCACGGTGCCACCCTGCCCTCATGCTCACCGGGTTTCTGAGACCTGAGCCCACGTCTTCTCTACAGCTCGAGCGTGCCCTGGCTTTATCTACTCAGGATGGCTGGGCATTCCGAGGTCATACTTGAAGATGCTAAAGAACCCGTTCAGATCTTCCAGGAGCATTTCTGCCTGTGCCCTGAAGGGCCTTTGCTATGCTGGTGCTTTTTCATGAAAGGCCTTCCTTTCTATTTGGACAAGTTGCCTTCTCTTTTCACAACGGGGCTCTGAGTTTACATGCCTCTGCCTTGGACCATCCTTCAGGTTGGAGTGAGTCCCACTTCCCACCAGCATCCCAGTGCCTCCTACATACTCACTGTAGCAAAGCCCAGAAGGCGGTCCTGCGTGCTCCCAAGAGAGAGAAAAACGTTGTGCACAAATGCCAGAAGTAACCTACAAGCCTACTCCCTAAACACATTGTGGAGCTCCCTGATAGAAACAGAGTGAGTATCTTTCCAAGGGCAGGTTGAATCCTAAGGAAAGTAGAGGAAAACACCAAAGACCTACAGGCTGTGGTTTCAGAAAATCAGCATCCAATTATAGCATGGTTTGCCTGGAGCCCTAAGGATTGTATAGGGACAAGGAAAAAGCCCTTCTTTGGACCAACCTACTGCAAGCAGGTAAAGGGAAGACTTTAATGTGCTATAACAGGTGTCCAGTATATCTATAAAAGGGCAGTAAGTATCATAAGCTTTATAGGACAGAGTCTTGGTCACAACTGAACTCTGCCACTAAGTCAATGATGTCCAGGGACATGTATTGCAAACAGTAAATAAGGGAGTTCTCTATTGAGAAGTACGTCAGCTAATAAAGAATTAATGGAGTGAGAATGGCTCTAGGTATTCATTATCTCTCTCATTATCTACCTCCAGGTATGACTGAAAGAGCTGTACACACGCAGGGAGGCCATAGGTACAGAAATGCCGAGGTGAAAGACTCAAGGTGTGGAAAGAAGAGGACTTGTGGCTCTTGGTCACTGCTCCTCACACATAGCTTTGCTTTAACACTTGCATGAAGCCTGAACCTTGGGAATCTCCAACATTCTTTTGCTACAGATGGAAAGGCTGACTCTAAATGGCATTGTGTAATATAACCAATGCTAAACAGGTAGAATTATAAGCTCAGAGTTGCACCTCTTGTCTACTTGGCTCAAAGGCCATGGGTCCCTCCACTGGAATGCATGCTGCTGTCATTATAATGGACCAACATGTGTGCATCTGAACTCTGCACATCTCAAAGCGGCTCCTGTGAGGCTGTATATGCTTCCTGGAGGAAAGGGGCAGTGTGTTACTGGCATGCGGAATGTTGCCATTTCAAATTAAACTCACAGTTTACCACAAACATTGAACTCATTTATTAATCCAAATACTTTCTTATGTCATCGAATATAAGCTTGACTATGCTGAATGGATTTTGGGCTCTAAGATCTTCATTTTAAGTCTTAGCTTCATGAAAACTTAGCAGATCCTAGAAGTACAAAAGAGCCCTGGGCTGGCCTGTCAGGATCATTCCCACAGCTCTTCTGTTTGTCAACTTGTAAGACACAGAAAAGAGTATATTAGGGAACAACTATACAGTTATTTCTCTAATGTTCTTCCTAAATTAAACATCTAATTATCTTTAATGATTACAGTTTTCTAAGATCTTTTTAGCTAACACCCGATTTCAGGCTTTGAGACCAATTTCCACTAAGGAGAACCACAATTCCTTGAATTCAACGATGGGTCATAGACCTGGCCAAAGAGCATGCACAGACACCTAGAACATCCACCATTTCCCAGAGCAAGGAGAAAGCCATCAGTTGCCAGGCTGTGTCCAGACCACTCTGGCTCAACATGTATAGAAGCCCATTGCTGTGAGAAACAACCATTTGAATACCAAAAGGAATAGCTGAGATACGTTAAAAACAGACCAGTGCATTTAAGTCCATGAGTTCAGACTCCCTCTTCAAAACATAAACAAATATCTAATTAGCCATCTTTGCCAGATACTAAGGAGCCAAGTCATTATACAAAAGCAATCAGTGGGCAAGTCTGAGAAGTTTCTTCCTTTCCTTCCTTCCACGTCAGGTACTGCAAACACTACGCAGAGTTTGCAAACAGGATATGAGGAAGCGTTCTCGCTGTAGCAGAAGCCCAGTAATAACGAACCGGTGAAACTAGAACACACCAACCCGCAAGCCCGCTGTGCCGGGCGAGGCGAGCATGGACATCAGAGGGGGCCCAGGAGCACCTGGTCCCCTCGGTGGAAGGACGGAAGCCAAGTCTGATCAAGCCGCTAACGCTGAGTATCAAAGAATCAGAACAACAAGGAAAGCAAAATGTGCTCAACTATGAAATTCACAAATCCGAGATTGTGAGAGCTTTGGAGACCAAAGACTAAACCTGTTTCCATCAACAAATAAAACCAAGAAGGATAATGGTGGGGGGGAGGGAGGGAGAGGGAGGGGATCTCTGTTCACCACCTCTACTGTTCTTCCTTGTCCCCTCTCTTCCTTCCTATCCACAGCCTCCTGTCTTGTGGTTCCTTCTCATTTTCATGAACTAGGGCCTCTTGCCTCTAGCTTTCACAAATGAGAGAAAATATATGTCTCTGTGGGACTGGCTAATTTTAATTAATATGATCATCTCCATTGATTTCTGTTTGATAGCAAACAACCCTAATTTCACTCTTCTTATAGCTTGCTGTTAGCTTCACTTGGCTCTTAAGACAGAGAAGAAAATTGACTTAAGTGTAGCAATTATGAATGGATGAGAAGAATGAACAGTAACTGGACATTTGATTATGTGGTAATGAAACTGCGGGTACATTTAAAAATATCTCGCCTTTCCAAAGCACAGGTTCCAACACTGATCAAAGGATATTATGTCTGTGGTATCTGTGGTGTGCTTTCAAACAATAGAAGCTGAAGGATGGACAAGGGAAGAGTGTGACCACTGGCCTGTAACCCTCGTTAGTGGCTACTCAGACGCCATCTTGTTATTCTGCCTGCTGTGACATTCTTCATAATAAGAGTACGTATATGTGTGCATAGACTTACATATGTATGTATGTATATATATATATGTATATATATATATACACGGTCATGTACTGCACAACAATGTTTTAACAATGACAGAATGTATAAACAATAAAATCCAGTAAGATCATATTTAAAGTGATGTCATGGCTAGCTTTCAGGGGTAAGTACATTCTGACATTAATTGACAAAGTTGCCTGAGTTATTTTTTCAGAACATATCCATGCTTTTAAGTGACATATGACATACACACATATATATGTGTGTGTGTGTGTATATATACCACACATTCATTCACAACTATAGATACATATGCAAATGCAGACACTGACACACTATGGGTGTGTGTTGGTAATTATAATTAGTGAACAGTTCTAGAAATGAAAGTCCCAAGGCATTTTATATGTGCTAAACACTTGCTCTTTTTTCTTTGCTACATTATACTATAAATCAGGCTCTATCTAATTCCCCCTTTATCTACATGTCTAAGATTCCACGGGCCCTTGCATGACATGCCAGGAGCAGGCCGCATGCTGGGCTGAAATCTCAGCGAGTCTTGGAACCTGCCCACAACTAGTGCTTGAGTTATAAGAAAACCACAATCAGTGTGTGGTGTGATGGGTCATGGCTGGGAGATGCTGAGAGCCTCCTGTTTGGGTGTATCTACTCTTTAGTAAAACATCTGGAAGGTTTCCTTGTCTGCAAACAGGGCCTATATAGGTATCAGTCTTCAGTTACCAGTTTCTTGCTAGTCTTAGGCTCTTCGGTAATGAGAGGACAGAAAATGAGGAACACCTTCTCAGTCCAGAAGGTGTTACTTCTACCACCTGCTTCCCCAAGGTACTGCAGACACTGCTGGTGTCTGACCACGGGGAAACGGAAGATCAGACTGGGAAGAAGCAGGTTCTGAGTTTGGTGGCTACCAGCAGGAGCCCTGTCCTAAATAGCCCACTCTCGGTGCCAGGGAGGCCCATGGACACTTTGATCTTCCCCAGGCTGGGCTAAAGCTCATTTTCAGCACTTCAAACCTTGCTAAAGGAAGATCAGAGACAACTTGAAGATTAAAGGAAATTTCCTTTTCTTGCGTGAATGTTTTGAAGAAGGCCAAGATCTCAAATAGCTATGTGGCTTCATGCCCTCCTGTTCAATGATGGGACGGAGAGAGCCGAGAGAGCCCCAGGCCCCCCCTTCCAGAGGGGCAGAGCTGGCCCTGGTCCCCAGGAACTGGAGCATAGCACCGGACGGAGAATCACTTCCTAGCAGATCTACCCCGCCTGTGCCTCCACTGAGCGAAGGCAGTGGGAATGTGTAAGTCCTGCTCACACTATGGAAGCCACGAGGTGAGGTGCCACCAATGACAAGCGGCTTCTAAGGACGGGAAAGTCCATCTACTCCCTGGCCCAGCTCCTACACAGGCTGGGTAACACGAGCCTCGGCCCTGTGTCTTCAGAACTTCACGCGGTTCACCTCAAGGCCACCAGAGCAGGCAGACGGCTCACTCCATCCTCATCTTAACTGGGCAGCCCAGCCACCACCTGCTGCAGGCACCTGCCCCAAGACCCCCTTTCTACACCACGGAATGTGAGGCTGATGCTCTGGCTGGCCAGGTGTGGCTGGGAACACCACTGAGCAATGATGGGTGTTGGCACACCAACATTACAACTTGATCATTCTGAGACCGTACCATGTAGTCATGCAGGGGTTAGCGGAGTGAGCCAGAGCGCATCTTCTCATTAACATGATCTCCCTGGGTACGCTCTCTGTCTCTATCTCTGTCTCTCTCTTTTCTCTCTCCTCTCCCCTCTCTGCTCCCATGTTCCCCCCTCTTCTCTGTTCTCTCTCCTCTCCACCTCTCATTTCTGGATGACTTCCTGAATAAACGCCTCACTCTTGAAACTCCCAACAGTGGAGATGATGTTTTGACCCCCAGAGGATCAGACCGACCTATGACTACTCAGCAAACAGAGGCAGCATTCTTGTCCCAGGCAGCCGCACAACCTCACACACACACACACACACACACACACACACACACACACACACACACACGCTTCCTCACCCGCTGTGCACGCCTGCTCTCCACACACCCTTGAACTCTCCCCACAGATTTCCATCGAGTGTCCAGGCTGGGAGCCAAAGAGAAGATTTATGACAAGTCAACCAGGTTCCATCCACCAAGGAAGCTTTTAATAAGCCAAAGTGGAAGAAAGACACTTGAAAGAGTTGATTTACAACCTGAGGCTTGGCCAATGTGTAGGTGGAATCACTTAAGCAGGAAGATATTTCATGGCGACTTTAGCGGACTCTCAAGTGGGAGGTGGGCCCAGCTGTCCCGTTCTGCTGCCTGACTCTCTGATTAAGTGTCTGGCATGGTGAAGTTGTGGGGAGTAGACAGGACACAGAAAACCTTGTTAAACAAGAGCGTGCCACATCCAGGCCTAGGCCTGTAGTGTGACATACGGTCAGTTCTCTCTATTCCAACAGGAATTCCACCTTCACTCTAGTGAATGGAGCTGGACCCTAAGGAGGACTTCAGAAATAAGAAGTCTGGACCACTTAGCTTCCTTTGCCTTGATCTTTTGCCACATTGTTTCTCCAGTTACTAGACAACAACAACAACAAAGAGACAGGATAAAAGGCAAAGTTGATCATGTCATGAAGTAGAGGGCTCTGCCTGTCTGTCAGAAATTCTTGGCTGAAAATTTCTTTTAAGGCAAACGGTTCAACCCAAAAGGATTCCGCATGCTGGAATCCCAGGGACACGGGGGAAGACAAAGCGTCACCTGACCCTGTCACACTTGGAATGGTACGCATGCCCAGCAGTGGAACAGAAAAGGGAGGCCTCAGGAATCCTTCTTGAGAAGTAGGACAGAGAACAAAGGCTGGAGGATTTGGAGAGCCAAGCAAGAAGCCTAGGACTACACTGAGATGTAGAACAAGAACACAGAAGAGAGGAAAGCAGGTATCTGTGAGTGAGACTGTGAATCATAGAGTCAACGTATCTTCTTATTTCTGGCAATCCTGGGCAGGTAAGGGTTGAGCTCCGGCTTGTACTGGTTAGGGAGGCCACGCCCCAGCCCTCTGTGTGGGAGGCCTCACTAGCTTTTCTCATTTGTTAACGCCAGACTGGATTCAAACATGGTCTTGTCTCCACCTCCCCAGCAGCTATGACTACAGGTATGAGTGGCCGGGCCCACCCTTAGGCTTCCATCCTTCTTCGAGAGTTACAGGTGAAGAATGACAGCTGCGTTTCCTAATGAGAAACCAAGAGAGACTAGACCACATACTGTGATGTTCACGGGAAGGTGAAGGGGAGGTCAGGAAACCACGGATGGAAGAGCCATAAAACCATTGCTCAGGGAAATGTCTGCTTTCCATGAAAAACCATTATGTTTCAGGGCCAGATATACTGGCTGTGGACGAAGTGAGTCTTCAATTTCTGCAAGTACTCAAGTATTGCAGAGAAAGAACATTGAGAGCAATCCTTGACTCGGATAAGGCCTGGCCTTCATTGATCCAAATGAGCACTTGTCACTTAGAGGGTTTACAAATTCTTATAATTACCACCTCTAGGGGTCTTAACAAGCACACAGGGCAGAGGGTGGGAACGACACGTTAAAATCAGTCACATAAAACGGATTGGTAGATTGCATTTTAGAAGCATAACCGCATGTCTATTTTTGCCTTACTAATTAGAACAAGCAGGATGATGAACTCTTTTCTGCCTGAAATACATGAAAACACACAATTTGTCCACTTCAGCTTCCTTTCCACCCAGCTCCACGTCGTTGGCTATGTTTCCTTCCCTCGAAGGGGGGAATGAGGAATTTTCTTTGCCTTTCGTTAAACTCTAGTGATATTTGTTGACCTCCCTTTGAATCAGACAAGTCTTGGTTTCTGCATAAGCTACGTTCTTATTCTTATAAAAGGTACACTACGTTTTACACCCATGTCAACTGTGTGCACAGAACCTCCACCCATCTGGCCCCAAGACCTCATTCGCTGAAATGGCAGCAACCTACAGAAACCGGGGCCGCAGGCTCCCATCAGAGCTAGCACGCTGTGGCTGCCTGGCCCAGGCACAAGCAAAAGCATTGGCTGAATCAACACTCACAGGAGGTCCAGCAACCCCAATGCCCGGGTCTCCACGGCTACCGGGAGAGCCAGGGATCCCAGGTGCTCCTCGGTCCCCCTGAGAGAGAGAGAGAGAGGGAGGAGTGGTCAGTGCCATAAGGAGATGATCAAGGTGTAGTCGGCAGAAGAGCGCTCTTCCTAACTGCTGAGTCATCCAATCCAGTTCCCATCCCTGTGCTCTGAGATTTCCTATGATGCACCCAGGCAGCCCATCCTCCAGACAGGCCTAGCCTTACGTGTGCTGTGGTTGACAATGGTCCAAATCCACTGTGCCCTCCTGCCCCCAACCAAACTATCATTCCTCTCTTGTAGCCACACACGCATTCATGTTCCAACTCCAGGTCCCCAATCACCAGAAAATCCACTTGTCAATCTGCCAAGAATTTACCAGTGCCTTCCGCGTTGTGGGAGTGGCGGAGGGACCCGGTGCTGATTGAGGTCACACTTTGTTTCGAGTGTTATCGGTTCACTGTGTGGATTTGGCCTGGGTTTAAGTTCTGGCTTCACTACGTAAGAACTTTAGGAAAGTAACTAGTGCTCTGAAAGCAAGTTTCTTCATCTATAATAGAAGCAGCCACACCAGTCACTCTTACTAAGTGAGACAGGGCACACAGCCTGCGGCCGGTGCCTGGCCCACGGCACAAGCTAGCTGTTGCATTTGCAGCTCTGCTGCTCACCTGCCTGCCGGGATAGGAAGAGGCTCAGACTGGAGCCAGGACTGGCCGGGACTGCCACTGAGGCTGGTAGTGACTCCTTACCGACGTCCGGGCGGGCTCACAAACTCCCCTCAGCAGTGTCTCCCTTCTCTGTCCCCTCTGCCACCGCATACCAAGTATGGAAGCACCACTGGATTTGAGCATGAGACCCAAAAAATCCACCTGGTCTGGAACCCCACACACCAGGAGCCCCTGAAGACCCCGTGCGAATGAGAAGTGGACCTGCACTGCGAGAAGCCTCTGCCGCGCGGAGATCACGTGTGACCGAAATCACGCGGACCACGTGAGACTCCTGGGATGGGTGAAAGCCAGTGAGTGTCTCTGGCAATTTCACACAGTAGGACTGTATTAGGTGCTGTGTATGTGTGTGTGTGTGTGTGTGTGTGTGTGTGTGTGCATCATTTCAAGATCACAGTGAAGTGCCCCCGGAACCTCCTGCCAATGGGTGCATGAGAAGCGGAGGGAAGCGGGAGTGGACAGAGAGGAGCTCACAGCAAGAAGTCCCCACGGCCCCTCCCTAGAAGGGCCCATGCGCCATTTGCATGCCAGCACTTACCTTGGTTCCTGGAGGGCCAGGTAAGCCGGGGAAGCCTCGCAGCCCCTGGGGAAGGGAGAGACACAGGGCAGGTGTGAGGTGGTGAGCCAGCACCGGCCGTCCATTGGCAGCCACGCTCTGCTGGGGGCGGGGCAGACGCCTGACTTGTGTGAGCCATGTGGGACTCCGGCCTCCACGTGAGCAGAAGCACCTCGCCTGCCTCTCAGTCTACTTTTTCCACTTAAGATTAGTGAGGGGGAGGGGAGAGCATGCATGCAGGCAAGAATTCACTGTCCACACCACAGAACTGGGAAATGCGAGGGAAGGGTGGGTGGAGGTGGGCGAAGGCGTTCAGGTGTTGAGCCAGATCAGGGGTGACTGGGAGCGGCGGGTGAGAATGTGGGAAGGCGTGGTGGCATGGAGCAAGCCGCACTGTATTCGTAAACTGCCTCAGTGAGTGGCGACTCCTTGGTACCACTACTTACAGACGGTTCAATATGACCAGCTTCCCACAGGTGACTGGAAAGCTGGGCTTCAGAGCAGAGCGCACCTGATCCAAAGCCAGATCCTTATTCTTCTTGGCTGTGCTTAGAGCCCTGGGGTAGCTCTGGAGGTTTGTTCGGTTCAGCACTCACGGACACAGTACTTCGGAGGGTTCCTCTCCGCTCCTGCCCGTGACTGTCCCGTGACTGTCCCGTGACTGTCCTGACCACGGGTAACTCATTTCACGACAGCCTCCCTCCATCACCAGAGGCTCAGAGGCCCAGACTGGTGGCCACATCTTGGCATGGCCAGCGCCGGGCTGGGCCTGCCCTGCAGCGAGCAGTCCGCGTGGCTGCACTGGCCTGAAGTCAGCGCCCACGCCCAGCAAAGCTGCTGCTTCGCTTCCCAGCGTTTCAGGTAAACCATGCTCAGCCACAGTCCAACAACGGTAAGTGGAAGGACTCAGATATAACCAATGCGTTCTAAATGGCTTTCGGTGCAGTAGATAGTTGTAACTATTTTATTGTATTGTTGTTCGTGTCTTACTGTACTTAACATATAAATGACGCTTTGCCATAGACTTGTGTGACCAGGGGAAGCATGGGGTGCGTGTCTTTATGTAGGACACGGAGCGTTATCCGTGGCTTCAGGACTGGGGGGGGGAGGGGGCGGCCCAACTGGGCCCAGCTTACTGGCATTGACTACAGTGCTTCTTTCTGTTCTTTTTCCTTTTCCAGTCTATTTTCTCCAGGCATAGAAACATGTTCCTGATACACGTAGACATCGACATAGATACAGACACACAGACACACACACACTCACACACTCTCACACACTCACACTCACACACTCACACTCACATACTCACACTCACACACACACTCATACATTCACACACTCTCACACACTCACACACATACACTCACACACACACTCACACACTCACACACACACTCACATACTCACACTCACACACACACTCACACTCACACACACTCACACACTCTCACACACACTCACACTCACACTCACACACATACATTCACACACTCTCACACACTCGCACACTCATACATACACACTCACACTCACACACTCACACACACTCACTCACACTCACACACTCACACACACTCACTCACACTCACACACACAGTCACACACTCACACACAGACACACTCACACATACACACTCACATACACACTCACACACTCACACACTCTCACACACACTCACACACACTCACACATACACACACACTCACACACACACTCACGGGCACGCGTGAGCCGCTTACCGGTTCGCCGTCCTTCCCCTTCCCGGGTGGCCCGGGATCACCCCGAGGCCCCGCTGGCCCTGGGCGCCCTTCTTCGCCTGCTGCTCCCTGGAGAGAAAAGTAGACAATTTCCAGGGTCCACATTAGGCCAAGTTCAGCTTCTGGTGGGAGCCGCCCCTGCAGTGGACAGACTTCCTGGGGTGGCCGTGATGGAGAATGAAAGGCACGCGGGCCTGGACGGCACAGAAGTGGGCAGCACCCACCCGCACTGAATTGCTGAATCGCACCCTCCAAAATCCACATGTTACAGTGCCACCGGTTAAGTTTAAAGGAGGTCATCCCGGGGTGGGAGCCACTGGGCTCTCGGATGAGGGTCCCTGGGGACAGACCCGGGAAGGGCAGATGTCGAGAAGCGGTGGAGGGAAGACAGAGGTTGCAAAGGGAAGAGCGCGCCGGGTCAGGTCCGCCTCGTGGCCCTCCCTCCAGGACCCGGCCTGGGACGGCCTGGTCTGGGATTCTCGTCCCCACGGTAAATCTCCATTGCTCTGAGATCTGTCATTGTGCAGCCCACGAGAGCAACGTGACACAGGGAAGCCCAGAGGATTCGGATGACGGCCTGCAGCCACCTCACACCCACGCCGGGAATGGCTGCCACTGCTCCGGCCTGGCAAGGGCTCCTCAGGTCCTGCTCAGCTGCTCTGGGCGGGGCCTGCCCGTGTGTTCCTTCACCAGATCGCTCCGTTGGGAGAGAATCAGACAGACGGAGAGATGGAGAGCATGGTGAGGAGCTGCTGAGCAAGCGAGGCTTTGAACTTGCGACAGGACAGTTGCTCGTCTGTCCTCAAAGCTACATGCAGCTTCAGTGTGAAATACTGGGTCAAACCCGAGAGACAGACACACCTTTATTTCCAGACAGCAGTCCTGATGTTTAAATGTCCCAGTTCTCCTCTGATGGAGGAGGCTGAAGTCTGGCAAGCCTTGGATGGAGAGGGTCTCCCCAGGCCCACAGCCCGCAGCCTTCCCAGAGGCCGCCACTGGGCTTGGGAGAAAGAACATTGTAGAGAGCCCCAGAAGTTCCCTGGGCTAGCTGCGGAGAACGAGAAGGGGTGTGGCTCCCCCTAGTGGCTGAATGGGCCAACAGCTCACTGGACTTGTGGGTTTGGAATGCTCAAACCTTTAAACATCTTAGTGCTTGGAATTTAACCTTGACATCTCGGTCACCCCTTCTAGGCTCACCAGCTCGTGTGTGACATAGGGTCCCCCACCCTTGACACTGTCAGGGAAGAGCAGAGAGGGCCGCCGTTCCTTTGCGTGTCCCCACTCATTACTGCAGTCTGAGATGGTATCCTTCTAAAACTTTCGCGTGCACGTTGCCTATAAGGATTGTTATTGAGCCTGTGATCAGCTTACAGCCTCCACTACCCCCCCCCCCAAGATATTTCCTACAGACTGGCTCATCTTTGTTCTTTCTAAAATAAATTGGAAAGATGTATTTTTTTAAATGGAGCCAAAATGCAAACTCTGCATCTATTCTTGTTAAATTTTATATAAAGATACGGGAAAGTGATCCGTCCCTGGAAAAGTGTCAGCAAACGCAGACTGCGAGGAACCTGGATGGAGAGTTTGGATAACGGTACTGGGAGAGGCATCTGCAGACGCTCTGTCAGGAGAGAGGGTGTGCATGTGTGTGCCACCAGCCCTGAGCCTCTGTCCTCTGCCGGCCCCCACGGCCTCGCTCCACCCCAACCTACCCTGAGCACCTGCTCCCCGCTCTCAGCTCGGCTTCACCACTTTGGGTTCCGGGTAGCTCTGAGCATCCTCATGAGGATGCCAGTCCCAGAGCCAGGGTCTTTCAGACCGGTTGATTCTTGCACTCCGGGGTTTCCAGTAGAATCCCTGGTCTTTACCTACTCTGTGCCAGTATCCGTTTTTTCCTCCAGCGGTGACAACTAGCCATGTCAGAAGGAGGCAGGCTGCCCCGGGAACAGACCCCATCTCCTCCCTCCCCTCCCCTAGTGTAGAGCTGCAGAACCAAGACTTGGAAGCTGGCGTGCGTCCTGGGTTTGAATCCCACGCGACTCCCTCGGTGCATTCCAATGAGCACTCTGGGTTTCCACGGCTCTGGCTCCGTATCACCAAGAAGGCGTTCTCAAGAGCACAGGCTAACAGACGCGTGCGGTGGGGTTTCAGTGGGCGTGGTTTGATCCTCAGTCTCTGGGGCTCGTCTGTCCCTAGTGGACGCTGCTTCTCCCTTCTTGCCACACTATGGGGAAGGCGGTGTCCCCCGCGATCACCGGTGCACAATGGAGAGCTGGGCCACGGCGCCAGAGCAGGCGGGGCGTGCGGTCACACACACCTGGCTCGGCAGCTCTCCAGCTGGGAGACATGAGCAAATCAATTCGCCCTGAGCGACCATCTCCACAGCTATCAAGGAGCGGGAGGGTTAGAGGAGAGGGCGGGGAGCCACAGGGCCTTCTCTGCCTCCTACTCATTCTGATTTGTGGGTCCTGATTTGTGGGTCCTAAGCCAGGCCCCGAGTGGCAGGGGGTGCTCTACTGTCAGTGAGGCCTCCGGGCCGAGGGCATGCATGGTGCTCACCTTCTCACCCCGCTCGCCATCTTTCCCCGGCGGGCCTCTGATTCCCGGAGTGCCCTAAAGAAAGGAAGGTTATTCACACAGTCAGCTGGAAACACAGCATGAGCAACTGGAATCAGTCCTATGGGGGACCTGGGGACCCCCTGAGCCTACCTAAAGGTGGAAGAGTCTGGCTCTGTACTGTACCCCCAGGGCCACTCTTGGGTGGGGCCACTAGCCACCTGCACAAGGCCAGACAAAAGGCTCATGCGAAAGAAGTTGATGCAGACACTGAGAGACAGGAAGGGTGGAGCGGGCAAGACAGCCAGTGTCCCGTATGCACTTCCTGCCTGTGCCTGGGGTCAGGAGAGTCACGCCCTATCCCTGAGGGCCATCACGCCAACAATGCCCGAGAAGGTCTGCGGGACCAGCATTTGTCCTCTAAAGGCAGATGATTATTACTTGGAGAGGTTTGATGAATGTGTAGGACTCACCTCACACTACAGCGGAGAATAAACTGTCTCGGCCCCTGGCTAGATGTCAGTGTGTTTTATTAAAGAACATTCAAGTCTAAATCAATGTTGATGGTGAACCGTGAAGCTGGGTTGTCAGAGACGCTCTGGGCCTCTGCATCTGAGCTGGAGAGGTGAACCTCCGCAGACCAGAGGAGGCAGGGCCCAAAAGGTGACTCAGCACAGCCTGTGCACCCCGCAGGGGAGGGCAGAGGCCTCCAGGAGCCCGGCCCGTGTCTCACTGCCCGTCAGTGGAGAGCTGGGTCTGAATGCCCATGGGGAACAGGCAGCAGGCGGCCTGTGACCAAACTCTTTAAGTTCATTTTGGGTGTCTAAACGTCTCCACGTTTCTTCTAACACCAGCAAAAGGCACAGACTTTCTCCAACCCCAACACTCCCATTTACCACCCAGAGGGTTGAAGCAACCCTAGCAGGATCACTGGTGACACAGGCCACCAATCCCACTCCCTCCCTGTGAGCCCAGGACAGTGAGAGAGAGATGGAAACTCAATAGAAGATACCAAGGGCCCAGGGCCCAGTTACTCACCGCACTTCCTGGGGGGCCACTGACACCGGGGGGTCCTGCAGGCCCAGGAGCACCCTAGCCAGAGACACAGCACATGAGAAAATCCAGAAGTCTCGATTAGAAACAGCTGACCCTAGCCACCCTCTGTGCCCGTCCCTCACACAGCTCATTGGGACTTGCTAGCACAGCCTCCCACCGGATATCCCCTCCCCAGAGGAGCCAGGCCTCATGCGTGGGCTTCCAGCACAGAAGAGAAAAACAGGGAGCAGAAGGACACTGCCCAAGCACAGAATAGAAGGGTGAGGAAGCCAGGACATGAGGCTGGGCCGGGAGCACAACCCCTAACAGCACGTGAGGATTGCAGGCGTGTGAATGCCCTGCCCTCCACCTGAATTCTAACTGGGGAGGAAAGGAACACTGAAGACAGAGCAAGCTGCTCAGAGCCGACCTGGACAGAAACGGTCCTTGAGACAGATCAGTCCAAAGACACTCAAGAGAGCGAGAATAGGGCCGGGCCAAGGCAGACTGTGGGTTGGACAGGAAGAGGAATTTCTGATAAATGTGTGGAGAGTGAAATCCTGGGCTTGTGGTCAGTTGCTTGCTCACGGAAGACCACAAAGTCCGCATGGAGCCCAGCAGGTCTGCTTTTAGCCTGCACCATGGTGAAGATGCCATTCCCAGAGAGAGGGCAGCCAGGAAGAGGAACAGTGCTGTGTGTGTGTGTGCACGTGCACATGCGTGTGTGCACACGCGTAAGGAAAGACATTTCTCTGTTGGACTGAAGACCAAAGCGTGTCCCCCTTGTGCCCCCTGCTCAGGCCCGGTCCCCGTCCTGGTCTCCTCTCTGTCCACCGGAAGCAGGTGGCACACAGGACACAGGACTTACAGGACTTCCAGCTGCTCCAGGGGCCCCGTGGGAGCCATCTTGTCCCTTGGCGCCCTGTGCAGGAGACAGAAAGAAAGGTCAGAGGTCAGAGTCCTTCACCCTCAAGGCAAGAAAGTGTCAGCAAGCCCCAACACGTCAAAAATCAGATGATCCACACAGAAGCCCCGGGGACGGCTCTCACGCACATGGAATGGCACCTGCGCTGCCAAGGGGGCTTGTCCTCACCCTCACCACGGCCCCCAGTGCCACCAGACCCCCACGGCAGCTCAGAGGGTAGTAGCACGGCCAGACAGAAGCTCCCGGGATCTCGGCTGGACAGGCCAGTCCACCAGGCCCTCTGTGCTGTCTGGATTCCTCCAGACAACCCGAAAAATCGCTAGGAACCATCCACAGCGGCAGCGCACACGGGGAGGGAAGAAAATGCAGTCAAAATGCCACCGTGCGCCAGGCATCCTCTACGCCGAGGCTGCTGACTCAGAGGAGGGGAAGCGAGTTTCTGATTGTGAGGACATGTTTCTTGTGACACACGTGGGACTCAGGCCAGCTCCGCCCAGCGATGACAAGACAGAGTGAGCAAGGAGGACAGAGCCAGGCCCAGCCCCCAGGACTGAGTTATGGAGGAGCTGGGATGTGTGAGGACCTAGCACCAGGCCACAGCACCCTCTGGTGGTAACTAGAGAAATGCCAGGCGAGGGTACGGATGAAGGCAAAGAGCACATAGGGATTTCAAACCCCTGGAAAGGGGCTGGGAAGGTGGCTCAGTGGTAGAGCGCTTGCCTTGCATGCATGAGGCCCTGGGTTCGATTCCTCAGCACCACATAAGCAGAAAAGGCCGGAAGTGGTGCTGTGGTTCAAGTGGTAGAGCTCTAGCTTTGACAAGAGCTCAGGGACAGCGCCCAGGCCTAGAGTTCAAGCCCCAGGACCAGCGAAACACCTCCTCCCCCCCCAAAATGTGGAAAGTGAGCTTTCTTACCGGAGGTCCAATGGGTCCCCAAGGCCCCGGGTCTCCAGGACGGCCCTGTGGTCCCTGAAATGAGACAGACTGTCCGTCAAGCGGCTCATCACCCTAGTTCCCAGCACACGGGCTGTGGTGTGGGCATGCACAATGGGTACAATCTGAGCCAGGATGGCTGGACAGTGTGGTTCGTGCCTGGAGCTGGCTGGCTCCCAGGTGGGAGCATGTGCGGGGCACTGGCACTCACCGCTTCCCCGGGCACACCAGGATCGCCCTTCTCTCCTTTGGGCCCTTGTTCTCCCTGTTGGTGGAAAGCATGGAGAACAGGTCACTGGGCTGCAAGCGGACCTCCCACTCCTTCCGGTGCACACACTCCTTCCTCCCACCCTCAGCTTAGCACAGGCTCCTCCCATCAGTGGACGGGCCTGCAGGGTCTTCACCGCCCCAAGGGGGAGTCCTGGGGCTCAGACCTCTCCTCTCCCACTCTCCCGGGACTCTGATGGATTCTGACTCCTCTTTCCTACTGAGGGTGGGAGGTGGGTCCCACACACAGCCAAGTCCTGCTGTTAGGGACCCCCCAGAGTCCAAACTCTTCTCCGTGGCAGCTGCTAAGTTTCAGCTTTACACGTATTGGTGTGGCCTGGCCTGTGTCCCCACCAGCTCGGCACCTGCAGAGAGGTGGATCATTGGGGATGATGATGGGGAGAATTCCCAGAGGAGGAAAGGGCTGTCACAGGCCTCTTCTTGAGGGAGATGGGACCACGCTTTGTCTACAGGACCTGGGGCTGAATCCCATGCTTGGCATGGTCAGAATGATGAAGGGACAGGTCGGAAAGACAGTGCCTTCGTGTGCTCAGACTGAACTCCTGGGGGTGAGTGAGGCCCACCTCCTAGGATGCTTAGAAGGACACGAGATCATCCCACAGCCCACAGGGGACAGGGGGGAGGAGGGAGGGCCGGTGGGAGGCTAGGCCACCCTGCAGCAGAGGGGCAGACATGGGTAGCTGTGAAAGAGACCCCGCTGCAGAGTTGTGTAGACTGGCTTAGACCTTGACTGGTTTCATATCTGCCACACACACGTCTTACACAGACACAGAAGGCATGACAGAGGGGCTCCTTGCAGGGGCAGGAGCAACACAAGTGCATTCATGCAGAAGGTCCGCACATGGACCTGAAAGAGCAGGACGTGTATTACCACCCAGGCCACTATGAGAGATACTGGGTTTGCCTTCTGCAAGCAGAGAAACGGGATGAGCATTCGCTTCAAACGTGGGCAGGAGTATTGCGCGGGCAGGAAGCTTATAAATGAAGGCTCTGGAAAGAAGAAGGGCTGGGGCGGAGCCTGGAGGACACCTGGGGCAGATGCTAGTGACTCCATTGGAGACTGTGGCGCCACCTGGTGGTGGTCTCACTCGGCTCTCGGTCAATGCAGGGACAAATTCAGGAGCCGGCCAGCAGCTCCCGCCTACCCTCCACTCCAACCTCCTCTCTGGCCACCAGCTGGCACGGGGCATGCCCTGGGGTCTGTCCGCCACTCTCAGGACTACCGACTCAGTGGCGTCCCACCCCTCAGGGCTGTCCTCGGATTACATGAGACTGCATCTGCCATGTGTCCAGGGGGAGATTCCCACAGACACAGCTTATTCCTGCCACTGGAACGGCCCCTGGAAACAGGAAGAAACATGGCTAATTCCACAAGGACATGACTCCAGCGTGTTTCTTTCCTGGGACACTTCACACAGAGAGGACTTGCAGAGCGGCTGCGACCTTTCAGTCACCAGCGAGGGTTCAGGGGACACACAGGGAGGAGGCCGCTGTCAGGAACGAGACTGCAGGGAGCAGGAAGGTAAGCGTGGGATGCGTGAGTGCTAAGGAGAAAGCACGCACCACAGGCAGGCCACCTAAAACCTGCCCGGGGCCCAGGACAGGCAGGTGCTCTATCTACAGGTGAAGAACGTATGGCCGTGGCTGCCTGCTCCTGTTGCACCCACTGTCAGCCAGTGTCCATGTCGGTCACACCAAAGCCCATCTCTGGACTCTCTAAAGACTCCCTTGAAGGAAGAGGAGTTGAACCTGGCTGTGCCTGTCCAACATGGCCACTTCGAAGCCACGCCCTCATCCCTAGCCTCGGATCCCTCCTGGAGTTCTCCTCTGTAATCCCTAACCCTGTGACTAGCCAGTCCCGCCTCCCCCAGCTCCAAATGCTTTCTGGTCCAGCCGATATCTCTGAACGCCATCAGAGAGCCTGCTCTGCTCTCCACGGGCCAGGCAATGACACTCCGCCATCTTCCTTGTCCATCAGCCCCTGCTCCCTTCGTGAGCATCCTCAACACTGATGAGGAAGAGAGCTGAGCTTTTCCCTCCACCTCGTCTCCCATCTTCTATTCTTCTCATTGCATAGCAAATTGTACTGTCCCTCCAAATCCCAAGTCCCTGTGTACTACTGGAAGACACACACCCATGGAGAGCAGGGAAGAGTCAAACGCAGTATCACCATCTGGAGCCATCAATGCAAACATGGGTTACCATGACAACCTCCACCCCCCCCCCACCCCGCCCCAGAGTGTCCTGCAATTGCCTGCTATGAAAACTTCCTTTTCTTTAGTCACAATTACCTGGCTTTGATTCAGAGAGCAGCTCCCTGGCTGCCTCAAAACCACACAGGATGTCATCACCGGGACTTAAAAGTGGAGGACAAGGCCGTGACCCCGAGCCTCTCCTTGTGTGCTTTCCCAGGGCACCATTCTAGAAACTCTCATTTTATGGAGCAAGTCTTTGCAGAAGAGGCTGATGATGTGTAGACTAGTTTTAATCTTAAGGGCCTCTGGGGGAACCTGACAGAGGTGAAAGGGCCAGTAGCACAGATAGCAGAGTTGTGCAAGGAGGAGGAGGAGGAAGCAGTGAGCTGGCCAGGCAGCCTGCGCGTCGGGGGCCAAGTCTCCAAACACAGAGGCAGGCAGGGGTGTCAATTCCAGCCAGGACAACATGGCTGACTGACCCTACTCCCTACAACAACCACCAAAGACCACGCTGCCTAGCAATGCCTGACCTCCATGACTCCCTCCCTGGTTCTCCAGGGCTCAGAAATCCTTGCTTCTCCTTCTGCAGGGACTTCAGCCTCTGACTCGGTCTCCTTCCACCCGCTCCACTCATTTCTGGCAAAGACGGATCTTTACCAGCTTTTAAATTGTTGAGAGAGGCAGGGATCCAGCTGGAGTTTACATGTGCCTACCGCAGCCTCTCGCCACACAAAAGAAGTGAGCAGAGGCAGGAGGGGCCCTGCCTAGGTGCCTGCCAGTGGCATAAAGACTAACGGAATAAGCTCAGGAATAGCACCCAGGCCCTGAGTTCAAGCTCCAGGACTGGCAAAAAGAAAAGGAAGGAAGGAAAGAAGCGAAGGAGGGAGGGAGGGGGAAGGGGGGAGAGAGGGAGGGAGGAAGGGAGGAAGGAAGGAAAGAAAGAAAGAAGGAAGGAAGGAAGGAAGGAAAGAAAGAAAGAAAGAGAGAGAAAGACACAAAGAAAGAAAGAAGGAAGGAAGGAAAGAAAGAAAGAAAGAAAGAGAGAGAGAGAGAGAAAGAAAGAAAGAGAAGGAGAGAAAGAGAAAAGAAAGAAAGAAAGAAAGAAAGAGAGAGAGAGAGAAAGAGAGAGACTCTGGCCAAGGGGAGAGGAGTGGCCGTGGCCTTGGAACTCTGATGGTTTGATTCTCACTTTTCTCCTCAGGGTTGTGGCGTCTGGGCTGCTCCCCCCCTCCACAAGCCTCCCCCACTTTCTGGGCCCCTCCTTGAAGTCCTCCGGCAGCCAGGGAACATGCCTACCTCGACTGCTCCATGCCCTGCAATCTCCAGTGTTCCACTGCAGACCTAACTTTACCCAAAGACAGCGTGGTCTTTTCCCTTGACGCCTTGCCAAAGGATATCCTGGAATGTCCTGCCTGGCACAGGGCCAGCTTCCTGGAGTAACTCATTCCCCTATTAGCAGGACTAGTCGGGAAGACCAGATGCCCGGATGACAGACTGAGGGAGCTGCAGCTCCCAACCAGCGCTGGGCACGGCCAGCCAGGCTGAGGGCACAGAATCCTGCCAAGCTGTCACTGCTACTCACCGGCATTCTTGGGTGTGGTGTGAACAGGGATGTCTGAAAAGGAAAGCACAGAAATTAGAGGCGCCTGACATGCCATTTTTTAAGATTCTGCTGTCTTTTCTTTTCTCTTCTGTGTGTGGGGGCGGGGCAGGGGCGGGGTGTAGGACTGACACCAAGACGTGAACTCGCACTTTCACTCACTACGGAGCCATGCCCCAGCCCCTAAACCCCTGCCATCTCTGAGAAGCTTGCCAGGCGAAACAGTACAGCCTCAAAGTACTCTTTAGCTACGGGAAGCTCCGAGTCTCGGAATTCTTTCTGCAAAGCCCCCAGGAAGCGTGAAGGCACAGTAGCTGATCGGAGTTTCTGGGGTCCATGACTGAGCTCTAAACCCTGGGTGGTGTGGGGTCCTTCTGCCAGCTTCTAGGACTCCCTCAGTCGATGGGGGATGAACCATTCTCCCCGTGGGCATCAGAGGCCTGAGTGGAATAGAGGAGTCTGCACGGGGCTGTGTACACAGGCCTTCGCACCTCCTAGTCCAGTGCTGCTGCCTGTCCTGAACCAGGCAGGGACAGAGGTGCAGACAGGGTGAGGGGCCCCGTTCTTTGGCTCAGGAATGTTCTAGCTTGTGGGAATCTTCCCAGTGAAGAGCCCCTGCTGGGCACTGCGTGAGCTGCCCACCTCGCCACCAGCCTCCCAGGCCGTGCTGAGAACATTCTAGAGGTTCTGCTCTCTCACACTCAATACTTCTGCAAATGCTGTTCCTGGATCTGGAACACCCTCCCCCTTTGTTTACAGCTCACCGTTCTTTCCCTTGCTTTCCTTGTTGGCACTCTCTTTACGCTGTGACACAGGCTGATCTTGGCCACTGAGTTAGGGCAGCTACCATCTCCCTTCGGAGCCCATGATCTCCCTCAAGCCTGAGGCGGGCATTGCCCGGCTTTCAGCTTTTGGCAGGGGGCCCAAGGAGCGGGGACTGCACCAAGGGACACCACGGGGTCCACCTCCAAACAGTGAGTTCAGTACCTGCCCCAGTGACAATAACGGCAGAAGATGAGACCTGGATAAATGACTCCTTATCTCTGGACCTCAGTTTCCCCATATGCAACCAGGCAGAAATGTACTGTCAATCCCTAGGCACATGTTATCAGAAATAACAATCACCATCCTCATCCTTTTGTCAATAAAGTAAACCAGTAAACACAAGCGAAGAGTTGCTGTTAAGGGGAGTGTGTGTGTGCACACACATGAGTGTGCATGTGCTGGCCAGGTGTTCCCAACGCTTCAGGAATTGGAGGAGAAAGAATTAGGAGAGCTACTCACTGCTCCAGGCAACCCGGGAGGACCTGCTGGGCCAGCTTCACCCTAGAGGAAATGGGAAATAAATGACCATCCGTTCTTCTGCCAACTCTGTTTGTGCCAGAACAGATTTGATATTACCTCTACCCAAATAACCGGAACACCCTCCCTGTACCTACCTAGATATATAGAAATGATAGATAGATAGATAGATAGATAGATAGATAGATAGATAGACAGATAGATAGATAGATAGATAGATATGAATGGAGATTATACAGATGGATAAATGGTATGTACACTCCAAATTATAAAATACTTCAGGCCAAGTATCTACACACATTTGCATAGCTATCGATTACGTAAATCATGCACTGTTCCACGGCTAGGCCCCACACCGATGGTTCTCCATATCAGTCTGGTACTGGGGCTGTTTTCCTGTAATGTGGTGACAGCCAGCATGTGGTTTGTCACAACAACAAATATGCCCTTCAGCTTATGACCTCTTTGATGTGCAGCTCCCTTACAGATGCCCAGAGCCCACCTGCTCTCCTGGGAGAAGCTGGCTGTGCTGTCCGGGGCCTGAGGCCCTGGGATTATCTCTGTAAAGCACACAGGCCTACGAGTCCAGTCAGCTGGGCTTAAAAAACAACTCTCACATTTTACCAATGACTTTCACCTGCTGTAACTCACATCTCCGCAGACTCACAAAGACAATGATGCCTCCAGAGCCTAGCATCATATCTGGACAAGCAAAACAACGAAGGGTAGGCTGTCACCCCTGCCAGAGAGGTTGGCAACTGCCACAAGGAGACCCTCAAGCATGGATGCCACAGCCTGTCTGTCCACGTGACCGGGGCCACGTGAAGCCAGGAAGCAGTGTCTACCCTAGTCTCGTTCCTGGAACCAGCCCAGAGCCGGGCCTGAGGCCTCCTATAAATGATTACATGGACCAATGAATGAATGAAGTCAACTTAGTAAGGGACGAGCATAACTTTATTAAGCAACAATACTATGATGATGGAAATGTGTGCCACCGTTTTGCCTGCTAGCATCTAATTCCAGGTTCTGGTTTCCACGAGTCCCTGCTGGACTCACTTGTCTCCTAGACAGCCCCCTGAGGGGTTATCCCCACAGAGGGTCCCCTGAGGGAATGGACTTCCCTGTCTCGCCAGTGAAGACATCAAGGCATAGAAGCCTCCAGCAACAAACTCTAGAACCAGTCAAAGACTGAATGGGCTCAACTCAGACTGAAATTCCAGAAGCTTCCGAATGGGAAGCAGACACTTGTGCGTTATCTGGTCGTCCCCAGGCTGCTTTGTGACCTGAAGGCCTTCGACTGCCCTCACCCACCAGCTAGCAGGCCGGGGTCGACGCCGGGCATGCCCTCAGAGCATGTGTACAGGTGCGTGCAAGTCAGTGAACAAAGGAGCCCCACGGGAGGGCAGCAGCTGCCTTCGAAACAGCGCCCTCCTCTGGCCTTGGCACAGGGCAGGGAAGGATGGGTGGGCAGAGGAGGCAGGTGGAGGGGCTACCACACAGAGAAAGAAGCCTTAAAAGACCTGTGGCATGCGGGTTAAAGTTGACAGACTGAGTTCCAATCCTGTTTACTGTGAGTGCTTAGCTCCCAGTTGCCCGCCCCCCCTCCTCCCCCCAGAAGCCGGGGCAGCTCTGTCCCGTCTGTGCCCGATGGGGCGCAATGGACCGCAGGGCAGGCAATGAAGGGAAGGGCAGAGGGGGCCTACGCAGGCCGGTCAGAAGGCGGCAGGGTTGCTTCAATGCCTCAGTCTGGAGTTTTGGCGGGAGGGGAAACAAATCGTGTACCACTGCCAATCTCTGGAGGTGTGGACAGGCAGCCCAGGCTCTTCGGAAGCCTGCGTGTGACCTGTCACAGAATCCGAGCCGCTCCCTGCTCACCCTCTGCTTCTGCATTCTGGAAATGGGCTCTTCACATAGAAACGGCATTTCTGAAAAGCCCAGGGAAGCAGTAGGCCTGGACGGCTCACCCACACCAGCAAGTACCAAGATGGCCAAACGGGAGGAGGGCTGGGAACCCCAGGGAGGGAGGGCGGACTTGGGAAAACAATCCTCTGTGAAGGGGGGAGGCGAGGACCGTGTGGGAGGGGTCCCAGCGCCCAGGGCCCAGAGTCAGTCAGGTCCGGTGTGCAGCACAGGCTATGTGTGCAGCACACACACGGACTGGGTCTCATGAGAGCCGGGACGAGGAGCTCGCTAGCTTTTCTGGGCCTCCACTTCCTTCTCTCAGAAGTGGGGACATTGTTGACAACAGAGACCCCTCCCTTGCCCTGGGGGCCCACTGGGTTCCACATGGACAGTGCTCAAGATAGTGCTTCGCACAGTGAGTCTGCCCAGATCACTCTGGCACAGCGGGCCGCTTACTCCTTCCTTCTGAGGACCTCAGGCAGAGGCATCTGGCTGCAAAGCCAGAGTCAAGTTGATGGTAAGAAGAGGGAAGCGTGGGGTGAAAACCCAATGCCATCTTTAGGGCTTATTTATTTATTTATTTTACTAGTCCTGGGGTTTGAACTCAGGGCCTAGGCTCTGTCCCTGGGCCTCTCTGGGCATAAGGCTAGCATTCTACCACTTGAGCCACAGCACCACTTCTGGCCTATAGTGTGTATGTGGTGCTGAGGAATCAAACCTAGGGCTTCATGCATGCTAGGTGAGCACTCTACCACTAAGCCACCTTCCCAGTCCCCCAAGGCTGCCTTTCTGACTCCTGGACCAGGGCTCTTTCCACAAAGCCAGGTTCTGAGGGAGGTGTAGATGGGGGGGGGGGGGGGGGTAAGTGTATGCGCGCATGTGTGCGTGCGTGCGTGCACACATGTGTAAGCTGCTGTGGCAGTAACTATGTTTGGAGAGAGGCTGAGCATGAAGCAGGAGGAGGAGGGACAGGATGAGCTATGGAGGGGCACCGCCAGGCCACGGGACAGTAGCAGGCCACAGGCTGGTCCTGTCTGTGTCCCTGCTGTCTGGGCAGGGTGACCGTCAGGCTCTCTGGGCTCTGGAGAGAGCTCCCTCTCCTCATCTTTTCTGGCTCCTTGCTGTTACTTACCTGGGAGTGCTTTGCTACCTCTGATTTCTTACCCTTAGCACTTTCCATCCATGAATTCCCCCCTCATGGCTCTCTCTCCTTCTGTTTGTCCTGAGAGCACTGCTCATGAACAGCTCCTAGCATGTGGTAGAGGATGTTGCCAAGTGCTACAGAAGAAGGAGGGCCTGTGCACGGCAGAGCACACAGTAGGGCTCAGCAAATGGAGTCACTGAGACAGAGTACACCTGGACTGTGAGGTAGACTCTAAGCCTATCCCCAAAGCAGAGACATGTGCAATGTAGGAGGAGGACACTGTAATCAGGGTACAAGGGATCTGATTCTTGGCAAATTCTTTACCTTCTTGGAGCCTCTACTCCCCTGAACAAATGTATCACTAATATCTATCTTATACAGCTGTGCTTATATTCAGAGAGAGAAACTGAGCATGATGAGGACAAACATGGTACTCAGCATGTGAGAGGTACTCAAGCAAATCTCAAGCCTATGAGTACAAAAGGATGGATGGATGGATGGATGGATGGATGGATGGATGGATGGATGGATGGATGGATGATTGATGGATACATGGGATGGTAGATAGATAATGGATGGGTAGATGGGTGGATTACTTTCTTTTGAAGTTTACTACAATTCCAGAGTTTATATCTAACTTATTTTTCCCTAAAAACTTTGTCATACTTTGGCACTTTGGACAAAGGCACTCAGTAAAAATACCCAACTTTAGGAAGCAGCAGCCAGTGAGACCAGACAATCGGGATGAGAGGAAGTTGCTCTTACCTTTTCACCTCGGTCTCCTTTCAGTCCAGGAATTCCCAGGTCACCTTTTTCTCCCTATTATGGAAGATACAAATATAAAACGTTCTAAACCAAAGCTTAATGGTGAAGGCAATGTGATCTTGAGCAACATGTACATTTCTTTCCCTCTTCCCTCTCTCCACAGCCATGCCTTAGCAGTGAAATGGCCAGAGCAAAGCCTAACCCAATGGTGCTCCTGCTAGCTAAGTGTGAAAAGTATAATTCTTCAGGTGGCAGGCAGTGTCTCCAAGCCCCTATTGCTACCATTCAACCTGAGGATCCTCTGCTCTTCCCCAAAGTACCTCCTACCTGTGGTCCTTTTGTCTCCACTCAGAATCTCTGCCACTCTCCTCCCATTTCTCTCCCATCAAATCTGAGGACAACTCTATTCCCCCAGTCGAAATGATCACCTCCTCACAAAGAGCTAAGACCCCAGCAGCAGCTGCTTTCCATGGTCCTGGGGCAAGAGAAGCCAGCCTTACCTGGTCTCCTTTCTGTCCCCGCACACCTGGGAATCCGGGAGCACCGGGGAGACCTGCTTCTCCCTGTGAGGATAAAATGGCAGCTCTGTCCACAAGGCGCTCATTGGAGGCCTCCCCGGGGCAGGCTGTGGGTCCTATGCCATGGTTGTGGTTGGTCAGCCTGTCTACAGATCTCCAGGCCTGGTGGAAGTCACAGGGAAGGCAGAGCAGCGTGGGCAGGGGATACCAGATGACCCACTCGCTGGAGTATGCCCAGTGGAGCTCTTTCCCATCCATCCCCCATTGTCGAGCAAATAAATGAGCACAGTGAACTCCCAACAGACTCAAGGCTTGGCATTTGCACGATTGTAGAAAGACTTATCATATACCAGCGGATGAATGAGTGAATGAATGAATTAGATGAATTGATGAAAACATGAATGACCCACCTTCTCTCCAGGTCTGCCTGCCAGGCCTTGCTCCCCAACTTCACCCTGGAGAGAGAATAACAAATGTCATCACCTTGCATGCATATCTCCGGCCATGGCTGCCCCTTCCTGGTGGGTCTGTACATCCACAGCCCCTGGCAGATACAACCTCTCATTCTCTAATACGAGGCATGGGTTAAAGGCCAGAGGTCATAACCTAGGCAGCGCAGTGTGTATCATCCCTACAAAGAGGGGTTCCATGCGCCCTCATATTGTCTGCCAAAACCAGACTCTTGCCCCGCAAGAGTACATACGGGCTAAACCGTTTGTGTTGAGCCTTAAGACACCTAAGATTCCAAATAACACGGAGCTCCGTCTCCCACTGAGGGTTATGTGACACATCAGGAAAACCTAAGATTCCATGTGGGATCCCAAGAGGAAGGAGAAGCTGTGGAGAAAGAACTTGGTGAGGGGCCAGTGCTCCCCAATTTCTGCTCTGCCTCTTGGCATAAGCACAAAAATGTCCCTGAGGTGAGGAGTAGGAGGAGAGTGGTTTGGTGTGGTTTGTTTGGTGCTGGTCCTGGGGCTTGAACTCAGGGCCTGGGTTCTGTCCCTGAGCTTTTTCACTCAAGGCTAGCGCTCTACCCCTTGCCCCGCTAGCTTTTGAACAGCCCCTTTCTAACCAGCTGTGCTTCCTGCCAGGTCCCAGCTGAAACCCACTCTGTGCTCAACTAGGTGAGACTACCCCATAGCCCCCGACAGCCCATCCAGGGTAGCAAGCATGACAGCGAGGGGCAGACATACCCGGGGCCCAGGCCTCCCTGGAAGGCCGCCTTCGCCTCTTTCTCCCGGCTCTCCCTGTAAAGAACGAAAAGCTGAGTTAACAGGAGAGGAGGAGTCAGGCCCCGAGTGGAGTCACTGCATCCAGGGCTAGTTAGAGATGGGTAAGGAAGAGGAGTCGTCCTGCATGGGTGCTCTCCAAAGCTCCTCGTATATAGTTAAATAAAGATGGCAGCCAACACGGGAAGACTCACCACCACCCACAGCAGCCCACATTCCACAACTCTAACAGCAGCAGCAGCAGCATACAATGGAGTCAAAATGGCGCCACTTCCCTTCACTGAAAGACTTAGAGGAAGGAGGTGTGCCTTCATGTTTTTGATAACATAAAGTAGTCCTGCGAGATACGGGAGAACGGTGCTGTCCTGCATGAGTTGTATGCACATGTATTCTGTATTTTGTCATGAAAATGTCAAGGCTCTAAGTCCGTGTATCCAAAAGAACAAGGAATTCCCCCACAAATCAAGCAATGGTTTCTACAGTGGCCTGTCAAAGACAGTTCACCTGCCTACCTGAACCTGTGTGTGTTCACTAAAAATCTATATATACATTGATACCATGTTTATTCATTTGAAGTATTTATACTAAATTTGTACTTGTTGGTATTTGGTCACCAACTTCTTTAACCTCCATAATCCTGCTATAATGAGTCCCATTGGAATATCTTTTAAATTGAAGTCCCTCATGTTAGGAAGCATAGATGGATTTTTATCCTTTATGCAAATGAAATACATACTTAGATTGATTTTAAAGCCTGGGGTTTCCAAATACTTCCCTAGCTTTTAGAGAGAGCTTTCCTAGACAAGACTTGTAGATTCAGACATTTCAGCCACATCTGATCCATGGCCCGGGCAGTCAATTACGTTACTGCCCAGCAACTGAGAATCTCTGTGTTCTTGTGCCTCCGCCTCCTGACCTTGTGTCCACCAGTGCAGTGTGTACCAACCTTGGATCCTGGCAGGCCTGGCGGTCCATTTGGCCCATCTCTTCCAGGTGACCCCTGGGTGGAACAAAGGACAAAAAAATTAAAACAAAAGAAAGAAAGCACATTTAGGGAGGTCTTAGAGCAAGTTGTGGACGGCCAGGTGACCGCAGGAGAGATGGTGAACACAGCCATCCTCATTAACCAGCCGTGTGCTGTCCCCAGACCTACCGACCTCTGCTGGGCCAGGCTCTCCTCACACGAGCCACCATGACCCAAGCCCCTCTCTGGGGCCAGGGCGCAGGTCCCTGCTCTCCGCACAGGCGCGGTAGGCGAGGGCAGGGTGGTCTGCAGGAACTTCTGCACACCGTTCCTTTCCTACCCTTGGCTTTGTCAGCTCCAGGTGGCCACACTGTCTCCACACTCCTGCTGCGGCCTCCAGACAGTCTGGGAGATCCACTCCTACCAAACCCTGCTTTCCTCTTGCCCTTCACAGAGGCTGGAAGCAGTCTCTGGGCATCGCTGATGATGCCACACGGGCTTTCCATGCTATAATTTCCTGCTTCAGGTGTTTCCTCCATCCCCACCCAGTTGTGTGGTAGGAGAGGTGTTCCTGACGCTGTCTGTAGGCGAGGAGACAAAGCCTCTGCAGGCTGAGCGATCCCATCCCATCACGGCCACAGAGCTAGTCACGGGAACCCACGGGGTCTCCTGGCCCCATCCCAAAGTCCCTGCAACTGGAGTCATGCAGTCCCCAGGGACAGATACGGGCAAATAATTTCCTTCGTCAGAATATCTCCCAAGCTAACAGTACTCTTCATACTAGGCAGACGTTAGCACTTCCTCTGTAATCTTGGTGATTCCTCTGCTGTGACCAGACTTAAGACTCTCCCTGTGATTCCCCTCCCCCGTCCCCAGCACAGGTGATTGACTCTCCCTGTGATTTTCCCACCCCCTCCCCAGCACATAGAAGGGGCCCTGGGGTCAAGGTCTGTGGGAGGACAGGATGGGCTTGCTCATGGCTGGACACCACTCGTGTCAATGGGAGATGATCCTGACCCAGAGGAGCAAACACCAACACCAGAGGCTGCTTCACAGAGGCCGGCCGCAGCCTTACGGTGATAAAGACCATGAATCCCTTTGACATCTCTCGTTCTGTTCCCTGCTTCTGCGGGTTCCTGTGCCATGCACACTTCTGATGATGCCCTCAGATCCAAGGAGGTGACAGAGGTGTGGCTGTCAGGCAGGCCCGCACGGCACATGTGCAGCAGTGACACTGGGGTTAATGGCGTGGTCAAGGAATTCGTGGTGGTGATGATGGAGCTCGCCAGGTGTTTCTCCAGATTCACACCATTTCCCCTGCGTGTGCTTTCCAGCATGGCTGATGGCTGGTGGTCTCTGGCCCTGTGCCGGGTGTGCAGCCGAGTTTAGGATGCTGGGTGGTGGCATTGTGGTCCTGGGGCCTTGGTCTGCTGATGGCCCCGTGGGCCGCAGAGCATGGGGAGGGCTTCCTGCACCATGGTCTGCTCCGCTGCTCCTCAGCCCTCTGTCGGGGCCGGACACTCCACCAGCGCTGGGCCGTCCCTGTGCAGCTCCGAGAGACAGAGCAGCAACCACAGGAAATCCTGGTCCTCCGGAGTGGAGCCGGGGCTCCCCAAAGGCAGGCAGAACTGGGTCACCGTGCTCAGATCCACATGCCAGCTTGGCAGGGAAGCGAGGCTCCCTCCCCTGTGGCAGCTCCCACGGGACAACAACCCCAGACTTAATGGCCTCCTTTGCCATAGCCCAGGAGCAGGTAGCAATGGGGTGGCAGTGGGGTGCACCGCCCGAGCACCGTGGCCCTGTCTCCACGGCCCCTGCTACCTCTAAGCACATGACCTCAGGTCACACGACCACTCTTTAAAAAGCAAGAGGCTCTGGAGTGTGTTTGGGGGAATGAGTGTGAGGGTGTTGGTCGGGAAGCAGTGTCCCCAATTGCCCCAATCGTCGGCCAGGGCCCTGAGGCCGGGGACAGTCCAGGAAACAGCATCCTGGGGAGGGGGAGCAGGCTGAGGAACGTGCACCAGCCCCGGGAGGGGCCCGGCCGCAAGGGCCCGCCAGTCTGAGGCCGTGGAACAGGAGGGTCACTCACCGTCTGCCCAGGAGGCCCAGGCTTGCCCGGGAAGCCGATTTCTCCAGGTAGGCCCTGAAGAGGAACATGGGAGGGAGCGGTGAGGCGATGTGGAGAGCAGAGTCTTGTGCAGGGCTAGTCTGGACACACATCAACACCCCTGACTCCCACAAGGACACCTCGGGGGTGACCGGAGACCCTCAGTGCTGGCCACCGTGCAATACTGAGTGGCCCCTCACCACCGTCGGCATGTCCACAGCACATCTGCTGGGCGGCGGGAGCCACCGTCACTCCCTTGCCAGCCGGGGGTACGGATGGACCTCCGTCCTTCTGCCCATTGCTGGGTCTGACCCTCTGAGTACCTGCTGTGGGAGCAGTTTCCCAGCTGTTCCCCAATGAAGGAGGCTGTTAGGCCTGCCTGGGAGAACAGCTCCTCCCCCTCCCTCTGCCCCTGCCGGAAATCACCTGACTGTCAACCACTGGGAGTCAGCCAAGGACCCTGGGCTCTGAGGTCACTTCCTGAACCACCCTGGTCACACTTCCCTCCGACAGGAAGAGGTTCCCCAGGCTCTGAGGTCACTTCCAAGTCTACTGTGGTCCCGCCTCCTGCTTTTCCCTATAGAAGCCCGCTCATCACAAGTCCCCTCCTCTTGTTCTTTCCCTCTGCCTCCATGCAGCTACATCCCCTGTGGTCTGCACTGTGCTCTCCCCCCACGCCCACCCCCACCCAAGAAGCTCTTGTCTTCCTGAGCCATGTGGGGATTCCCTTTCTGCTGAATGGGAGAATGTTAACCCACGCGTCACCTCAAAGCTAAAGCGCCAACTACTATACATGCCTGACTGGATGGTCGCAGCTGACACGCCCCCTCTACCAGAGTCTAGAAGTTTCTAGACACTAAAGTGCCACCTTAGTTCTAGTGACACTTCAAATGCAGAGCCATCAGAGCCCCAGGGTCTGCAGAGAGCCTGTGGGTGTCTTCACGGAGGGAGCGGTCCCCTGTGTGTACCCTGGACTAACCTTGAGCAGAAGAAAGGTGAGAAGGAGTTGGTCCCCACAGACCACAATAAGACCATTTAAGAACCTTCAGGAGAGAAAAGCAAAGCCAGCCTTACCGGGGGGCCTCCGGGTCCAGGGGGCCCTGGGATGCCGGGAGGTCCAGGGGGACCCTATAAAGAGAAGGAGGGGGTTACAAAAGGACAAAGAGCTGCCTCCAGCAATGGCAGTATCTTAAATAGAGACAAAGGGGAACTGGCCTAGGGATGAAGTGGGCTCCAAGCTTTAGCTTTGCTGAGACTGCTTTAATTCAAGCAGAATGGAGCAAAGGCAAAACTTCTGAAAAAAGATCTGAAGCAACGTTTGAGAAATGATCGGAAGTGTCCTATGTGGGTGGCAGGTAATTATCAGCGGTTACATTACTCTGCTGCCTGTTCAGAGAGAAGATGCATGCGTGCACGTGAGCATGCTTCCTTCCCAAGGAAGGGCCGCCCACTCACAGATCCTTCCCACCCTAGAGAGAGAAAAAAATCACCAAAGGCATGGGGGACAAGGCAGGTGGAACCAAGTGTCAGAGGCCAGTACTGTGTTTTATAAAACAGCCAACAGCTCTGCATGGGAACAGACATTCACAAGGCCGGGACCCTGGAGAGTAAAGAGGCGGAGCTTTACAAGAAAGGCCTTCGGAGCAAGTCATATGTCACCACATGTGGTTCCAGAGAAGTAGCTTGCATTGGAAGGGGACAGAGGGAGAAGGCAGGCCCCAGGCCACCAACCAGGGTCTGGTTGTAGCCACAGGACAATGGCCCCTTGAAGAGCGCAAGGAATGATTCCTGACAACCACCTCTGCCCACAGACCTGCCCCCTAGCACAACATCCAAGCACACGGCAGCTGAAGCATTCCCAGGAACTCCTGTTTCTAATGATTGTGTCCTCGCGTATCTGCTTGGCCTTCTGGATCCTTCCGGGTCTGTTCACAACTTCCCTCTCTCCCAGCCCACAGTCACTGCTCCACACAACCAGGAAGAATGGACCCAAATCCAGACAGAACTCCCTGGGAACCTGCTGGGAATTTGTCATCTGAAGGGAGCAGCGCTGGGGAGAGGCGGAGCTGAGCCACCAGAGGGCAGTGAACACTGAAGAATGTCAGCGCAGCTGTGTCCCTGAGCTGTTCCCCTTCCTCCCTCTGAGGGGAGCAGGTGAGTCAAACACGGGCATCCAAAAAGCACTAAACTAGACATTCACGAGGGCTTCGCGGCGGTCCCGGGACGGTCAGGTCATCTCTGTAGCTCGCTTAGACCGGGGGAGTCTTTAGGGCACATCTGTGCTCTTCAGAGACATCTGCTGTGAGATGGAGCAAGAGCAGCCCAGCAGAGCTAAGCAGCCCGGATTCTATACAGGATGTAGACACAAAGGGCCAGGCAGCCTCACCCACACCTCACCCACCTCTCCCTGCAGGCAGTGCCACGGACACACCTGCTCCCAAAGGCCAGGCCATCTCGGGCCCTTCAGCAGGATTTCTGAGGGTCCTCAGCCCCCGGTCTACTGAGCCTTATCTGAGGGTCCTTCCCAGCCCCAAGGTGCTCTCTCTGTTAGCAGGGAACACATTTCCTTGGCTGCCCTCCTTGTACTCCTGGTGATTCTGCTGCCTTTCCCCTCACTCCTGACAAAGGCCCCGTACTCTGCTTCTATTTGCAAGCCCAGGATGTCCCTATCTTTATCGATCATCTAGTACAAATCAAACTTCCGTGTTTGATGGAAGAAAACAGACCCAGAGAAGGTAAGATTTCCACCGAAGGCTGCACAGCTATCCCTTCCAGGAGGAAGAGGCTCCTGAATGGTTGGGATACTGCAGGCAGCCAGTGATCCCCTCATACACACAGTGTGCTGATCCCCGGTAGAACTCCCAGACTGAAGGGCTGGAACATGCAGGGCCGCAAGTTAGAGCTCTGGGATTCACCCATGGCTCTGCTGAGCCCCCAGGGCTGGATTATGTGCACAGGCCAGCTCCACACACAGCCATCCCCCCACCAGTTCCAGTCTTAAAGCCGCAGAGTGAACCACAGCCAGGGGGAAGAAATCAGAAGCCAGGGAGGCTGGGACAAAGCAGCCACATCCCCGCTGGGTACGTGACTTGGCCAAGATTTGCATGCTGTATCTTATCACAGCCTCCGTGGTGGTCCGCCCTGGCAACTCCTACCATGCCACACTGCAGAAGGGGGACTGCAACCTGAAGGGGAAGCCACTGGCCATTGGCACAGCCAGCCTGACAAACCCTGTGCTCCGATGCTGCGGAGGCTCTGCCCAGCCCCCTCCGGCATGTGGAAGAAGCTGTGGCTTTTTCCTGCAGGCCCATCCCACCATTTCTGTTTGTTGTGGTTTTATTTTTTCCCAGCCGCACTGGGGTTTGAACTGGTTCTTCCTGCCTTTCCCTGCTGGCCTCTCCTCCCATTTGCTCAGGTTGCTTATACAAATCGCTGGTCTACCATCTGAGCCAAGCCTTCCGGCCTGCTTTGGCTCATCGTTTGGAGACAGAATCTCACAGATGTTCTATGTTTTGGCCAAGGCTAACTTGAATCCTCCAGATCTCCTGATTAATGAGGATTCTCTACATATTAAGTGCGACTGGAACTCTGGGCTCTATGAAGAGCTGAGAGCCTCCCTGTGAGACCCCGGTGCCTGGATTCCTGCCACGCTCACAGGAGGGGTTAAGAAGGCCCTGTGTGTTCCTTGCTATAAGCACAGCACCCACAGCAAAACTCTAATTAAGCCCAACAACTGCAGTAAGCATTTAGAGAGAGAAGCAGCTAAAAGCAACTAGAAGCAACTAGAAGCAGCTGGAAGCAGCTGTTGAGAAATCTGGAAATCTCCCAGGAGGCGCCCGATCTCAAAGGGGGTGGTGATTTGCCTCGAGCTCCTTTTCCAATTTGCAGACAGCATCTTGGAAGTCCAGGTGGGGAGTGGGGGGCGGGGGGAGGGAGGAGGGGGAGGGATGGGGGAGGGGGGACAGGAGAGAGGCGGCAGCGGCAGGAGGCAGGCTCGGCACCCCCTGCAGGCCTGTGCTCATGGCCACATGCTATCTTCTGAAGGCAGAGCAATGTGGGGAGGCAGAGATAAGCTGCAGAGCAGCCTCTTTGCCTCTGGACGGCTCTGCTGTTGGTCACCGGGTGCAGCTGGGACCTCAGCTCTCTTGCAGACTCCCCCGGGGAAGGCCTACAGGAGCCAGCTCCTCATCATCCACATGGGAGACAGCCAGGAGACAGCCATGCGCCCGTCAACAAAGGAGAAACCAGGAGCACATGCTGTGCCCAGGATTCCAGGACGCCTTTACTCACAGCACCCTGTGTCTGTGCGCAAGTCACCCGCTGGGGTCCCTGCTAGTACCCGTCTCTGTCCGGTGCATCTTGCAGCCCTGTGGTTCATGAGGGCCACCAGCTCGGGGTGCACTGGAGCCCAACCCTCAAGGGGAAAATCAAAGCCCCACCTGCTACTTCTGTCCCATAGGGAAAGTTCCTGAGGCTCAGCTCCATGGTCTATGGGGTGGGGCACCCTACACCCTGTGGACACCCAGAAAGACAGCACGATGATACCACAGCGCCACGGGCTCAGGGCCCACTGGCCATGGCTCCCTCTGGATCTTTGGTCTGCCTGTCCAAGCATCCAGTCTGGAGAGACCCTCCATAAATATTCTTGAATCAACCTGAATGATTAATACGACATCAAAGCTGAGGGATCAGGGTCTCCGAGAGGAGAACACGAGTTAACTCTCAAGATCACACAGACCCTAAGAGAACAATCACTCTCGGTCCACCCAAGGTCCGGGTTCTTGGACAGTACTGGGCAGCCCGAGAGGAGGGGACAGCTGAGTCCGTGGGATGGAGTATCTTTGCCCAGAGCCCTGGGATGAATGACGAGCCCCCACCCTGGCCACGTCAATGGAGGACAGGCAAGGGTGGGACCCCTGGCTCCGCTGAGCTTTTGGCCCAGCTAAACAGTTCTCAGATCCAGGAGAGTCTCCACTGCCAGCGGGGGGTGGGGGGCGGGGCAAGGGGGCCAGTGGTCTGCACTGAGCACATGGACGTGGTTTTTACTTGAGAGAATTCAGTTGTTCTCAGTTTGGGGCAGTGGGCAGTGGGCAGCCAATTATCCAAATGAGCAGAGGGAATGAGAGGCTCCTTTGGCTCATCTGTCTTCCTCACTCGATCCTGGGCGACTCACAGGAAGGAGTCTTGCTCTGTTCTCCTTTCCCTGATGGACTGCACTTACCACTGACCAAACCCTCCACAGGCCACGGGGAATAGGACAAGACAAGAGGGTTCTTCAGCTCCAGTACCTGTTAGTGAGGCAAGCGTGGGATGAGCAAGGCAGGCAGGGATGGGAGGGACATGATTTCCAGGAGGACAGGGCCAGCATGCCGGAGCAGGACACGGGATCCAGCCTTCCCAGTCCAGTCAGTCTCTGGCCTGTACACAGGAAAACTGCTACCCCTTCCGATGACCTGGGAATCTAGATTTTTAGGCATCATCTTTTCATTAAAAATATAGTGTGGGCCAGGTGTTAGGGGCTCACACTTGTAATCCTAGCTACTCAGGAGGCTGAGATTTGAGGATTGCAGTTTAAAGCCAGCCCAGGCAGGAAAGTCCCTGAGACTCTTACCTCTAATTAACCACCAGAAAACCAGAAGTGGAGCTGTGGCTCAAGTGGTAGAGCACTCGCCTTGAGCTGAAGAGCTGAGGGACAGCGCCCAGGCCCAGAGTTCAAACCCCACAACCCAAAAAAAACTATATATATATATATATATATATATATATATAAAACATGTATATATATACACATATAGAGAGAGTTTGGCAATTCTTTTGAGGGGAAGGAAGGCTGGCTTTGCAATCTACATATAGCATATCTCTAGACAAAATGGGGCTGACATATTTATGATCTACAGATTTAGTTTTCAAGTTCCCAATAGGCCTGGAATGTCCACCAGAAGATGGAGACCAGGGAAGTGGCGGTGACAGATGCTTACTGGAGCAGCACAGTGCTGTGACAGAGGTGGCGCAGATGGCAGATGCTGCACCTGCCCTTGGCCCTAGTGAACTCTCAGCACGACCCTGACCAGTATCACACTCAACCTCAGCACTGCACAGAGTGATGGCAAAAAAGAAAGAGATGGGCGGTGGAAAGAGAGAGAGAGAGAGAGAGACGGGGGGGGGGGGGGGCGGGGGGAAAACTGAGTGCTAGGCTGTGGGAATGTCCTCAGGGCACTGCTTAGACCAAAGTTACGGTTGGGCTCTAGGATGAGATCGCCCTCCCTTATGGAGATTACACATAATCTCAGCTTTGGGGAGGACAGATGTGGCGCTAGAGCATCTTTCATGGTCATGGAGACCTTGCGGGTAAAGCTCTGTTTGGCGTGAGAGGCCCACCCTCCCTGTAGGTTTGAGTGGACCAACCTCCTTGGCTTTCTGCTTTGCGACAATCCCCATTTCTGCCCCTTTCCTCTGCAGTCAAGTTGAACAGCCCCAACCAGAAGAGCAGGTGGAGTCACAAGTAAACGTTCTAAGTGTAAATCATAGCATGGCCAGGTTGAACTACTTTTCTACATTTATCCATAGCTACCTACGTGGCATGTGGGCATTCCAAGAGTGAGAACATCCCTTTCCTTTCTTCCACTTTCCTTTAGACAAATTTTTAAAAAAATCTTAAAAAAAAAAACCACAAGAATTCTCCACATTATTTCTCCTCAGGGTTAGTTTCCAGAAAGAAGTGGAGCCAAGGGTAACAACCACAGAAGCTTCCCAAGGTGGGTCAGGCAAGGCTCATTTTCTTTGGGCCAAGAGACACACAGGTAGGGACTTATCTGGAAAATAAATAGGGCTTTAGGTTAGGTGGAGCTGGGTCCAATCTGGAGCAGCCTTGAATTATCTCAGGACCTGGGGGCATCCAACCCTTAAACTCCCACCTGCACCTAATTGTGGATTGAAGTGGTTGTGTGAGCTAGCCCCAAACACTGGGAGACTTCACCAAACTTACTTCTTTCTTCTCTTTTAATCATTGATTAAAAAACCTCCCAATAACCAATTCATCCAATTATTAATGAGAGTGGCAAATTAACCAGCAGATTCCAAATGTTAACAAAATAGATGACTAGTTTTCATTAGTCATAATAAAAACAATTAAGTCATGCTTCTACATATTAACCAATCAATCCAATTATTATTAATAGAGCAACAATTTCATTCCCTCTAGTGTCTGAATAGCTATCAAATGTGATCAGCTGTCACGCTGATGAGATGCATAAATAACCAATTAGCCTAATCGTCATTAATAGAGGAGCAAACAATTGTTCCTTATTACACCTAGTTCCACGTGGAGAGCGTCTGCAAACGCTGAATCGATTCTGAGGGCACAGGAAGAATGTGCTGTAAGTGACACAGTGATCAGGTTCTCTGGGCCAGCTTCTGCTTGAGCACTGCTACCTGGGAAATGGCTCTATCAGAAAAAGCAGTGCTGCTGTGGGGATCGGAGGACAGTAGTTACCTGTAGCCCCGATGCTCCTGGGGTCCCCGGCGGTCCCACGTCGCCTTTCTTCCCCTGAGAGGAGAAGAAGAAGCCAAAATGAACAGGCAGGCAGGCACTGCTGAGTCCATTTAATAACGCATGGCATGGAAACCCCGGTCTTTACGGCTCCAAGGCCCTGGGCCCAGGATCGTCACTCCCAGATCTTCCGAAAGAGCAGCGCCGTGGGGGTCAGGAGAAGGGCGTGGACTTCCCTGTCAGGAAGTGGTTTTGCGCCCCAGCTCTGTGACGTTACTAGTTGAAGTAGCACAAAGGCACAGAGTGGTGCACTGAGTGACATCTTCTCGTTCTAGTCCCCGTCCTGACCTGCCAGACACTCCTGACCCTTCAGAGATATTGCAGCAAGTCAGAAGCGTACCTCCCCTCCCCCTCTCTTCCCTCCTCCCTCTCCTCCCTCACAAACTGCAGTATGCAGACCCACCTGTTAATAAATGCTGCTGCTTAACAATTACCGACCTTAAGGAATGCCTTTGACATGCGTGACTTCCCCAACTGCCTTGCCCAGCCAAATAATGCTCAGGACAAGGATGAGAGAGGGGCATTTAGACGTCTCCCCCACGCAGGAACCCACAGGCGCTTCCTCCCTTCTGCATTTAGAATCCGCATTGGGATGCATCCCTTCCCCCCCCCCCCCCGCCCCCCGCCATCTGGGTGTGAGCATGGGCCACTGCCCTCCTTGGTTCTCAGCACCCATCTCTAAATGGGAGGCGGGAGGAGATGTACACTCTTGTATTTATCCATACAATGAGGTAACCGCGCTATCATATGGCAGGTTTATCCGACTGAGGGAGGGGGGACTTCTTGTTTTCTTGGAAGTTTTCCTGGTTAAATAAAAGCAGCTCGTTCAGAAACTTAAAGAAAGACAACTTTGAATAAGGCTCACATTTTGTGAGTTTTATGGCAAACTTTCTTCCTGGTCCTTCCTATCTTGGGTAGCTGGAGTTCAAAGGCCCGTTGGCAGGCATTACAGGGCAGAGAAGTGCTAGGGTTAGGAAGCCACCCACATCTGTGTGGCCCGAACCCTGTGTTTCCTCTTACGATAGCTCCCACAGAACTCTGCGCTTGCCCCTGAGGTTATAGAAACTTGACGTCGCCTCTCATTCAGCAAATGGGGCCCTCTCCTTTCTGGACCTTGGCAACCCCTGCTTGGTCCCACTGCTCCTGAACCCCACTCATTCATACATATTAGGCTACTGTCTTTCCCTGAACTGAGCCCAACCCAGCCCCATGATTTTCCTTCTGATCCTTTCCTTCTTCCTTCCTTCCCTCCTCTATCCCTCCCTTCCTTCCTTCCTTCCTTCCTTCCTTCCTTCCTTCCTTCCTTCCTTCCTTCCTTCCTTCCTTCCTCCTTTCCTCCCTCTCTTCTGGTCCAGTATTTGAATGTCACCACTGTATACTGGCACCAGAGGCATCAAAGAGGAAGGAGCAAAGCTGACCAAAAACACACCTCACTGTTCAGCACAACGTTGCTGGGCCAATCCCCTACCGGCTGGTCCTGGACCCTCAGGTGGCTCCTAAGGTCCCCATCATCCTTGGCCAGGGTGGTTTTATTAAAACATCAGTGCATTTGTATCTCTTTTTCACAGACACTGCAGGGCTTTTCCAGCTCACTCAGAGTTAACCATCAATGGCCCCCAGCTGGCTCAACAGGAACCATTTCTGCTACTCCCTCTTCTCACGTCCTGACACTTTCCCCACCTCCAAGTACTGGCCTCCTTCCTCTACCTTGGGCAAATAGTCCCAGCCTCAAGGTCCTTCCATCGACTTTTCTTTCCACCTGGAATGTTGGCTCCCATGAGATTGGTAGGAATGGATTCTGCGATTCTTTGGGGTTGGTCGCTGCCCAAATGCCCTCCTGTCACAATAGCTGCCATCCCATCTCATCCACACATGCCACCCCTTCACCAGCCGAACCTTCTTAGTCTGTGTCACCACAGACTCAATGTGGATAGTCGTGTCTATTTACTGACTGCCTCACAGACATTACCAGGAAGCAAGACGCCTGCCAGCAGGGGCTAGCCCTGGCTTTGTTTGATGCTGCAGCCTGAGCCCATGACAGTCCCTGTGATATGGCTGATACACATTGGTGGGCTGGAATGGTAGAACAGACTGTGGCTCGGAGATCAACGTATCCATGGCAAGGAGAATAGCCATAGAGGTTGGAGGTGAGTGAAGTTAGGAAGGGGAAGAAGTTGCAGCTTGGTGATTGATGCTCTTGCAGCGAGTAGATGAGTCTGCCTGACTCAGAAGCACTAGGCTCTAAGCCCCGCCCCTGACTCTGAAGCATTTCAGCCTGCGGTGAGCAAGGCCCAAGCTAGAATGACACCTGTTAAGTTATGGTCACAGATACCTTCAGAAGCCAGCCATGCCTTCGAGGCCTTGGTCTCAGCCTCCCTCCGACTGAGCTCTGTTGTATGCAAACATGGCCGATGATAAGAGAGCCCAGAGCCACAGCTCATCTTCCTGAAGGAATGGAAGGTAGACACTCCTTCCAAGACGAATAAACCATTTTCTCCCTCAGGGTGCGTGGGATCCACTAAATGATCATCAGATTTCAGAAAACAAGCCAGCAACATGCCTCTATGCAAGGTTAAAACGAGGGCCAGGACACCGAGTGACTGAAGTGAAGATCTACGAAGGCCCCGGCTGTTGATGGGGTGAATAGTGAGAGGCCCATAGGAGAACACGAGGAAAGGGGCAGGGTCTGCCTCTCCACTGGGTAATCACCCCTGCGGGAGGCGGCGGGGTCTCAGCAGCTCTCTGAATCTTTTGCAGGGCGAGATCGTATGTTACTAATGCTCACAGAACTGACTCTAAGGATGAGGAAGTGAATGAAAGCTGTAACAGGCCTGGAGTTGGGAGGTGCTGGCCCTCCAATAAACACGTCTGAAGGAACGGGTCCACGGGCTGGGAGAAGAGAGAGGGGGAGAAAGACAGCAATGCTGTCAGAAGCAAACAGCCCAAGATGGTAGCAAGAGGCTAAAGCCAGAAATCTAGGGTGGAAGCAATGGTATGAGGCAGCTTCTCTCCTCAAAAAGGTAGAGTGCTTCCGGATCATCCAGGAAGGAACGTCACCAGAAAAACACCAGCTCCAGTCCCTGCGTGCGTACCTTCTACACAACAGCACCTGAGCCGTCTGTGCCTCTTTCTCAATCACAGGAGCCCGCCCACTCCTCTGCGACTCTCCTCTCGGTCTGGACAGCTCACCCTCTGTCACCTTCCCTAAGGTGTGAAAGCATCACTCCTACTCAAAAGCATTGAGCCTTCTCATCATCCAAAGGTAAATCCCCAACGGTTTCTTTTGGAGATATGGCCAGGCCCTGTGGTTCTGATCATCTTCTTTATACTTTATCCAGTGTAATACTCCCATCTTCTGAGCAGAAGTCAAGACAGCCTCTTCACCCAGCCAAAACACCTCTTAAGACTTCTAGCCTCTGAAGACATGGCTATGTCTACTTGTAACACCACCTCCCTACCCCAGCCTGCCAGTCACAGCTCACATCAGAACCATTTCTTCCACGAAGCCCCCAACAGTGACAGAAATAATAGGCAAAAAGTGGCAACAAAATACATTTGAGAAACAGATTCCTTGGTACCACCCAGGTGGACGGTGGTGATGGTGGTGGTGGTGACGGTAATGGTGCTATTGGTAGGGGGGTGGTGATGATGATGGTTCTAGCAATGATCCTGTGATGGCGATGGTGGTGGTAGTGGTGGTATTGATGATGGCCGTGGTGGTGAGGATGGTTATGGTGATAGTGATTATTATAGCACTGGTAGAGGTGGTGGGTACTGCTCCTGGCAGCATTAGTGGTTGGGGTGTAGGTGATCGTCGTGGTGGTGACTGATGGTGGTGGTAATTATGGCGACAGTCGTGATGGTGGTGGTACATTGGCAGTGGTGTGGTGGTACAGGGGTGCTGGTGAGGAGGGTGGTGGTACATTGGCAGTGGTGTGGTGGTAGTGGGGTGCTGGTGATGGTGGTGGTGGTACATTGGCAGTGGTGTGGTGGTACGGGGGTGCTGGTGATGGTGGTGGTGGTACATTGGCAGTGGTGTGGTGGTAGTGGGGTGCTGGTGATGGTGGTACATTGGCAGTGGTGTGGTGGTAGTGGGGTGCTGGTGATGGTGGTAGTGGTACATTGGCAGTGGTGTGGTGGTAGGGGGTGCTGGTGATGGTGATGGTGGTGGTACATTGGCAGTGGTGTGGTGGTAGTGGGGTGCTGGTGATGGTGGTAGTGGTACATTGGCAGTGGTGTGGTGGTAGGGGGTGCTGGTGATGGTGATGGTGGTGGTACATTGGCAGTGATGTGGTGGTAGGGGGTGCTGGTGAGGAGGGTGGTAATGATGGTGGCAGAGGTGTGTAGAGGCAGAGCCGACAGTATTTCAGCAGTGGCATAGCGAGTACCTTTCGATGGAGCAGCAGCTGCATAATTTCTCCATTTCCCAAGTATAACTGATGGTGGGATCGGGGAAGGGCCAGCCAGGACCAGTTCTGTACAGTACAGAGCTCTTTCGATAACAGCAGGGCTGTGTGCCGTCATTTTTCTTCTCTTTTAAATTGCTACCCAGACATTTAAAGTGCCTGCAATTATTCCTAAGGGCTGATGTTCTTCAAGCCAGTCTCGGTGCCCAGATGCCAAGCGTGGCTGCCTGTCTAGCCTTGGAAGGGGAAGGGGAAGGGGAGCCTGGAAGCTCAGAGCTGCAATATCTTCGCAGCCAGGGTGAGCTCACACGGCCACTGTCAGGGCCATTAACAGATGGCAGGGTTTCTTGAGCCAGTCATTCGAATACATAACCCATGGTCTTTTGCTTAGTTCCTCTTCTCCAGGCTTCCGAATGTCATATGTGATTATTTTTCCACTAGGTGGAGCTGGAACCAGGTGTTCAAGGGAGTCCTGACTTCATACCCTGGAATGGATCTCACAGTAGATTGTGATCTAAACAGCATTGCTACCAACTGGTGGAGCCAGAAGAAAAGCTCTAGAAGTAGAAGACTAAAACAAATACGACCCCG